TGCTTGCTTCAACCGCTACACAACAACTCGCAGCAAAGAGTATCGCCAAGTGACCAAACATGCTGGGAACGAGCCTCCTATATCGGGGAATTTGGTCTCATGTAATATACCTTCAAATCTGTAAACGAAGAGAAACAATGATGAAACCTTTTACCCCTCACCCACCGCACAAGAATGATCAGATCTTATAGAAATCCGGCTCGGAAAAGGGTTGGGCAATGCCCCTGTATCCCACACACGGCGTCCGAGCCCGAGCCCGAAGGCGTGGCATGGATTAACAATGCATTACATTTGCGGGGAAGCATGATCGGATGAGAGTCGATGAGAACATAATACCACATTGCTGATGAATCCCTGGTCAGGTGATGGAGACGCGCGAGGTTGGTACCGGATATACCGGTTGAAGTTGTCAGGTCGTCAGCAATCACTTGGCACTTTAGCATTAGAACAATCTTACGTTCGTTTGCGTATCTTGGAAGCGGAGATGGGCATATTATGGGCAGCAAGGGTGGATAGAAGAGAGAGCTGGTCAAATCACTGGTTAGACTCCTGGTCATATTGGAGGCGGACGATGCAAATATACCATGGCACAACCAACATGTCACTCAAAAGAGGTGGTAAGATTCGAGGGTGGGCCGGAAAACAATACCATTCCAGAGCTAGGATACTGCTAAGCAATGACTTCATTGGCTGCCCAAGTTTGATGATGCTAGTCGTAGAGGTCTGGATCTACATCCCCCTCCTTGGCCGCATTTGGCGCTGTCACCTTAATCCCACTCTGGGCCCTGTCCAGAGTCAACAGATATCCTTTGTTTGTACACCAGCTGTGCGCCATCTTGACCGAGTTCTTGATCTCTCTCCCATTCAGTTGCCATAGGGATAGTTCCTTGATATCATCGTCGTCAATAGGTCGTTCAGTGGACAGGGGCGCATTAGTATCTGCCAAGTTCTCTTCCTCGTCTACTTCAGTCACACTCTCTTCTGAGCTTCCATCCTTCCTAGTACTAGTTGGCGGAAGACGTTTGATGAAGTTGCGCCATACAGAGGCACGAGACTCTCTTGACAGCGCTGGGAATACAAGGTGCAGATTAACTCGGCTGCGGAACGCTGTGTCGATGGTATGATACAGATTGGTCGTCAGGAAAAGTATGCCCCGGAAGTACTCCAGCTCTCGCAGAAAGATACTGACGAGCTCGTTGCGATGGATATCGTTGGGGTTGCGTTCCGCCATGAAGACGTCAGCTTCGTCAAGGAGCACGACTGCACCCCAGTGAATGGCCATATCGAACACACGCTTGAGATTCTCACCCAAGTTGGCTGCGCTGATTCCAAGATCCTCGGCATGTAGGTGGTAGAGGGGTCGCTTCGCACGATCGGCCACGGCCTCGGCAGTGAGAGTCTTGCCAGTTCCAGGTGGACCGGAGAGCAGAGTGATCAGGCCCTGGCCCTTGCCGACAATGACATCCTCTACCGCCATCGCTGCGCTGCCATCTTCATAGTTGGCGTTGGACACGTGGTTCTCCACGAAAGAGAGGACGAGGTCTTTCTGGCCCGCATCGTACACCAGGTGTGTGAACGCTTTCTCGTTCCATACCATTGGCTCAATGTCTTCGATATAAAACAGAACTAGAACATGGTATTAGCAAGACTCTTTTGCCATATTCCCATTATTCATTGTGGGACATTACTTACGCCATTCTTTGTTCCGCAGAGCGAATCCTTCAACAAGGTTGGTCGCAAATGCCAAATCTTCCTCTCGGCCTAGCATGGCATCTTTATTCTTCTGCTGCTCCGCCGTGGTGAGGGTGCGGTTAGAATTTGTCTTGGGCTTCTCTTCTTCTTTCTCTTCCTCCTTCTCCTCATCCTCATAAGACTCATAGGCGCCTCGCAGTCTGATTACTCTGTTCCTCGCCGTTTCTGGATCTTCCGTCTCGCGGCTGCCCTGTGACAGGAGGAACCTGTTGTAACCCACCACATCAATGAGCACACGGCCTTCGACATTGTGTCTCTTGGCTTGACCCTGGCAGGTCTGGATGCCTAGACCGTTGTAGCAGCAATAGCGAATGCCTTGGAAATCCAGCAGCTTCTTGCCGCGAGCGATGCACCGCGCTTTGATCTTGGCGGCATCTGGTAGCCACTCCAGAGGGCAATGAGGAAGCTCAGTGACTGGCTTGTACCCACTGAAGAAGGGGAGAGGCAAGACTCTATCTTCCCAAACGTACTCTCTCCCGTTGAAGGTGAGTGCCTTGCCCTCGATCAGCATCTTGGCACCCATTATGGTAGTGCTCTCCACCTTGATCAAGACTTCCGAATTGATAGAGTAGCTGTAGACGCTCGATCCTTTGGGGAACAAGGTCCAGGCTGTTCTGAAGTCAACCAATCCGGTGCTCTTGATTTGTTTCTGCTTCACCTTGAGCTCGGCGAACATGTCATCTAGGACACGGATTAGTAGCTGAAGGGGGTTCTTTAAAGTACTCGCATCCTCGAGAGCTTCATATGTCGCTTTGATCTCGTCTTGACCAAACCACAGCGCGCGAGAGGGACAGTCAAACACTGCCGGGCAATTTGCCGCCAGGATCATATTCTCCTTCCTCACGATCGGCGTGAGCGCGGCAATGAGCAGCGGGTTCTGGATCTCGATCTGGTAATATTTCAACGGAGCGCAGCCAGAGATGGCCGGCTTGGTCTTGTCCTTGACCTTGAAGATCTTGATGGCTACGCGATCGTGGACTCGCGCAGCAGCCTTGGAGAGCTGTCGGGGCGGATAGTCGACCCAGTCATACAAGCCAGGCCGCGACTTGGGCCCCTCGAAGAAGGTCTTGACGCTCGCATCAGCACCAAAGTTGGGGTCCTTGTCTAGAGAAACGGTTGGCTCCTTGGACGAAGGCTTCTTCTTATCGTCGCTGGGGATCTCCGCCTCGGGTAGGGGCGCGTTGATATCCAGCTCACGATAAGGGCGGAGCTTGCATCGCCATTTCCAGACGAATTCGCGAGCGTGTGAGAGCACCATCCTGTCTTGGATATCCGCTGGCTGCTTTTACTGAGTTGTTACGCCTGGGCTGGTTGGGCGTTGATGTGGGTAAACAGATCACACAGAGTAAGACGGACGACGGGATAAATAAACGAAGGAAATGCAAAGGACAGCAATGATATGATAGTCATTGGCTCTCGCTGCATGGTGATGGCCACCATACAAAGTGTAAAAACAATAAGCGAATCGGGTCGCGAAGGACTTCCAGCCCCTGCGAGTATTCACTTCTGCCTGCAGTGACAGACTGCTCTAAATACTCTATTCCATCGCGCTACTTTTCACATTGGTCGTAGATCAGAAACTACTTATTAGCCGACGTATCTTCTACGCTGGTCCATTCCGAGGACAACGGGAACGCGTCTTAGAAGCCACTACCAGCAATAGCTTGCCTGTCAGGACACCGAATGAGTCTTTCGTCTAAGTGCTATAACATATGTTTGGGATAGTGTGATATCTGTTCATGGCGTCCGTTATGATGCCTTCGGATTGGTGCGTTGCAGTCTGCCTCCAGTCTGCCTTGTGGCTGCCTAGCCTAAGGACCCTCGTATTTCACGCCGATCAGCGTAGGACTGCAGCCCGTAGGACTTGGATAAAGACCATGGATGCCACATTTCATATAGCGTGGTTAAACACCTGTTATTCTAAATAGGCGATAAGATTCAAGGAACGCATTGCTGTGGCAAGCATTACAAGGGCCCTTAGTTTTATGCACGTTCTCAATCGGGTCTGGGTTTTTTGTATTAGTGAAAGCTCCTTTGCTATTCTTGCGGAAAAACACGGACTTTGTATCTCGGAATATCAGGTCACTGGTTTGATCTACATTCTCTATGGCTTCGGTGCTGATCCTGTTACCCGCGTGCGCATGTCTTCCGTAGTATTGTGAAGGGTATAATATTGCATCTGTTCGATATACACCTTCGGTCGTTCTATGCCAGTTGCTTTCGTCCTGATGGCAAGTGGGTTATCAATATGAAGGTTTACGGACTTTCCTTCCGTATGACTACATCTTGGGCTAGGGAAGGCTATTTTGGTTAAGCTTTCGTATTCATTATGTTGAGATATCGGGCTCTGCCATCTTCCATTGCTGTTGAACTTTATACTCACTTTCTCTTACGTGTCGATTGCTCTTATAGCTTTAGTCAAACAACTTGAATCTACGAACTCAAGATGTCAATTCCGGAGCCATAAATCACATACACCATCCTGACACTTCCCCCTCGGCAGACAGCGAGGCGCTTGCATAAATCTTCCGGTTGGATCAAGTTAAGAATTTGAATATTAACCTTCAGATGAATTATCTTACACATTTCATGACCCTATATCGTGGATCTCGTTGTTCTTTAAGTTGCCCTTTTCCTTGACGCCAGACCTCATTGATCTAGATCAAGAGAAAACTGCGCCTCTTGGATGCAAAGACTGTGCTGAACCGAGGCATTGTGTGATTAGCAGACCAAAAGGTACAAAAGCCCCTCTTTCGTCGAGGAGGAAGCGAGGGTTATATAAATATATTATTTATTAGATAGACCCTCCGGAAGGTTCAGAAAAGTGGCTGTTAGGCAAGTAATTCAGCTATCCTTTAATTAACAAGTTCAACGCGTCCCAACAATACTAGATTAATCTTTGTTTGATATTCAAGAGAAGAAATAGAAATTTAATCTAAGATTCTAAGACACATACAGACTTTATTAAAAATGGTCTTATCTCTACCATGCAAAGGTATTTTTGGAGGAATCAAGAGGGATTTGTCGATCGGGTCCGCGGACCTCCTCAGACATGTCGCCGAAGCCGGGTCCTAATAGAATTTCCTAAAACAGCAAAGAACTTCAACATCAGCCTCCACTATATGAGCGTCACGGCTTCGGGTATCACAAGTATAAGTTAATCGGAATGGCTTCATGATTTGGCAATCGTCGAACACTTGATCGTCCCCAGCTATCTATTTATCTACTCTCGGTTGTGGTATCCAAGTATGCACCCCAAAGCTCAGGTTAGGCCTCACACCGAGGGAGACTATGCTTGGTCTCGTCCCCATGGCCTGGTGGAGAAGCCTGGCATGTACCCCGGCGAAACAGAAGCTTGGGTTTACTGTGACAAGTTCTCTTATGAGGAGGGCGAGAATGTCTCTCTGAAAACACATACAACAGCAGACCAGTATGATATTGAGATTATTCGAGACGGGGCTCGCCCCAAGACAGTTTTCTTACAGACCGGCTTACCCGGAGCAACGCATCCTACACCCGGCGATGCTTATGCAACCGGTTGCGGGTGGCCTGAAGCATTGCAAATCCACCTCGAGCCAGGACAGTGGGAATCCGCCTTCTACCTAGTCATCATACGTGCTCGAGAGCCCAGTGGCCGCATCTACGAGCGTGAAGGGTTTTTCATTATAAAAGACAAACAGCGAAAAACCGACACATCCAACTCCGCCGACTTCGTCTTGATCCATGCTACCTCAACCCTTCTAGCCTATAATGACTGGGGCGGTGCCAACCACTATCGTGGCATTGCAGACGGTTACCAGAATGATGAGCCATCCCCTCTGTCTAGCACCCAACGACCTATCGCTAGGGGAATGTTAAGAATACCTCAAAACGCACCAAGGGAGGCTAACGGGGCCGTGAAGGTCAAGAAAGGCGATACTCCAAGGTTTCCGTCTTTGGAGTACTCTTGGTACTTTCGGTATTCTCGGCACTACGCCGACGCAGGTTGGGCAACATACGAGCGACCTTTCACCATATGGGCAGAGAACAATGGCTATCGTGTGCACCATCTGACTCAATCAGACCTTCACGCTGAGCCCGATTGTTTGAGTGGCTACAAGGTAGCCGTGGCGGTCGGTCACGACGAGTACTGGTCGTGGGAGCAACGCGATACCCTCGATGCTTTTGTTGACAATGGAGGAAAACTTGCTCGCTTCGGGGGTAATTACATATGGCAGGTCAGATTTGACGAAGCTGTACAGACCCAATATTGCTACAGAGTCCCTCAAGCAGATCCGGAGACAGAACATAACCCTACCCGGGTGACCACATTCTGGGATTGTCCACTGATCGGAAGACCTGGTGCACAGACCGTGGGCCTCACTGGCATGATGGGCTGTTATACTCGGTACGGAATGGCATCTCCAAGATCTTCCGGGGGGTTTCAGGTATATAGGCCAGAGCACTGGGCTTTACGAGGGACTGAATTAAGATACGGTGACCATTTTGGAGTCGACCCAGTCAATATCGCGGCATTTGAGGTTGATGGTGTGGACTACCAGTTCAGCAAGGGTCTTCCGTACCCGACTGGAGAGGATGGGGCTCCTATGAATCTGGAGATCATCGCCATGTGCCCTGCAACCTTTGGGGAGAGGGACATTTACGGCGGCAAAGAGCCCATCGGTGGGCCCCTTCGAGAAGTGTAAGTGTTCTCAGATCAGTAATGCCCCCCGGTAACAGTCGCTAACAGGGCCAAGTCTTGAGGTTATACAGCTCGGGTATGAAAGCACGACGGTGCCTGAATATCTGAAAGACCGGGAATACGGATCCGGCATGGTGGCTTCCTTCACAAGAAATAAGGGTGAAGTTTTCTGCGCTGGGACTTGCGAATGGGTTGCAGGCTTAATTCATCGTGAAGAGTTCACCGAGCATATCACCAAGAACGTACTGAATAGGTTCGTCGGGGTCGAACGTCAAAACTCGCAAACAACAGTTCTTTAAGTGATGGAGGAAGTATTGGTAAGATGGGTATGACACTACATTTCCAGCTCATGCTCTACCAGAGGCCGATCTCCAAAGCTTTTGGTGATCTGTTCATCGTTGCGTTCGCTCCGCCTCGAATGCTAGCCATCTCCTCGATAAGAAACGAGACAATTTTCTCAGAGTATACAAATTTTCCATTCGTTTGGCCGTACAGCTTTGTGAGGATGAGCTGAGCAAGATCGTCCATGGCTGGCAAGCCTGTAGAATGGCAGCCCAAGACGTATGCAGGCCAAGCAAGGATTCTCGGGTTATCATCTTCCGACATGGTGCTGTAAAGAGAGCTCAAGACCCGGTAAAGTCTGTCCGCCACTACGTCCGCCTCCATGAGCATTGCTACTCGATGGTGTGAGTTTAGTAGGGCAGCCAAAGCGTAACAGCGCCATACTACACTGTTGGGGTCAACTCGTTGGCAGACGTCTGTAAAAAAACAGTGCAGCTCAAGTGTGACATTCTCGCCTCGTGATAAGCGAGCAATCAGGTCCAAAAGAGGTCTCGGCAAGCCCGTAACCTTCTCTATGCCTGTCTGACCAGAGCACCAGCGAGCCCAAATATGTAAGGGTTCAGTTTGCCTGCCCACAATCCACGCATCCATTTCGAGCCCGCCCAGGAACTCTAGACAGTTTTTCGCGTACGTGCCAAGAGTGGAAGAATCTCGGTGGCGTAGAATTATTGACAAGATATGGGAGAGTTGCTCGGTCCACGAGTACTCTGCCCTCATCTGGGTATACCTAGGTTAGACTTGATGGCACCAAAATACAACCAGCTGACGTAGTATCTCACCGCAATTTGAGATGATAAGAGCATGACCACGATCAGTTCGCTGGGTGAGCCCACCTCGGTCGTAGAATCAAGGAAGTATCTGGTTTGTGCAATGGCGTAATCAACACTGGCGAGCGCCGAGACCCGGCAACAAGAATTGTAGAGTGACATCAAGGCCTGCACACTGTAGCGTATGGCAGGCATGGTCCAATAGAGCGGGGTAATCTGATCCAAGAGGTGATTGTGAGACACGCCTGTCCAGTGAAGTAAAGAGTTGCCCTCAGTCAGAACTTCCAGGGGTCAGCTGATGAATCTGAGCGGCAAGGTAGTCACTCACACGCCTGGTAGAGCTGCTCCTCGGTTATAGTATTCCGGCAGGGACATACACGATTCCGGCTCTGGAATGCTGTACTGAAATGCTGTCCGGAGGATTTAATGCTTCTTGGGATGGCTTTCGGCGCTGGCACTTGCTTCGTGGATTCAGCCATCTTAGCCGTCTTCCAGATGAGACGCAGCGTAAAATCACAGCAAAATCCAAGACGCGTACATCGGGAGCAAGATGGACGTATTTCGTCACACTTGCGGCTAACCTTGACGCATCGAGCACAGCCCGTACGGGACCTCTTCCTGGGTGATCGATCCATCGTGGTAGGATGATAGCAGCTAGATTAGGAACGAGAAATGAACTGTCTGTGTGGATACGACAGGATGCCTAAATAAGCTGAGAAGTTTACACAAGCCGCCGAATCTAGGGAATTTCCCCACCCGAAACCCCTTCGCTATCTACAGCTACCCCTGTGGAACGATAAGAGCCCTGGTCTGGTCGCTAAGCTTAATGTGGTAGTTTGAAGAGGATGAGATTGCGGGGTGGACTCGACTATCGTTCCTTGAGCGTGCTGTGTGGCGATATGACAAGACTGGTAGCAAGCGTGAAGGGGTTGCAAGATAAGGATGGGCAGTGTATAAAACCAAAGACATTGAACAACCTAAATATTGGGCAAATACATCACTGAATTGCATAACCAGTCAAACACATCCGCTACACTATCGTGGCTCTCAATAGTTTCAATGGCTTCTTTTTCCAACCGCTACCCTGAGTATGAGAACAGAGATCATCCACCAGGCACGATCACGCTCGTGGAATTTGGTCCGTCTCCCTAGACTTTCAAAAAAGAAGAACGATGAGTCGGAAGCTAACAGAAGAAGGTCACGATGCAGAGTCGGGACAGCTGTCTGGTGGCGGGAACATCATACTAGTCCCAGAACCAGCAGACACTGCCAACGATCCTTTAGTCAGTCCCCAGGCATCCTCATCCCTTACGAAACAGGTGGCTCATTACGAAAACAGAATTGGTCCAAGAGGAAAATACTGTGGCATTACTTTGTTCACTGTCTATGGTTATTTCTTGCGAACGCAAGGCAAGTCACTTTCACAGCCCAGAGCGACGGCCGTAACTGACACTTATCAGTATTGCTTGGAGTTCCCCGGCGTGGGCTGAATGGACCGTTTCGCTCGACACGACGTATACACTTCTTAATTACGGACAAGCTCTCCTCGTTGTCACGTGTGGTGTTGGTGTGCTAGTCATGCAACCAATGGCTATCAAATATGGAAGACGCTTGCCCTACGTACTCGGTTCTGTGTTGATCCTTGCTGGGCTTACCATCGGATGCCTTATGAAGGATATCCGTTTCTGGTTCGCCTACCAAATCATCGCCGGCTTCGGCTCCGCTCCGGCATACTCGACGATTATTACATCGCTGCTAGATGTCTCTTTCATTCACCAAAGGGGTAGCGCCCTAGGCTTTTTTGCTTTGGTGCTCATATCTGGCAACTTTCTCCCACCCATCGCTGCTGGATACATTGTGGACAATCAAGGCTGGCAGTGGTGCTTCTACTACCTCTTAATCTTCTTTGGGCTTTCTTGCCTCCTTTTACTGTTCACCGCCGAGGAGACTGGGTTTGCTAGGGCCACCCATAAAGCGCGATCAGCGATCAACGGAATCGCCATACTACAAAACCATGATTCTAGCACCAAAGCCGACCGAGATGTAACTAAGGAAAACACGGCTGGTTCGGCTGTGATAGAGCCTGTCGCGTCGCGGGCAGAGCGCTCCGCCTATGAAGACGCGGAGAAACTCTCTTACTATCAAAAGATGGGACTTTACAGAGAGAACCCTGACATCAAAACTGGATATTGGCGATTGACCTTTTCAGTTTTCAAGATGGCTCTGCTTCCAGCAGCTATCTGGATGACTATCCTGTTCAGTATTGCGTCGTTTGTCGTCGGTGTGATTCTGGGGACACTTTCTTCCTTCTTTGCAGAACCACCCTACAACTTCTCTCCCTCGGCCATGGGGCTGATGTTTTTAGCATTACTAATAGGGGCTGTTATCGGTTCTTGTTGGGGAGGCCCATTCACTGACTGGCTTCTCCTGCGCCTGGCTAGGCGGAATGGGGGGTTGTATGAGCCTGAGCATCGTCTCTATGCTTACACAATCGTGCCATTCTTGGGAGCCGGTGGAATATTATTGTATGGAATCGGTGCTGATCAAGGCCTTCACTGGACGATCCCCTGTCTTGGACTCCTGCTTGTAGGCATTTATCTGGATGCGTCTACGCCGATCGCCATGGGTTACGCTCTGGACAGTTATTCAGGCCTGGAGGACGAAATACTGCAACTGGCCAACGTTCTTCGAAACGTGCTGGGCGGCGCATTCAGCTTTGGCCTTCAGCCCTGGATCAACCACAGTGGTCGAAGGAACACCACAATCTGTATAGCTGTCATGGTCTTTACATTCAACATCACGTCAATCGGCTTCCAGCTCTGGGGCAAGCGGATCAGGTCGATGATGGCACCGACATACTATAAGCTCAACGATAGTATTCATAAATGAGGAACATCCGGAACTGGGTGAAGAGCAGACAGATATAGTCGATGGAAGACTGATAGGTTCCATTGCTCTCTGAGTTAATCACCGGAAGTATCATGGTATTCGTCTCCATTCATGTCATTACAACGCTATGCTAAAGATATCTATGGATGAGTAGTGGTCTATTTCGTTCATTTCCTGTATTGAATCTCGCTGTTATTTAAATTTGCCTTTTTCTTTGGTGCCAGTCCTCATCGACCTGAATCATGAAGAATGTGCCAATTCGATTAAGCAAGCCCACAAAGACAATACTTTTTCCACTTGGCGGTACTCTTATGGCCCTTGGACACCCCAGAAAATCCAGCCGTTTCCCGGGGTGGTGATGCTTTCTGACCGCGAGATCTCTGGGCAGTTTCAAGACTCAGTGAATGCTCTTCTTCTTTTGAGCCCCGCTCCTTATCTGGGAGAGGAACGTGGTCCAGCTCTTCGTTCTTCTCGGCCTTCCTATCTTCGACATCCTCTGGTCTGAGATCTGGGATTGGCTTCCTAGCTAAGAACTTGGGCGTGCTTTGTTGAAGATGCTGTTGAGTTGAGGGATCAGTTCGAGATCCCACCATCTCCTCTAGTTTCTGTAGTCGTGTGTTGCTTTCGAGGGTTAGAGGGTTTGTCTCCCCCAGTTTCGTCCTTCTTGCTCTCACGGCATCTTGGTAAATGCGCTTCGCATCCTCGAACTTGTCTCTAGATCTCAACACTTCGGCGAGCTCATACATGACGTCGATAGTTTCCTGGTGCGCAGTACCATACAGCTCGATCTTGTGCGAAATCACCTCTTCGTAAACATGCTTCGCATCCTCGATCTTCTCTTGTCGAACAAGTGTGTGAGCCAAGTCAATCAGAAAGCTGTCCAACCTGATGAGATTCTCGCGCTCCACGAGGCAGGGATTGAATTGAACTGTTGGTCCAGAAAGCGATTCCTTCTCTCGCTTGATAAAGTCCAGATAGCAGAACTCAGCGCTCACAAACATGTCCATTTTGAACAAGGTAATGGCGAGATATCCCATCGCCCGACACTTTTCACCTTCCGTTTCAGCGAGGCGCAAGTTCTGCGCAACAACGTCGAGCTTTTCCTGTTCGATCTGTTCCTGGCTCGGTTGGCGTTCAATCCCTGGTAGCTTCGATTTCAAGATCGAGAGCTCTTGCAGAAGCCACGCTGCATCTTCATATTGGCCCTTTTTCAAATGCTCGTTTGCTTCAAGCTGGAGCCTCGTTTCCTGTTGGGCGAAGGCACCTTGATCTACCGGAGCTTTTGGCTCATCTTTGGACGTCCTGCGATTCCGTCTCGGAGCAGCACCATTCGGTCTTTTCAGGAAGCCTCCGCGCTGCAATCCAGTTGCCGGGCCTGTATCGGTGGGATCCAGGCTTTGGCTCTTTTTGTGCAATGTCCCGGTTGACCACGACCCAGAAGCAGGCTCGGCCAATGATAACGTTGGCTTGTGTATCGGCTGGTTGATATCTAACTGCTGTCCAGGGACTCCCACGTTTAACTTTGCACTTGGTATTTGCAACTCCAGCCCCTCATCGTCTTCCAGTACGTCGATCGGCTGCGTTTGTGTGTCCCAAGTCCCAGAGGCTTCCTCCTCAAATGCTAGTTGCATCCGCGAGGCCAGGGTATGACGGAAGAGGTTGGTGTAGGACCTACTCACAGCAAGACTATCGGAAAACTTGAAGACTGGGGATTCGGGTATAGCCATCATGATCCACGGGTAGGACAAGGCTTGTTTTGCCGTGAGTCGCTCCGATGGGTTGCACACTACCAGTGAGCTCAGAAACGCAATGGCCTGCTCGCTGACCTGCGCATCTCTGAGTACCTGCGCGGGGAACTGGCCAACCTTGAAATAGTATCCGTACAAATCTTGTGTGTTCTCGAAGGTAGGCCGGCCCGTGAGGATTCGAAAAATGGATTCGCCGACGCACCACATGTCTGCCGCGTAGAGATTTATAGACGTGGAGCTGCTGCCGCTGATATTGAGCATTTCGGGTGGCATGAAGCCGTCCGTTCCTCTAACCGTCGTGATCGGGCTGGGAGCCGTGTCTTCGTTCCGGCTTCGTCGACTGATGCCAAAATCGCTTAGTTTGACTACCCACGGATCTGGAGGTCGGTGTTTGATCAGGATATTCTGCAAAACAGTCCGTCAGTAAAATAGGAGGGCGTGTCCATTGGATGTTCGGTTCATACATGTGGCTTTAGGTCTCCATGCGCAAAGTTCTCCTCGTGCATACGGCACAGAGCATCCAACACCTGTGAAGCAATTTCTCGAGTCTGATCTTCGGGCAACCGTCGGTCGGGGCGTGTCTTGAGATACTTGTGGAGGTCGCCGAGTTCGCAGTATTCCATCGCAATGAATAAATGGTTGTCGCTGGCGTACCAGCCGTAGGTCTTGACGAACAGGTCATCGTACTGATTTCGTCCATCGAATCGTTAGCTGTGTCTATAGCACAGGACAGGGGAACGGCTGTGCCTTCTTACTCTGACTTGGGAGAACTTGATGATAGCTTCCAGCTCACGGACATAGAAATCCCTCCTGGACCGCAGCTCCTTGTCTGATATCAAGATCGTTTTGACGGCGCGCAACTGCCGCGGCCCTGGATGCTTCGACTCCTTAACCTGGACGTCGACGCGTCCGTAGCCGCCTGAGCCCAAGTGTTTCTCGTGAACCCATACATCCTGTGTCTCCTTCGCGCGCCGGTGGGCGCCTCCGCGTTTGTGGACAATGTAGGACTGCCGGCCGTCGGTGTGGAATGTCGCATTCAGTCGCGAGTCGCGTACAATCTCGGGGAGATCAGGGAGGCTGTTGAGGTACGCCATTTACGCGAGGAGTCGCGATCGGTACGCATTCGGTCGGGGAGCGACGTTTCGCATGCTGTTGCAAAGTCTTCAGGGGCGGTTCGTACATTTGTCGGGCGTGTAAAGATGACAAATTCTTCTCGAGGAAGTGCTCCTCAGCCGCACCGTAAGCGGAGGTCAGAGGATCAATCAGCAGGCATCCTGCAGATGTAACCGTCCAGGTCTAGAAATAGCCCATGCATCGCTGCGACCAAAAGGCGCTGACAACCACAAAGAGTCGCCTTCTTGTTGCCTGGAAAGTGAACGGGGGCGGTTCGAGACATGGCCACGCTGACTCGGTGATTCAAGTTATTTACAGGCGTAATTGAGACACTTCCATGTCGATCTATGATAACAGCATGTATAATACGCGAAGTACTAGAGTCACAGGGCAGCTTGATCCCTGTTTGCGGGGTCGATCTCGACTCAACTTTCCTACCCTAAGCATCATAGTAACGGAGGTTGAAATATCTGAGAAGATATTGGAGTAGGAAGGGTTTTTGTTGTTTTCCATAGAAAATTATAGATGAGAGCGAAGGGCTGATACACAGACTTTACTTTTCGAAGACAGAGACATATCTCTACGCCTATATTCTTCCATCGCCCATATGTAAACATCATCTACGCTCCTGGGCACTTTGAACTCGACATATGGGCTTTTGGGTCATGCTCGTAGATCTAGATCAATTTGGCTCTACGAACTAGTAACCTCAGAATTCTAGCAGGGTTGGATTTTCAGATAGAAAACCAACTAAACCATGAGCTTCAATACCTCATCGACGATATTGCTCAGTGAGCAACCAAGTATAATGCTGGGAAAACACAGTATTTCGAATGGTAAGGGCCCATAGTAACCCTTGCCCGGTCTCGCCGCCCTTCGGTGCAATCTGACCCCCAATATAGGCTTACATCAGGATTCTCTCCCCTACCACACACAGGACAGTCTCCATCGCGCGCTCAAACAAACCCAAAAAGGCAATGGCTTTGCCACCCCTGTAAGAGCTTTCAGCCCTGCTCCAGAGCCAGAACAGGCCAAGGCTCCAGGGCCCTGTTGGTGCCCCAGTCATCGCCAGGATTGGCCTTCTGGGCCGTGATTAAAATCAACATCTTCCTCCGCTTCACAAGCAGAGTCCCCCTGTTTGGGCTGTAGCGGTACGTTGCCAAACCTTCGGCAAGACATCCGCAAGGTCTTCTATTGAATCAGATATGGCTGAACTCGGCCTCACCATCGTAGCTACGGTGGACCTCGCCATAAAGTAGGTGGAAGCCGTCGACAATTTTCCCCGCACAATCGTGGCCGGCCCATGTAAAATGGAAAATCCCACTGACGAGAGCTTGTGTGTAGATGGGGCAACCAGCTAGTGAAGCTATGCGAAGCCTATCGTGATTTCAATCTCACTATCCGGGACAGTTCCCTCCAGTTGGAGATAATATGGCTCAAGGCTAAGAAACAGCTTGCGTTTATGAAAGAACTGGAGCATGTCCTCGACGAACATCACCGGAGTCTCAACGTGCAAGCCACTGATCGGCTTAAGACACAATTTGAAAATGCCGTTCGCAAACTTCAGGAGTAAGTCCAGCATATTCTGCATGCCAATCAAGCCCATTTTCATTCTAACCAGTTGGATGCCCAAATAGGTTCATGGTGGACGACACACAAGGAAGCGGAATGTTGGCGCAGATAAGGAAGAAGGCAATTAAATGGAAGTATGCCATTGTGAAAGAGACGGTTGATGCGGTCATTGAGGAGCTCCAGAAGTGGCAGGCTCTGGCTGATCCAAGTTGGTATTTGATGTTGAAAATGGCCAACAGCCAGATTGACCTGACACTCCGCTCGAACGAGAAGACAGCCACCGACGCTTTCCCAGAGACGATGCGTATACGCCAAGTTACCAGATCCACGAGCGCCTCGACCAATACGGGAGTCTTCCTTCCTGCAGGAGAGCTTGCCAAGATGACGATATCAGACGTCCCGATGAGCACTCTGCAGATGGCACACCGGGCGACTTCTACAGGAGTTCAACATCTCCTTCTCACGACTGTAGAGTGCGCGGCTGGTACCGATGTGAACCAGAAGGCCAGGGAAGTTAGGGAGCTTGTACGAAGGCTCTCGGTGAATGATCCTGCCACATTCAGCCTGTTGTCATGCAAGGGCGTAATCAAACGAGCCTCCGACGCGCCCAACGGGCAGCCTTTGGTTTCTTTCACCATGGTGTTCCGCTCGCCAAACAATGCGGCCGATACAAAAAGTCTGCGCGCAAAGTTACTAAGTCCCCATGATTTCGTGTCTGTGTCCAACAAGATCACATTTGCACGGCAATTGGCCAAGTCTGTCGCCTACGTCCACAATTTTGGATTTGTCCACAAAAGCATTCGGCCTGAAAACATAGTCATCTTCGAGGGAGAGGGTAAAGAGCCACCGGGGATGTATTTGGCCGGCCTCAGCAACTTCCGTAGGGATGAAGGAAGAACTTACCGCCTGGAAGATGGTACGTGGGACAGAGACATCTATCTTCACCCACAGCGACAGGGTCCGCTCCCACGCGAAGATTACCAAATGCAGCATGATATATACAGTCTGGGAGTGTGCCTATTGGAGATTGGCTTCTGGGATTCCTTTGTCCGGTTTGATACCGACGGAAAAGCAACTACATCAACATCAATGCTCCATCAGTTTTCGATGGATTGCCAGGCTGGCAAAACCACAATCCAAGGTTCAAAGGAATATTTCTTGAACCTCTGCAGGAGTCAACTGCCACGGTACATGGTTGGGCGGTACTGCGAGATTGTTGAGACGTGCTTGACCTGTCTGGACCACGGCAACGTGGACTTTGGTGATGAGAGCGAATTCCAAGATCCAGATGGCATTTTAGTCGGCGTGAGATATATCGAAAAGGTGAGTGGAACTTCTTCCCATTGATTATTCTAAAATTTAGGACACATGAGCTAAGAGACCATAGGTATTGTCTCGTCTGAACGAAATTACGATCTAGACTAGCTGTCGGCTGATTATGATAATGTGAGTTGTGAGAGGAAAAGACATCTGGAAAATAGAAATAGCGCAAGGAAAATATTTAAAAAACCCATCGCCACTTAGCTGTCAAATTTGTTCATTATGTAAAAAGGAAAGGAATAGCAAACTATGAGTTAATCGCAGAGCTTCAGAAATGGTTTACAGAAACGACCTTTATAGCTGCGGTCTACAATTCAATCACTCCAAAAGCTGCATCGGCACAAATCACTAAACCCTCGTGTATGTCGGTACCGAGAATCGAGGCTTAAGAGGACATAGACGCGCATGGTAAAAGCCACTTGGTGGGATTGGAGCAAGGGCAGAGGAAGTTGAATCCAGTCAAGTAGCTCTCACGTATCACTTTCTGCTGATTGGATCTTTGACTCCACGTGTCGGCTGACGAGATGTGATTTGCTTCACCAAAAGACTACTCTTTCTTATTGTCTCGGAGTATGGTTTTGTCGGGCTCCGGCGGTCGAGGGATCGACACGTTTACATCAATAGTACCAAGCCACACATGTGTCATTCATTCAGTGGACAGTGAATGTGCGCTGGTGAGACAAAACGCCATTCTCAGCTCCTCCTTCTGGATGGGTGGTTGATAGCATGTTTCATCGCCGTGGCTGTGGCGTAGATGCGTCTTCGATACGACCTATGTCGGGGTAATATTATGGGCTGGGCCTATGAAACTGGCCTTTCTTTTTTCGCAGATCACGCAAGCAGGTTCCCTGCAGCCAGTAGTTGGCATTGGCCAAAAGGATCGGCGTTCCCTCGTATGTTCATGCAGGCCGGGGCTGTGTTACATGTCTGTCAACCAATATTGTTGGGGGAAATTCATGCAAGAGCGCTTTGACCTTTATGCAAATCCACCCCGTGCCCTTTGACGCTGACCACGTCGCATTCTTGCTTCAGCTGGATGGTGTTGGTTGCAAAGATGCGCCGTGCTTATAGTGGAGTCCTTTCTTCTGTCTTAAAGACCACAGGCCCAAGATGCGAGGTCCAATGCGTGCAGCAAGATTATCCCTAATTGCTATCCCCCGGATATACAGTCTTCGATTCACAGGCTGTCTAATCAGTTTTTCCGTTTTTATTAACCATCCCATCAGTTAATGTGATCCCAATACTCCATTTAAGCTCGACTTTGAGATCTTTCAGTATCGTCTCATACCTAGGTAATCAAAAGCCGCATGCAATCAATGTCTCGATTTACTCCCGAGGGAGAGCTGAACTTCATCGGCTGCCTGGTGACGCTCAGTGCCAGTTCTCTCTTTGTGGGCTTGAGATCATATGTCCAGCTTCGATCAAAACAATGCGTTTCTGGGGCAGATCGGTTTTGTTTCTCGGCCCTGGTGATTTTCACGGCTTATTGCGCATATTTGCTTACCCGTAGGTAGACCCAAGCACACGTTAACCCCTTGATGAAGCAATACTCGTCCTAGCTTGCATATGAAGGCATGCGGCTAACGCAACTCAGATATTCTCGCCGTTCCAGTGAAAGGCGCTTTCGCAGTTACATCCTCTACAAGTCATGAAAAGGCTGAGAGTTTGATGAAGGTATAGGCTATCACCAAGTCGAATCAACATATCTTCATGCTAATGTTTCGCCCTTGTCAGGTCACATTTGCCTGCTCGATACTCTTCATCAACGGCATCACACTGGCGAAGCTTAGTATTCTTGCAGGTTACAAGGCCACTTTTGCCATCCAAAGACAGTACCGCCATATCATTATGGGCTTGGCTGCTCTCTGCATAGCTTGGTGGGGGTGTTTTATTCTTGTCACCATCTTTCAGTGCAATCCCGTCCAAGCAATGTGGGACATAAGTGACGATCGGAAACGCTGCTTGCCTGTGTGGAAGCCTTTGCTAGCAGCTGAAATATCCAACCTAATTATTGATATCCTGATTCTAATCACTCCTATCCTCGCTACCTGGAGACTGAACATGCCAGCTCACAAGAAGTGGGCGGTGGCTGGGATCTTTCTCGTGGGAGCACTGTAAGTCAACCACACTCACTTTCATCAATTCACTCCTTCAGTTTACTCCATTTTTACAGTGTCGAATAAGCTAACGAATAATTTCTATAGGGTTTGTGTAAGCAGTATACTTCGCCTTGTGTCTATTGCGCGTTTTGGAAATGAATTCGGTTTGTATTGCCCAGTAACGATTCTGAAACATGGGAAGCTAACTTTCTCAACCTTCTAAGATGACACATCTAAGGTTATGTTCTACTTGACGATTCAATTTGGGTTGGCTATCATATGTGGCTGTCTTCTTCCGCTGAATGGCTTATTCGTCCGTCGGAACAAGGGCGCGTCAAAATCACGAACCAGCGTCTATGATGCGACGTTTCGTGAGGACCATGTCAGCATACCCGCTTACAAGCTGGCAGGCCAGCTGAAGAAAACAAAACGAGGGGGAAGCCGCGTGCTGAGTCTTGCGAGGTCATGGGCTGGCCATGATGTACGCCAGGGCGAAGAATCGATAACGCCTCCGCCTGCTGCTCGAATTAATCGTTAACTCTCACACGCATTAATGTTATTGGTCAAATGTCACTCATGGGCAGTATTTCAGAAAAGTTATCTCAACTTGAAGTTAGATGCGATGAGCTTTACACAGCAGTCTAGCGATCCATACTTCAAGATATTCTTTTTACATTTTATCAGAGAATCCCGAGGCTCGGCTGAGCATGTTAAGCATACACGAGTGAACCCTTGTAAGAAGATTCTCTAAACTCGCTTTAAAACATGTGCAAAACTCGCTGGCGAGTATGTGAATCGCCTTTGGGCTGCACGAGTCACTGACGATCCTTGGGCTGATCAGGATCATATCCCACAAGACAGTTAACAGTCTCGTTGCCCTCACCGGAATCATTGATCTGGTTGCCGATTGGTGAGCGCCACTGGCCAGTCAGCTTGATGTATCCGTCCAGCGCACTGTTAAGTGTATGGCCGAGTTCCAGGGCAGCCGAGGCTCGCGAGTGTGAATAGTATGTCAGGAGATTCTGTGTGGCATTGCGGTCACCAGCGTCAATCAGGGCCTGAGCGGCCTTCTCAACCCAACCGCTGACTTGGTCACGGGACTGTGACTCGAAGCTGGTGAGCATCTCAGTCACAGTTGGCATGTACTTATTTGGGTCAGAGCACATGTAGTACAGCACGCGCTTGAACACCCGCCCTGCAAATATGGAGGCCTCTTGTAGCTCGTAGTCGGGGTTTAGGAACGAGCTGGAGGCACCGGTTGTCAAATACCGATGCTCGCCAAATTCGGGAGGGATGGATTGGACACCGAGCCACCACGGAACAAAGGGAGCAGAAACAGATCCAGTAGGGGCGATCCAAATTCGAAGCATGTCAGGGTCGATGTCAGCTCGCAGGCTCACCACCTGGCCGTAACCAGCCTCGTCATCGGCAATTCGGTGGTCACGCACTCGTTGGATGAGCTTCTCTTCAGTCACGGGAACCATTTCACGAGTTGCGTCTTCTAGAGCAGCTTGGGACATGAACTTGTATCCACCATCGCGGGCTTTGTACCGAGGGTCTTGAGGGCCGTAGACATTGAAGATGTTGAAGGGTTTGCCAGATGTCTCATTCCACCAGCCTTGCTCAATGGCAAATGAGACGATGTTACTAGACCCCATGAAATCCGGATGTCCCGTGAAGTTGGTTGGGAAGTCTTCGATATATCCAGGGTATAAAACCTTGATATCGTTGGGGCCCAGTCGCTGGGCGGCCCAGATTTTCGCACCGCCCGCCATTTCCCACACGACCCATCCTTCATTTTTATCAGCGATGAGATGCGAGTTGCCACCGTAGGTCGACTCTCCGTACTTGGCTATCAAGTCGCCGATGATCTCGACGCCGTGACGAGCAGTAGTGGCTCTTTCCATGACTATCCGGGCAAGGTCACTGTATTGCAAGCCATGCTGGGGATTTGGGGTCATGTCGAGTAACTCTTGACGGTTATCAGCCCAGACATCACGAACAGTAACGCCCTTTTCATTGAGGCCGCCGTTGGTCAGAGGAGCAGGAAACCCCTCGTAGTCGGAGTACTCCATACTCAGATATCTGAATGTGTGGTTGGCTTGGGGAATCTGGATGAGTTCTCCGGGGAAGCTGGCTGCCTCTGTCACACCGACACTGATTGTAGCATTCGGCGGGTGATCTTTGGCGGGAAATAGCTGCAGCCAGTGGCTTGATACCTCCTCTCCGGTGCCACCGACGAGAACACTTCCGTCACTGGTGAGGTTCTTTCCAACGTAAAAGGCATAGCTGGCCGTTGCGGGGGAAGCGAGCCACAAAGTGACCGCTGCGATGGAATGCCGAAACATTGTTCAACTTCGGGTGCTTCGCCTTCCGACGACATTCAATGGAAGAAGTAGTTGTAAAGAATTCTGAATACCCGGGGGATAAACAGGTCAGTATTAAATAACGCTCCGGGCAGGGTATAAATGGAGACGCCAGTTCCTGAAGCCATACTAACCGTCCAAAACCAGTCGATCATTACCCAGTTAGTACTTCATCCCGTGGTTAATTTTGCTTATCGGCAAGTAATACCGCGCACCATCCAGACCTCTGGGTCTTTGAACCCTGCTCTTAATGATATCATACCTCTGCCAATTTTGCTCGAGGCCTGGCTGTCAACTGTGCCCTTCACCTTGCCACCGACCTTGTCTCACACGCGTTCTTCTTCCCCCTCCACTACACAAGGGGTATATCCTAAGATCAGGCTATATGTAATTCATTACACATCTTTTTTTTTTTTTTTTTTTTTTTTTTTTTAAATAAAATTACAGTCTATAGCTAACCTTTGACTCTATCTTTAAACCCTTTGTAGCGCTCATTGGAAGTTATCCTTCAAAAGGAAAAGTCCCACCGGCCCATAGAATAAAAATCAAACTCTTTGTATCACGTAATTTGATAAGCAGCTTCAACCCGATCGTAGAATTTGGTTAACAATTGGAAGAACGCCTTCATCGTGACTACGACCCTTACCTACGTAGTTGAGTCGGAATAAGGTGTAGCTTACACCTTTAATATCATGTAAGCCTGGGCGCTACAAGTTTGATAACATAAAACGGTGGTTAAATTCAAGTTCTTTGATAATATTTAGATTCTAGAATTAAAATTAAAACTAAGCAAATATTTCTAAAATCTTAGTTACTACTTTTCGAAATTCTCTTTGTATCAAGCTTAATTTATATCCAAAGACTGGTAGGATATTTATCTTTGGTTAAGTAAATTTACTTTAATTCTCACTATCTTTTGGCTCCTCGGTTCTGGCCCTAAGCTTTTTCCCTATCCCCGCGGCGTATGGTAGAGCCATCGCCCAGGTAAGACCTTTGCTCTTGGGAGCGGCACGTTCCTGCAGAAGCAGCCGAATAGAATCGTGCCCATTTTTCACAGCCCAGAACAGTAGGTCTTCCTCGTCTGTCAGAGGCATGTAGGCGCCCTCCTCTAACAGTAGCTGCACGATAGCCGCATGGCCTTTCTCGGCAGCCCTTGCCAATGCCGTCCTTGACCATGGCATTGGCCAAGGAGCACCTCTTGCCTCAATGTTGGCGCCCTTCTCTACCAATAGCTGTACGATGGCCGTATAGCCTTTCTCAGCGGCCCATAACAGCACAGTTTGGCCGGTTGCGGGATCCTTCGCTTCTAGATCAACGCCCTGAATCGTTTTGCTGGCGAGAAGTTGCTTTATCATGTCGATATACCCCTTGCGCGATGCCGCAATCAATGGCGTCCATGAATCGTTGCCAGCGATTGTCACAAAGCCAGTCTTGACGAGAAGCAGTCGACTCATCTCGATATAGCCATTCTCAACAGCCCACTGAAAGGGGGAACGGTTATGCGACTTTTCAAGCTTGTAACCGTCTTCACCGCCATTGACACGCCGGAAATTATTCCATCTCTTCTGTACATCGGTCCATCTCTTTTCCTCTTCAGCAACACTCAACCCTTCAGCCTCAAGAGTCCCAACAAATTCCATCATCAGGTCTAATCTCTCCAACTCAAGTGTTGCATCGGTAGATTCACACCGCAGGTAGAGTATTTCTTCTAGTCTGAGGATGAACATTGGCTGCCGCGCGACAGGCTGCCATGTCACTCGCAACTTGAGTGACCCATTCCCGGCTTCCCTGTTTCCGGATACTCTATTCTTCATACATTCGAACATTTTGGCCACAGCTTCGAGTCCAGTGCTTCTCTGACACTTCATAATACTGCACTGCGCCTCAACGCGATTCCGGCGAACCTCAAACTCGAATTCCAGGACGAAATCAGCAGGTAGAAGGTTTCCGGTGTTGTGGCGAAATCGGGCTAGGGTGGGAGATTTACAATCCTCATCGGATTCAAGTCTTGAAATCAACGAGGCTTGGTCTCTGTCCCAATTCTCGCGAGGAAACACGTCAACCAGCTCTATGCCAAGCTTAGAAAGTGCATACTCGTCGTATAGCCAATAGCGTTGATTCCCGTCTGCTGGCGTCTTGGTCCTCCCGCCGTTCTTGATATAGACAAGATCTAGCCGGCTGTGGGTTCCGGAAGTCATGGGTAATAGTATTGAATTGTGCCCCCTTGGCCTGATGTATTCGCTTGAAGACTCCGGTGAAATTTGAGCAAGTGGGATGCCGACCACCTGCTCTAGAATGTCCTCAGGACCGCAGCCAAGCAACCCAAGTGTTTGTCCGCCGCGCGTGGTGAGGGTCAAGTGGATTCGAAGACTGCCACCAACAATGTCAAATGAGTTTAGAGATGTAGCGGCTCTCTCTCGGGGAACAATATGTCCTGAATCTGCAAAGTGCGATGGTGCAGCAGCTAGAACAGGCCCAGCAATGAGTAACCCCGAGCTGACGTCGGATTGCCTCTTCGCGCTCAAGTCCCACGCCATGATAGAATCATCTCTTGATATCTTTAAGATCTGTTCCTGTAGGCGAAGAAACGCTTGATCACCACCCTCTCCATATATCATTGGCATTGTCACGCCAAATATTCCCAACAGGCAATATGCGAGATCTTCTCTTCTTTTCGTGTGTCTCTGAGCGGCCCATGACATACGTTGTGCCACGCTTGCATTGTGAAGATCGGTGATTCCCCAGAGAAATTGGCTGGGGATTCTGGTAATTTCCGTTACGAGAGCACACAAGTGCCTCTTCGTCCCCAAGCAGTTCCACTTCGAATCGTAGAATTGTAAATGCTTGGGGGCAAGCAGCTCTTGCAAGGTCCATCCTCTCCGGAACCAGCGACTCTTACGGAACGCAAATTTCTGCTCACGCGGATCATCATCGCCAGTGACATCGGACAGATAGGCGGAGCAGACTGAGGCTCTCTTATACCACCGAAACATGGAGTTGATCGCCTCGCTAAGTTCAACCAAGTTCGTTTTATCAATACAGAAGGTGTCAATCCAGGCGTACCCGAGACCAGCCTGCTGAGCCTGTCGACAACACCCCTCGAGCTTCACCCATCCGCCGGTAGACTTGTCCATTTTTTCTGTCTCAACATCGCGGAAATTAAGCTCGTCGTAGTCATTGCCCCACGTATGCGACAAGATAGCGTATGGAGGAGTTTCGTAGTCGAGAAATTCCTCCAGTTTCAGCGTTTTGACGTTAATGAGACGCATCGTCAAGGTAGAGTCAACAGCGGCCCGAATGTGGCGGGGCGGGGCAGGCAGCTGGAGGACTGGCGAGATGATGAAGGGTTGGCCACGTATTATGCGATGTCCTATGGTCTGTTTGAAGTAGTCGAAAATACCAAGCACTAGTCTGTGAGCATCGGTATGCCTGTGGTATGACGACCGCCGGGTCTGAATTTTTGCTTTGTGTGGTTCTATCATCATATCGGCAACAGTAAGCAGGGAGCCATAATGGACGGCCAGTAAGGCAGCCAGGCAAGGCAGAACTGGTATTGCAGCCAATCAGCACTGGAACATGTCATGTGTGGCATGAAAAGATGACGATCAATCATTAACTTCTCCAGCTTTCGCTGTTAAGAGCCCAATTTCGGGCAGGTTCTCATTGAGTAGGCTGTAGTTGATATTCATCTTACACGTTAATAAATCAAGGATTTTAGTACAGAGGAAAAGGTATCTGTGATTCACGTTATATAAGGGTCCTAGTTAAGCGTCTTCAATTTCCTAGGCAACTAGGCAAGCTCTCATAGATTAGCGTTCATATTAGATTAACTATAGAGCAGTAGTCAGATTTCCATAATGAAAATCTTGAACCGCCTCGACCAAGCAAGTCAAACGTGCTATACTTTCTCCAGGGTAGGCTACCTCTTAAGTTGATTGTCAACGTTTTATGCATGGCTATCGGATTGGACAAAGTTGTAGAAATTTTACCAGGTGGAATAAGGTCAGCTGGCATTCGGGAAATGCATTCTGAGGGACCTTGATAGTCTACGGCACAGCAAATGTCGAAAATAATGCAGTCTTGGCTGTTCAAGGTCTGGCATAAAAGTGTCGGAGGCGGGTCTCTGTCGGAGCCCGAAGTCAGCCCAAAGCCCGCTCGGCCATTGCTGATTCAGACCAACTGAAATGGATTTTATGTTGAAAAGCTTCGCGGTTGGAGCTTACAATTGACACGTTTATACAAGTTTTACTCGTACGTCCGGTTAATTGCTCGTCATGGATTCACCTTCACCAGCAGACTCACCCGGCACGTCACTGTCATTCACCTCATTGAACGACGACAAGCCGACGACCATTGTCCTTCTCCACGGAGGCTTTACGTGCCGTCTCGAGTTTGCGCTCGTCCTTCCGGGCCTCTCTAACTTCCACGTCCTTCTCCCCGATTTGCCATTGCATTCCGCGTCGCGCCACATCCAGCCGGGCACGACTGACAATTCGGCCCGGCATGTCGCACAGCTCATTCGATCGCACGCCCACGGCGGGAAAGCTCATGTCGTCGGTGTCTCCATGGGTGGCTACATAGGCCAGTGTCTCGCGTTGGACGAGCCTGACCTCGTGCTCTCGCTGTTTGTCTCAGGCGCAGCACCAGTCGTTGGCAAACGCTTATTCATGGCGCAGTGGACAAGATTCACCTACTATTCCATGTGGATCACGCTCAACTGCTTCCCCATCTGGCTATTCCAGTACCAGGCTTCATTTTCCGGCCTCAAGATCAGTGACGAAGTCGTAGTGGCAATGAGGGAGAATATCACTTGGGAGCTGGTCTCAGACATGTTCCCGTGGATTATATCGTTCACTCTGGATCACGTGCGGCAGTTGAAAGTGAGGACCTTATCAGTCGCTGGGGCAAAAGGGGATGACGTGCCCATGATAGAGAAGACGGCCGAGGCGTTGAGGAGCAGGCGGACGGACCACGGCGAGGCCTGGCCTGATGATGGGTCAGGAGCAATCCTTTTGAGAGAGGCCACGCATGGGTGGGACATGCAATTTCCAGAGCTCTTTGCCCGAGGAATATCGGCTTGGGTTAATGGGGAGAAACTACCTGACGAGTTTGAGAGGCTGTAGTCGTCAAAGAACCTCCGAGCAAGATGTGACACCTCAGATAAAAACATTGCTAGAATTTCTTTGTGTTTTATCGTTGCGCGTGTGTGTATACTTATCTCAATCATTTTTATGGCGCCACAGTACCGCGCTCAGAAAAGCTCATCCTCATTCAAAGTGATCCACGTCAGAATGTCATCGGGAATGTCATCGCGATCCATGTTATCGCGATCCATGTCATAAGTTTAGCCCGTCATCCTACAACTACCGCGTGTCCCACTCAAACAAATGAGTGTCATGGGTGGTCTAGCGGAGCCCGTGGGCATGCTCTATGACCATCCCTGCGCATATGCCTGTACAGTATCTGCCGTGAGGACGGCAATCGAGGCAGATCTGGCCTGGCGGTCCCTCGCAAAGATGAATGATCGTTGCGTAGCTGACCTGGCTGTCTGCTGCTGTGGGATGAGATGGCCTACCTATTTATGATCATTACGAATAAATTTCATTTATCTAGCTGCAGCTATACCTGTAGCCGTGGTCTAGCTAGGAAGAAGGGGTAGCCTGCGCGCGATGGTAGCGCCCAGGTTATATGGTTATTTCTGTTCGCAAGATTTAGTGTACCAACTAGAAGAGGATATCTATGCGTAGCCGATATAGTACAAATTGCCAGGGACAGAGGATCTTCGGGTATAGTTCCGTCAACCATGCTCTCGCCACTCAATAACCGAGCACGGTAGTTGTTTGGGGAGGGAACCACCGAGATTATGGTAAGATTTTAGTTGCCGGAGGTCAAGTCATAAAGCGGCAGTTGCAATGATTATTATGACTATTTTGGGATAGCTAGAGTGTATGAATATCTTTCATACTCTTGCTTCTAGAGTAGAAAACTTATATCTAAGCTCTGAATCTTTCATGTTACTTCTAGAGTAGAAAAATTATATCCAAGCTCTAAATCTTCCTACGCCAGCACAGAACAGCAGACCATCATTACACTCATCCTATTCTCAAGATGCATTTTATCCAGGCCGTCGTCTCTATCTTCACCCTCCAAACGCTTGCAACAGCACAGCTGGCGGACCCTGTACTTGTTGCCCGCAACGAGTTCCAAGTCGCCCGTGAGAATTACCTTGCTGCCCGAGACGAGTATCTTGCGGTCCGCGATCTTCATCTCCGCGGCACACATGTAAGCCGAACATCAACTGTCAACTCTTGTACCTTGATACTGATATCATTTTTAGGGTGTCGGAAAATGCAAGAAACAGGGCAGTCAACTGTATTGCGACACTGGTGACATCAAGCTCATGCGTATGCCCAAAACCCCTTGTGGGCCGAGTATGAAGGCCGGCGATACCTGTCGTTACATTATGTACAATTAGGCCTCGCTAGGCCACAATCCAGAGAAGGATTTAATCTGATCCAACTACGCTGGTTGTAGTTGAATGTTTAATATTAGAGGGTTATCAAGCGAAGCCTGATGATGTGTGAAGGCAACAGCCGGAGCACGGCTTCTAGATTCGATTTTATAATAGGACGTTTTGCAGTCACATGATTCGCGATAGTGACTGTGAATTGGGCGATTTTGTGAATTAGTCGGTTTTGAAGTACCGACTGCCTATTTGTCTGAGTGATATCGTGATTTAGTAGTTGCCATCGCTGGCTGTTTTCGCGCGTATGTTGTTGTTCTCCCTTGATCTTATTTATCTTCACCCTTATGAATACGATCAACAGCTGCAATCTCAAGCTGCTTCGAGCAGGTAATTTGACCCAATTCACCGCAATACTGATGAATGCGATCAACAGTTTCTGCAACAGGCAGGTAAGTCACATCCTGTTTGCCGTAATGATGATATCAACACCTGCAACCTCGAGCAGCTCTTAGATCCTACATACATGTACCTACCCTACACCCCGCCTCCCTTCCCCTATTTGCCTTCGCTTGCCCTTAGGGCTGCTTTGCAGGCACTGACTTGTATCCCTTCCGGCCGTGGCTCATGCAATGCAGCCCTCAATGATCACAAACGTTAGCTCTAATATTCACTCAGTGGTGATTGACTTTGATGCTACTATCGGTACATGTTTATAAGAGCCGCGGTGGATAGGATTAGATATACCTGCCCGAGGCCGCTTGAAGTTGTGTGTTGGTCGTATTCATTATCATCACGGCAAATAAGATCTGATTTGCCTGCTTAAGGCTACTCGAGGCTACGGCTATTGATTGTATTCATACGTGTTAAAGAGTGCTCTCCGGACCTGTTCAACTGGGGAGGCTGTTGGAAGGGCTTTATCCCTCTGGATCCGCCGCCGAGATCCCGGGCTCTTTGCCGGGCTTCTTAGCAGTAGACGGTTCAGGTGAGTAGATAACGGTGGTTGTATTCAACTAGCTAGAGGGGTCAGAGACCCCTATTTATCCTGTTCGAGGTCATGTGGCAAGGGTCTCTCTGACGGCCCGAAAGGCCCGTAAAGGTAACGCCTAGCTGTTCCAACAGAGGCAAACTATTAAGGTTATCTCTAAATACAGAAGAAAGGAGGTTTTCCTTTGAGAGGAAGCAGCGAGGGAGCAGCTTTTATAGTGCTTAACGCCTGCGTGATTCCAGGGTTTAGGAACCCTTGAGTGACCGGGATTATGCTTGTGAGGCCACGTAACCCTAGCGGAGTTGTAACAATAAGGTTTATAATATACGCGCGTATAGAGCACACGTCCTCGCCACACTATAAAACGCCTTTCTTATAATACCACTAAACACCTTCCTCACAAGCTCACGACAGCATTATCAAAGACGGGACAACTCGAGATCTATTTATACCCATCAAACAGTCTCTGATTGTTTCGAAATCCAGCAGCTATAGAAATTAATATATGGAGTAACCTACCCTCAAATTAACTATATAAAGCTGGAAGCTGCGCCCAACCCCCGAAAGGGTCGGACAATACCTGCTCTGTTTCAGCTTGTGCATACAAAAAGGTTCCAGCAACAGATGTAGATCAACTAATTCGATGTGACAATGAAGAGATACGTCGCCGCAATGTAGATCTACCTATTACTTCATACTCCATTAGGATAGATGCACGTACCGTTATAGTAGAGATATGTAGCATACTAAGGTTTGTGATCCTTGAGATCTTATCCCAGTCACCTCCAGAGTTCAACTTGGGTCGCGCTAGAAGAGCTTCTTGGTGGAGGCTTTCTATGTTGCGATAGGCTTAGAAAACTAGGCGTGTGCTGAAGAATCAAGATTATAGACTTCCATATTGATGAACCCTGAGCAAAACTATACATATGGCATTAGACTGAGGCGAAGACCTTCTGGGTAAATGATCAAATCACCTTGAGACGTGTTACCCTAGTTCTACCAACTATATTTAACATGTTGCTAAAGCGGTGGGCATTAAGTAGGCCGTTGAGTAGAAAGACAAAGCAAAGTTCTCCGACTGGTGGGTTTGATTTTTTACAAGTCCCTCGAGAAATCTGTTTCCCTATTCCTAGTGCGTAGAACTGAACGACGTTGATATCAGCGTTGACCTGCGTGCAAGAGGCGATGCTACAGTACCGCGCTCAGAGAAACTCATCTGCATGCCATCGCGAGTCACGCCATCACGATCCTTATTCGTGGCGATCCATTCTAGCGCAACCCTTTTTCATGGCGATTGTATCATCGCGATCCATGTCATCGCGATCCTTATTCATGGCAACTGTAGCATCGCGATCCCTGTGCGCGATCCTTATTCATAGGGATTCATGCCATCGCGATCCATGTCATAAACTCAGGAACCGCGAGATTCTAGACCATTAGTCTTAGACTGCCGAAACATGATTACGTATGCTCCTATTCTAGTAGTACGGAGCCCCAAATTTACCACCACATTCCTAAAGCTTCATCTAGCCATAGGCAAAAAGGAGGTAAAATATCCTTGAGATATTTCATTGTCATGAGTGCTAGTAAGTGAATCAGCATCGCGGCCGAATTACAGCTCTCACAAATGGGAAAGACGTAAAGTTTATGACAACCAGTGTATTTTGTATGATAGGATGCCCTAAGTTCTGTAGTACTATACCCCTTCGAAACTCAATCGTACAAACATATCCCCATCAGTTTCCTTCCCCTGTTGCAGGTCAGGGAAATAACGCGGCCAAGACACTCCAGTTCCTGGCTTTCTTTAACGGATTCTTAATCACAGCCTGTCGAAGGATTCATTCTGGCCTGAGCCCCTCTAGTGGCGGTGCCTTTGTGGGGGTGGAGAATTAGGAGGAGTTGAGACTGGGCCAGGGCGAGGGTGAGGTTCAAGGTCCCAAGCATCCCCGGTGCAATCAGTGTCTTCTTGACGATCTTTTGGCTTGACAAACCCATTATTGGCAAAACCGGCCGAATTGCCTGCTCCATACTACCACGATGGCCTGTGACTCCTCTTAGAGCACGAGCCGTGCGCTAGACCATGGCTGAAACTTGGACACAAAAATAGGACATGTCTTGGTTCTTAGGCAATTTTCTGTATATAAGATGTTGTCTCTTGCTGTCTAGAAAGCATGTCCTTTTCTATTCGTCAAAAAACATTCAAAAACAACCTTCTCAAGGAATTTTTCTTTTTGTCTTTCCTCATTTCTTCTCGACAGTTGATACCGGCCTGGTTCTGGTTAAACTCCCCTTTTTATCTTTCACATTTCTATTTACATTGATACAATTTTACTATTTTTATTCCCCTCTTCTCTTGGAATTCAAAATGGTCGCCATTAAGCCAACTCTTGCTGCCCTCCCCTTCCTGCTGGCCTCCGCCAGCACGGTTGCGGGTCAGCAGTTCATCTCCGGCGATGACCTTGCCGTCCGCGCCGATCTCGTCGACAACTACGACCTGCTCGATACCCGTGACGATGACATCATGCTTGAGGAGCGTGGCAGTGGTAGCTCCAAGACCTCTAAGAAGGACAAGCCTGTTACAACCAAGTCTGGCAAGACGATTGGCGAGCCTAAGAAAGTCAAGGGTACCCACCCATTGGCGGTTTCTGATAAGGACCTTACAACACACGGCGGTCGGCCTGTCTCTTCTTCCTCTGTTAATATCCCCATGATGCTGGATCTCACGGGGGGGAAGAGCAAGAAGGGAAGACGCAGCATCTACCGGCGAGGCAGCGGCCAGTCCAAGCCTGCTAAGCCTGTTACAACCAAGTCTGGCAAGACGATTGGCGAGCCTCAAAAGGTGAAGGGCACCCACCCATTAGCGGTTCCTGATAAGGACCTCACGACACATGGTGGTCGGCCGGTCTCTTCTTCCTCTGTTAATATCCCTATGATGCTGGATCTCACGGGGGGGAAGAGCAAGAAGGGAAGACGCAGCATCTACCGGCGAGGCAGCGGCCAGTCCAAGCCTGCTAAGCCTGTTACAACCAAGTCTGGTAAGGCGATTGGCGAGCCTCAAAAGGTCAAGGGCACCCACCCCATAACTATTCCTGACAAGGACCTGAAGTCTTCTTCTAAGAAGCGTCCTGTTTCCACCACCTCCAGCAACGGCGACCCCTTCTACCTTGACAAACACAGAGTCTCTACCACCTCCAGCAACGGTGACCCCTTCTATCTTGATAAGAAGGGCAAGGGCAAACGCAGCATCTACAGACGAGGCAGTGGAAGCTCCAAGACCTCTAAGAAGGACAAGCCTGTCACAACCAAGTCTGGCAAGTCGATTAGTGAGCCTAAGAAGGTCAAGGGCACTCACCCCATGACTATTCATGGGGATGACCTGAAGTCTTCTAAGAAGCGTCCTGTTTCTACCACCTCCAGCAACGGTGACCCCTTCTACCTTGACAAACACAGAGCCTCTACTACCTCCAGCAATGGTGACCCTTTCTACCTTGACAGCAAGGGCAAGCGTAAGGGCAAGCGTGACTTCTACATCGACTACTACTATGCTTGAAGGCTGTCCTTTCTCGTCGCACTTCCCCTTCAGGAGTATGTCCAGAAAGGCATTGGAATCTTGGCATGGATATATGGTACACCGGTAACAGAGAGGGCAACCACTCATTTGGATATTCTACGGGGCTGTTAAATAGATCTAGTCTCAGTGGCCCTACGGCACTAGCCTAGAGGATAAATACAAACCGCGTCCCCATTACTTGACTTGTTTCGTTTTCATTATAACCTCAACGCGGTAGGACGATTCAAATATTTAAGCCTAAATTCTAATGATTGGTTCTTCATGAGAAAGGACTTTCTAACATAGCAAGATCCACATAGCCGGCAACCGCCCCTCACAGATCAGAGAACCATCAAGTGCTGTGAGTGTTTTCTCCGAATATGCTGTCGAAGTTGATTGATTTGGACCACCTTGTAGGTCTGGCTAAATGTTAGCGTCGATAGATATTTTCCTTGTTCGGTTATATGACTGGTAAGGGCCTTCCCCCTTGCTCCAACCGACCGAAGGAGAATGCTACCAATGGTGGGGATATGTCCAAATAGCTCAGGAGAGTGGTCAAAATGTCCGTCGACATTCTCCAGGCGTTGAGGTCCTTAACGCGGTTTTGCCTTCAGGGCGATTCTGGAAAGCAGGTATGAGGATGCATCGTCCTGTATCTGGGTCGACGCTATAGCAGTCTGCCAAACCAAACGGCCAGCTGAGCTTGAGGGAGTCCTGGAACTGCTGCCAGAAGAGAATCATACAGTACTCGATGTTGGGTGAAAATGGAGCGTTCGCGCAATCCCGGCCTTTATAGATCGCTAGGATTTGGATACTTATGGGAAAATGGTAGGCTCACTTACCTCATAAACGAAACACAGTGGCGTATAAATGTAGTATCGCCTGGGAAGATCTAGACTAGAGATATTATTAGAGTGTTGGTCTACTGGTCACATGCTGGTTGAAGCATTTACCTTGTCCATAGCCAGCGAGGAATTCTTTGGCGTCTGTCTTAGTTCGGATTGCCGCAGTACGTTATGAGCAAATGCATCGTCCTCAATATCCCAATTCGTCCCACTTCGCGGCATTTCGAGAAACATAACTCATCAGTCTTAGGGAGTTTCCACCATGATACTTTCAACTTGCCTGCCTTGACTACGATATCCTACCCATCTAGAACCGCCCGCATAGGTGAAGCTGAGAGACGGACCGGTAATAGATAGAGAAGAGCGGAGTCATTGCTCCGCCTCCGGATCCTAGATAATCTGCTCCGGCAGCGCACACTCACAACACTGCCGCAGCCCACATAGCAAATTGAAAGATCATCCTTCCTCGCACCTATAAATAGCCCCTCTATCTACGTCTGTGCCCAGCCTACCGCATTATTAACCTATAGATAGAGGTCTAGCAGGCTTGCCTAAGTCTGGTAGGTGCAAATACAGCGCCTTCGGGGTGATAAATATACTCTGGTGTTTAGTAACTTAATACTCCTTCCTCGACTGAAAATATTCCTTCCTCTACAGAATAGTACCTTGACAGTCTGAGAATATTCTTACAGCAGACTTGTAGCACAGTTACAGTAGGAACAGGCTTACTAGTAAGTATAATATTCAGATAATATGAGTATGTACCCGTGTTGAAAACCGCCTGTGTCTAAAAACCTGATACGGGTGTATAGATAGGTAAGCAAAGTATCTGTACAACTTGGGGGGGCGGGCTACTTCCGAAAATAGATCAACGTAGTGGTTTCGTCAAAATCATAGTGCATCCGTTAGTATTCCCTAGGCAATGCGCAGTTAAAGGGATTCATAGCGATCCATGCCATCGCGATCCTTGTTACGAACTCAGAACTACGGAGATCATAGTGAGATTTTAGTACCATATCGCTCTTGTTGCTTGAGTTGGAAAACTATATCTAAGCTCACAATCTCTCCAATACAGTATAAAGCGGAATACTATTATACTTACTCTATTATTAAAATGTATTTTATTAAGACTATTATCTCTATCTTTACCCTCTATACGCTTGCAACAGCACAGCTGGGGGATCCTGAACTTGTTGCCCGCAATGAGTATCGAGTCGCCCGTGAGAATTACCTTGCTGCCCGTGACGAGTATCTTGCGGTGCGCAACGAGTATTTTGGGAAGCGCGACCTTGAGCTCCGTGGACCAACTGTAAGTCGAACATATATTATATTCACAACTCTTGTACCTTGATGCTGAGATCAGCTTTAGGCTACAGGCTCGTGCCAGCCAGTGGGCAAGGAATTCCATTGCCACCCTCCTAAGGGCAAGTACATGCCTATATTCATAACACGTTGTGGCCCGGGAGCCAAGGCCGGCAAACAATGTGAATATAACACGGGACCACCTTTTTAGGCCTCGATGGGCCATAATCCAGCGTAAGATCTAGTTTGATCGAAAGCACGCTGGTTAATTGTTAAGCAAACCTGCGAGCAAGGAAAAGAACCCTTTAGATTCGTGAAGGTCCGATCGATGGATTTTGAGGCGGGAAGCTACGGGCTAAATAGACATCCAAAAAACCAAAGCATCAAATTCGAACATTTTAAACATTTGCCTACCTATGTAGGTAGGTCACCGGGGGATGCTTTGCGGAAAGAACATAGAATGGCCTTTGAGGACGCGGTTAGATGCAAAGCTATTATCCTCTTGGCTTTTGTCGCTTTCTTTGATTCTGAAAAAGAAGATCTAAGGGACCATGAATAGGTCTTTCCTTTCCTTTCACAGTATCGAAAAGCCCCCCAGAAAAACTCCATCGCCAGTGATTGCCGGTCACATGCCCGACCTACTTCTATACACTGGCAAGAATATATATATTTGGAGAGCAAATAAATAACCTCGCAGTTTAATCTATGTTCATGATGTTGAATGTTCCAATCAATATTCACCTGTATAAAGATAGTACTTCGAAATCTATAATATTCTCTGTATTAGTATACAAGAGCTCACAACCACATTATGCACAACGGATTGGTCGCGATTCGAACACTTACATCATTTATGTCGAAAGATAACATCGTGCCTTGTGACCAAAATTAACATGGCGGCAAGTTATTCTTCTCATAAAAGACCTTCGCACTGCAAATGATTGGATTTTGTTACTCTTTGATATTTTCTACGAAGGTCATCGCTAGAGGTCATGGATATATGATAACCATGCAAAACTGGGCGATATCTAGGGTAACTATGATCCTGTTCATGAAGTTGAAGACAATCCAAGGTCTTTACTCTAGAGTAGTTTTATAAAACCTCATGTTAACCCTGTGATCAAAAGCTCGATTATCTTAGCATTTCAGGAATCGAAAAGTGGCTGGTGTCCTAGCTTCCTATGGGAGCCGTTGATATCTCCTCAAGGTTCTTATTATTAAGGTTAATATTTGAGTTATTAAGACAACTAGGATACCGACCTAGAGACAACGGCGCTTCAATCAAGCCACTCAAATCCAAGTCTCTTTGACATTTCGGCTCTGTCAATCCGGCTTGACGTTGCATCGGATCTAGACAGCGTAACGTCGGTGATAAAGCTTACGAGCAATGAACCAATTATCCCTCTCGACTCTTTCTCCGCCTTTGACTATTTCAGTAGGGTCAGCGGAACTTTTGCTTATCGCCAATAAGCTCCTAGGCATAATACTTTGTGGTATCACGATGGTTGCTTGTCTCTTGCCTAATTGCTACTAGGTCCATCCATCTGATGCAACTCAAACCCCGGACAACGGCGATGACCCATGAAGGGGTCAGCATGCCAAGAATTGAGTATCGATTGTACCATCATCTACTACATGACTCTGGTTGCTACCTGATTGTCAGTGGGTGGCCTCTTGCGGAGAAGGCATTCTTGAGCGATTTGTCCCCTTCCGTTGTATCGGCGTATACAATCCTACCCTGCGTACCTATTTGGTCGCTCGGTTCATGGGAACGAATACGGGTAGGATGCTATTCAATAAAAGAGGGGAGAGGAACATATAAGTATCGGTCCCCTCCTGCATAGATCAGTGTTCTCTTCAATCGATGAGCTCGTCCCATTAGCAGGGTGAACCCATCAGTCATTCTTGTCACATTCAGATTGAGTCAGTAGCATCATTTTGAACCATGCGTCTCTCATCAGCCATTGGTGTTGCCATTCTCTCGGCGGCCAATGGCCCCGTGATGGCCAAGGAATTGCCCGTTGACGAAGCAAGAGCTGCCAGTAAGTCCAGTTGTCATTAGCCTACACTGAAAATGAAGGAAACTGACCACACGTACACAGGGCTCTACGACTCCGGAGTTATTCATCAGGAACTGATCTCCAAAAAGATCGTACGTGACTAAACTCCGTGATTAGCTCGTCGAGGTTATGGCTAACGTGACTTGGTAGGCACACTGGGAAGCCGAGATGGAGGCTGGCCTCATGGCCAGTGACCAGTTCCCCCGTCTCAATGCTACTAAATGTGTCAATGGAATTGCCGAAGCAATCTCGGGTGACCCTCTACACACCTTCAAATGCAAGAACGTAAGATTTCCCAAGTCCTGTGTGGTTTTTCTTCAACTAACCATATTGCTAGATGGACTTGTTGGACTTTATCAACCACGAGGACCTTGGCTCCACTGGATACTACCAGAATATCAGGTCTGGAAGCTCTACCTGGGGCTGGACCGACCCTGAGTCTGGTCGGGAGTTTATTGGTAGGTTTCGGAATAAAAGGATCTATTTTAGTGCGCTTATACTAACACCATGATTGAATAGCTTCCGGTGTATACGATGGTGTGAGCTTCATCGAGATCCTTCCTGAAGGCCGCCTGTTGCCCCTTGCCTTCCTGTAAGTAATCCCTGGCTTGCTTCAATTATCCTTTGCTAACACTTTTTCCTTAAGGCCGAAGTGGGCGACACTTGCTAGTGGTGCCTGGTGGACCGAAATCCGTCCATACAAGCATTACATGGTCATTGGAAGTGAGCTTGTTGGCAACGGTGTCCAAATTTTCGACATGACCAAGCTTCTCCCCCTGGATGGCTCCAATGGCATCCATCGGTTTACCAACGCGGAAGATCTCACTGGCCATTTCAACGAGACCCTTCCAGTTGGCCGAAGTCACAACGTCGTGATCAACGAGGAACTTAATTACGGTGTTGCTGTGGGTGTTCAGCCACGAGACCAAGGCTGTATGGGTGGCCTTCACTTTTTCACGCTTGATGACCCTTCAAACCCAATTTCGTTGGGCTGCGACGGCCAAGACGGCTACACACATGATGTAAGATCAATGAATACTCTCCACGTGGTTGTTTTATTGCTTTCTAACTCCTGGCAGGCCCAATGTCTAGTATACCGTGGGCCAGACGAGAAATACGTTGGTCGAGAGATCTGCTACGGCTACAATGAAGATACTCTTACAGTGTATGGCTCCCCTTTACTCCAATATCTCACCAATCTCCAAAACTAATGCTGTGTCCAGATTTGATGTTACAGACAAGAGCGCAGTTACCATCATCTCCCGGATCACCTATGAGGGTGCCACCTTCACACATCAAGGTTGGGTCAACGATGTCAACAACCAAGAGTACCTTTTCATGGATGACGAGTATGATGAATACGATCTAGTGGGCCCAGCGGCCGATGGATATCCTGTGACTTATATTTGGGATATCCGCGATTTGGAAAACCCGAAACAGACGGGCCTGTTTAAGGCCACCACCCGCGGTATTGACCACAACCAATACGTCTGGGGTAACTACATCTACCAGTCCAACTACGGAGCCGGTGTTCGCGTCTACGATATCTCGTCAGTGCCTTCTGATCCCACGGGTAACAGCGTCTGTGAGGTTGCCTACTTTGATACCTATCCCGAGGACGACCAGGATGAGGGCAACGGCGCCGTCAAATTCTCAGGCTCGTGGCACTCGTATGCCGGCTTCAAGTCTGGTTATGTATTTATCAACACCATTGAGCGCGGCGGGTTCCTCGTGAAGCCCACCAAGTATGCGCCGTGCCCAGCCAAGACGTGCAATGCCGACAACTGCCTGCGATCATTGCGCGCCGAGAGTGTTAGCGGCCGATTGGAGGAGAGTCAGCAGTTTTGTGCTGACTTCACAGATGGCTGGAATGCGCAGGTTACTGATGTGCCTATATATGCCACGGAGGCTTGCACGGGCAACGTGATCAGCCGTGTCTCCTCGGCGTGTTCTTGTCTCCCAACACCAACAGCCTCCTAATTTGTATGCAAGGTGCTGGTCTTTAGGTAGTTTAGTTATGAGAAGCACTGTCAATCTGAATACCTGTTACGAATATCAAGACACCATGAAAACACGACCGCAGCCATCCACTTGGTGACTATGAAAGAGATACTTCTTACACGCAAACAATAAAAATCAATAAAAGGCCTAGTCTTACTGCTGAAGATTCTGAAATGTTTGCCTAGTCCTGGCAGGCCTGTCTGGCGTCTTGTTAAATTCGTGCTGTGCCTGCGTACCACGCTCAAGCGATGCTCTGCCGAACGCCCTCCTGCCCGTCTGGCTGGCTGCGAGTTCGATCTCCTGGGTTTCTCCTTGTATTAACTAATTTTATCATAAGTGGAGAGGTGCTCTTTTCCTTCTTTAACACAATAAGCTGTACACAATAGTGCTTCTTGCTACGGCCACTATATCATTGAATTGGCTCTCGCACGTTTCTCTCTACCTCCGACCTTTCTCAACACACTTGTTAAATGCAATCTTGTTATCGGCAGGATTGTATCGATTGCAGGCAACTCCAACAGAAGGCTTTCTACCACCGAATCTCTCTGATAGTCCTTCACCCGCCGCAGCCCTCGCCGGCGGCATTTGATTTTTGAGCCCACCTTATTCCATCGACTTTGAGCTCAAGAAATCATACTACACTTATCGTCATGGCTGAAGAAGGCGCCATTTCCCCTCTGGTGATGCCAAAAACACCATACGATGACGTTTGTTGATCCCATCCCCTGCCCTCAAAGCAGCTCATTAATTAATGTTGAATAGCTGCATCTTAATTTCAGTCCTGAAAGCCAGATCATCACCGAGATGATGAGCAACGATGAAACGTCCCCGACAATTACCGTGGACAAGATAGTCGCCCTTACCTGCACCTTGGCCGCAACTTCTTCCGAACGCGATTTAAATCAACATGCTGTGAATGTCTCGCACACAATTATTGCGATTGCAACGCGTGTACCGCATGAAAAACAGTCCAAACTCGTGGAGTTTTGTTTCCGCCTCCAACTGCATACTATCCCTGATCCCATCAATGGCGGCACCTTATCGCCTTTGGGACTGGGTGAAGGTTTGTGGTCAGAATGGCCTCACTTACAACGCGTCGCGGACAGGCATGAGTGGAGAGATTGTGAGTTTCAGCAACATAGCTCTAGTGCTAGCCCGCGCTTCTTTACCATGCGTCACCAAGGAGAATTGAAAGATTGACGATATTTTCTAAGTTTTATGTGCAGTTTATGATCTACGCAAGGCAGGCATTAGTCAGATTTACGAAAATTACTCGGCCTGGCGTGCTCAACTATCCGAATTGGGATTCTCCTTCTGGAAACAGGAATCATACCTCAGTAACTTGCACCTCACGTGGCCGTTTGGTGATCGCCGTCTTTGGATAGGAAGGAGAGATTCCGTACGGTTGATGTGTTTGTGGTTTATTCATGCCCCCAACAGGCTGTGGTTTGATGCTCATCTCCGCCGAAGAAATGTGTTCCTGAAAAATCGACAATTCCGACGCTTCTTCTGGCCACTCTGGAAAGAATTTCTTAAGGTCTGCCTGGAATCAGAAGTCAACGAGGACAAAGGGAAGTGGTTTGATGACAGGTGGGACGACACAGAGGGTGTGAGCGAGCAAGATCTCTCGGATGCAGACACGCAGGAACTCATCAAGCGAGCGCTGGAAAGTATGGAGAAGGTTGAGGCCGACCATGCAATCCGATCAGGTAGGCCGTCTATTAGGTACGCAGAGAGCGACTGATTAAATGGTTCTCACGTTTCTCGGGCTGGGCCTCTTTAGCGGGAGTATCCGATATGGCGAGAGAACACAAAAGGCATCCCATCCATGACCCTACATTACACCTTCACTGAAACTTACATTGGAATTGTTCTTACATCGCCATCTATTTAGCATACCACTGTCTAACATAAACAATCCTAAAGAAGATAAAACCAAGCTAGAAAATAGATGCAAGATTTATTTCCCTTACAGACTAGATCTGTTCTTGATTGTTTTTTCATCTTGAGATCTGACAGGTCCCTCATCATCTCCGAAAAAGACTTTAATCGGCAGCCAGTCATCGTTGCCCACTTTGAACCGATCAGGCAGGGCGTCGAGCTTCTTCATCTCGTTTTCTGTCAAGTCCCATCCATCAAGATCGAAGTTGTCCTGAATACGCGATGCCGTGACTGACTTGGGGATGACATCCCAGCCGTGCTGAATTCCCCACTGCAGTAGGCATTGTTGGGGAGTCTTGCCTTTGGCCTTGGCGATTGAGAGCAAGGTCGGGTCTTTGTAGAGGGGCGAGTTTGTGCTGCCCAGACACGAATACCCGGTCAGATGAATGCCCTTGTCCTGGCAATATTGTACCAGCCTGAAAGAGGGGTTGTTCGGATGTAATTCGATTTGGTTCACGGCCGGCACAATCTAGAAGTAAGTCAGCGCGGTTTTCTTGTGTTTTATAACGCCAAGAAAACTTACCTTGCACGATGGGTGATTCAACAGCTTCTCCATGTTGGTAATGCCGAAATTGGAGACGCCAATGTTCCTAATTTTACCAGTGGCTAGCAGCTTTTGCATTTCGCGCCACGTGTCGACGAAGTCCCAGTCCTCATAATGAGCATTTTCCTTGCTTGGATCGGTGCTGCAAGGCCAGTGCATGAGCCACAAGTCGAGATAATCGACGCCGAGGTTCTTCAGAGACTCTTCAAGCGCCTCGGGTGCACGCTTGTGATCTGGGTTATTCAGCTTGGTGGTGATCCAGACCTGTTCGCGTGGGATTCCCGAGTTATTTAGGCCCTGCCCTACCTCGGACTCGTTGCCATAGCCAGCTGCCGTGTCGATGTAGCGATAACCTGCCGCAAGAGCAGCCTCTACAGCTCGGACGGTTTGGTCTTTGGACGACTGCCAAGTTCCCAGCCCGATGGCGGGGATCTTGTCACCAGAAGCGAGGGTGTATGTTTTGCTGCGGACTGGTCAGAGAATGATGGCTGGCTGGTGATAACTTTGCCACTCACCTTGAGTTCTTTAAATGAGCCATTTTTACAGGGATGGCAGATAATGAAGACCTTGGAGGAAGTAGTGAAGGACACGAAATCGACACATATATCCGAAGTCTTGAGATATGCGGGAGTATGACACTGAGATGGGGCCCACACCTTGTGGAAACGCAGTTCTCCGAATCTATAGACCCTGCATAGTGTGGGCGGTGATATGCCAAATTGTTATGGATAGTTCCATAGCCTCAAAAAATGCGATCTATTAGTTGTCTAAAAGTATAGTTGGTCACTTGATACCTCATCTCGCTGGGGAAGGTCGTTTCGTCAACCGTATGCTAAGCCTATCCGGAGAAGGACAAGGCGGACTGCCTACCCTGCAGTCACAACCTCCGGCCATCGGAATGGGCCGGCGATGCGTGAATAGCGCAGCTCGAAGCGACCTTCCTCCACCATCCGCGCTATCAAACTCTGCCGGCTGACCCATGTCGCCGCTTACGTATTGTCTAGCCCATGCCATGACTCGCATGGCCGGGCTGCCCCAAGCTGTCTCCCTACAACCCGGTACATGATGGGGTTGGGGTGCCAGGTGCATGGGAACCCGCCTGTCATGTCATTCATTGTATCAGAAACAGCGTCGATGAAGATGGAAACCCAACTCAAATTGCGATCTCGGCTCCATGTGACAGCCTAGGGCATGGTCCATGCCCGCTTATCTGCAAGCATCGCTAGTCTGGACGCTCCGGCGCTTTGATAGCAATGGAGCCCAGGCGATTCCCAGATAACCACGGCCAGGACGAGGGCTTATTCCTGTGGGGAACGAACCTGGACCTATCTTGTCTTTCCCCCGCTCTCTCACGAGATTCCAGTCACGATAAGTCCGGGGTACAGACGAGACCCACCACTACTTATTATATGGTGATAGCCCACTAGCCTTGTGGAACACCTTATCAAGTCTGCTCTTTGCTGTTTGATCCAGCCTGATTGATAAAACGGTTGTCAAGTATAAGGCTCGCATTCCCACTGCATTGGGATCGTCGCCTTCAAACTCCTACCATCAGTCTACATAGTCCCCTGTCGCCGATATTTGAACGGCATCTTCTCGAAACTTTAACCTCATGGCTGCGTCAGACAAAGAGATCTCCCCCAAGGAGACCTCCTCTCCCTCGCGAGAGGAGGAAAGGGGCGAAGTTCTGAAGATTGATATCAAGAACACGGATGAGGCAGCGGCCTACCTCACAAACGCTGAGCACTATGAGCCCCTCACGCCCGCACAGCACAAGAAGTTTATGCGGAAGGTGGACATGATTCTGCTGCCAATGGTATGAAGGCATCCAGCACTGCATGATAGAAAGACCACGAGGCTAACGTGAACTTCTCTGCTTACAGTTATTCCTTGTTGCTACCCTCGGAGCGTAAGGATTGTCCTTAATATGTTCGCGTTATTTCTAACTGCTGACATCGGCTTAACAGGATCGACAAAGTTGCCCTTGGAACTGCGGCTCTCTATGGACTTCGTGAGGACAATGGCCTGGTCGGCCAGCAATACAGTTGGCTCGGCTCTATTCTTTCACTGGGTGTAAGTCATGAGAGACTTTCAATATGAATAGGCAGCAATCGTTGAATCATCGACTAACCAAAACATCAACAGGCCCTTGTTGGAATGTTTCCATCTTCATGGCTTATCCACCGACTCCCCAGCGCCAAATACCTGTCTGCCTGCTCCGTCGGCTGGTCTGGTTGCGCTCTTATCATGGCATCATGCCACAACTTCGCCGGACTCGCCGCTCTCCGATTTATCATGGGTATGCCAATTGAAACTTGAAGAAGATTTTATAAGAGAATAGTCTGCTGACAACGCCAACAGGAATGTTCGAAGCCATCATTGTCCCAGGAATCTCTCTGATTCTCGCCGGTTTCTACCTCAAGGAAGAGCAGCCCCCACGAAACGCCCTCGTTTTCGCCGCCGCCAGTTCGGTCGTCAACGGTTTTCTTTCCTGGGCTATTGGGCACATCCCATCGACTGCTCCCCTGGCTATCTGGCAATATCTGTTTCTTTTGACTGGTGAGTTGAAATAAGACTACAGCAAGGATGTTTTCTGAAGAAAATACGCTAACCAGACTCGCTACAAAACAGGCTCCGTTTCCATGCTCTGGTCCATCATCGCTTTCGTCTGGCTCCCAGGCACACCGATGGACTGCTTCTTCCTCACTGAACAGGAGAAGTACCACGCCGTCAACCGCCTTGCAGCCAACAAGACCGGAATCGTCAACCACACTTGGAAATGGTCCCAGGCCAAGGAGGCCGTCATCGACCCCAAGACCTGGATCATCTTCTTCTTCAACATTGCCATCAACATTCCTAATGGCGGTCTGACCACGTTCGGCGGTCTCATTATTGCCGGTCTCGGCTACTCTGGCGTCAATGCGTCTCTTCTGACGATGCCCACCGGCGTCATGTCCACGCTCGCCGCTTTCGTCTTCTCCCTCATCTCGGCCAAGTGGAAGAACCGCCGATGCTTGGTGACCATGCTGGCCTGCGTGGTTCCCATCGTGGGCACAGCTGTTGTCAAGGCCCTCCCCCGCTCCAACCTGGGAGGCCAGATGGTGGGCCTGTACCTTCTCTACACCTACTTCGGCCCTTACGTGGTCGGTATCGGACTGGCACAGGCAAACACGGCTGGCCATACCAAGAAGACGGTCGTGTTCGCGATCCTGTACATTGGCTACGCTGTTGGTAATCTCATCGGACCTCAGACATTCATCGCCACTCAGGCTCCTGCATACGTCGGCGGCACCATCTCCATGATTGTCTGCTACTGTGTCTGCATTGGATTGATGGCATGCTACTGGGCTCTGGCCTCTTGGCAGAATAAGAGGAAGAGTGCCGCGGCTATTGAATCTACCGCCACTGAGGACGCTGTGGAGTCCTTCTTGGACAAGACCGACTTTGAGCAGGAAGGATTCGTCTACACTACTTAGGATAGGTCAAGGACAGAGCAGTACTTGCAAGGGCGAGGGGAACTACGGATTAATGGATTGCTCACTCATCCATGTTCATAGAACTAAGTCTTGCGGGGATTGGGGTATCTGGGGGTGGAGAGTGGTCAATTTCGGAATAGTTTCTGAAAATGAAGTGAAACTGGCCATTACTATTGGTAATTAATATGTCTATACTACTCTTGATGATAAATCATGGTTTACATGTGCAACAATTAGCCGTGCGTTGAGTAGTTTCCTGATCGCTCCCCCCCTGATAAATCCGCTAAAAGCCTGGTAGCATTCTTGCTTGACCAATTAAAGGTGATTTCTGAGCACTACCAGCTTGTAGCTTGTGACTGTACATATGTATCGTACAGGTATTAGTTCCAATTAGCTTGCTCATGTTGCATATACCCCAGTCCAGTGATGGGACCCTGGTGGTGGCCGAAGACTCCGACCCAGCATAAAACCCCACAACCCCCAACAGGCCTCAAAAAGCAAAGGAAGGTCGTTTCGAACTTCTAAATCTCTCCGGCATATCTACTCCTCGCCACCATCTCCACGCCGGGGATAGAGTCAGCTGATGGATAACCTCCTGGACTACCTCTTTAACACGGCACAACAGACAAATGGTTCCACTGCGATAATCCGAAGACGAGCAATCGTATGATGGTTGTTGGGATTCATCCTCGTCGGCATCATCCTGGGCTGCGATTTCGCTTCACTGGCCTTTAACTACGAGAACAAATCGCCCATACAACGCCAGCATGACCTCAGTATCATGATACCAACTCAATTGGCAACATGGCTACCAGCACGCCCAGCAAGGAAGACCCCATCCTCATCATAGGTGCAGGGACCTTTGGCCTGTCCACAGCCTACGAACTCTCCCACAACGGCTACAAGAACATCACCGTCCTCGACAGAGCCTCAGAGATCCCCTCGCCCTACTCAGCCGGTTGCGACCTCAACAAAATCGTCCGTGCCGAATATGAAGATCCCTTCTACACCGACCTCGCTCTTGAGGCCATCTCCGCCTGGCAGTCGCCCTTCTTCGCCCCCTTCTACCGACCGACTGGTCTGGTCATAGCCAACTCGGCCGCGGCCAGCCAGCGCGAGAGAGATTCGCTATCTAAATCGTTCGGTTCGATTGAACACAACCCCAAATTTCCGGCCGGTTCACTTTCCCAGATAAAGTCGCGAGAGGATCTTCAGGCTGTTGCTCCATCGCTCACGGGCGCTGCAAAGGGATGGACAGGCTATTATAACAAATTCGGAGGATACGCCAGAGCCGGAAGGGCCATGAAGGCCATGTACGACACGTGTGCAGCTCGCGGGGTGCGATTCGTGCTAGGCCCCCGCGACGGGCTCGTCGCATCGCTCCTCTTCGATGGGAAACGCTGCCTCGGGGCGCAGGCAGCATCCGGACGGAAGCACGAAGCCTCTCGCACGATCGTGTGTCTTGGGGCGGACGTTGCCCGTCTCATCCCCGAGCTGGGCGGTCAAATTACAGCCAAGGCGTGGTCAGTTGCTCATATACAGCTGACGGGGGAGCAGGCGAGGAGCCTGGCTGGCATCCCCGTTATCAACTGCCGGGACTTGGGCTTCTTCTTCGAGCCGGATGCCGATACGGGCCTCGTCAAGTTGGCCGCCCATCGAGCTGGGTTGACCAACTACCAGCCTGCAGCCGGGGGGAATGGACAGGTCAGCCTACCATCACACAGTAAAGATGATGCTACGAGGGGCATCCCCCGGGATGACGAGGACAGAATCGTGCGACTCATAACCGAGACCATGCCGCAGTTCTCTCATCTGCCCCTCGTGCGCAAGTTCATCTGCTGGTGCGGCGATACGGTCGACTCCAATTTCATCATCGACTTCGTTCCAGGCACTGAAGCGCAGTCTCTCATGGTTTTCTCTGGGGACAGCGGACATGCGTTTAAGATGCTGCCGGTGGCCGGGCGCTGGGTTCGGGATGTCCTGGAACGCGAGGAGCAGAACCTGGCTAGGTGGAAGTGGAAGAAAGATCTTAAGGGTGGTCCAGATGACATACACTGGCGGCCGGGCGGATTGGAGGATCTGAAGGATGTCAAAGACTGGGTACCGCAGACGATGGTACCTAATGTGCGTCTAGAGAAGCTTTAGTGCTATGAAGCAAGCGACACATCAGTTAGATTCGATGAGAGACAGATACTTGGATATTTACGTTGTAATTGGTTGGCAATTTGCTTCATAACATATCTTCGTTGCTACGCCAGACTTAAAAGATTTCCTCTCTGCTCTGCGAGATCCTCCCATCGTCCAGCCTTTCCCACATCTCTATCCAACCAAACAGCCTGCACTACCTCCTTCGCCTTGAGAATACTCGCAAGCGGCCTCGCATTAGCCATCTCCGTGAACTTATCCAGTATCATCCGCCGCTCATCTTCCGCCCACGCGCCAAAGGTGCCTAAGATGAACAGAGGAAAGATCATGGTCGGTTTTGGTGGCATCCGGGCGAGGATTCTCACGACAGCCGCCGTAAGGGGCTGAAGGGTCGGCGAGAGTGGCTTGACCCCGTCCACGCCGGCATACAGGTATATAAGGGCACACAGCCTCTTGCACTCGGCGATTTCGAGCAGCTCCGCCCAGTCTGAGGCCCGGTCAGTCGAGATTTGCTGCCGAAGGTGATGTAGCGTCCTCTCCACTCTGTCCCGTCGTGCTCTAAAGGATTGAACAGCCTCGGGGTCCGCCGATGCCATGTCAGCCTTGCGAGCCTCAACTATCAGAGCACTGATCTCGGAGATTTGCTTTACCAGGCCGCGGGAGCAGACAATGGTGGCGTCAATCTCGATCTCATCGTCAGTTGCGAACCACTCGCGCGGTTCGAAGAGCGTCTCCTGCTCCGATATCCTCCAGCCCATGACATCGTGGGTCACGAGCCAGGTAACGCAGAATCTCTGGAACTTGTCAAACATATCGAACCCGCCCGGCCAGAGAATGTTGCAGATTGCGCGGCCAGCTTTGAGGTGCGCCATCCAAGTTGATGAGCACGTCTCCACGATCTCGAGTCCAGACAGGGTAATCATGGTAGCGAGCAGAGCTGTCAGCGTGTTCTTTGCGTGGCCCACTGCCTCTTGGCAGGATATGACTTCTTGTCTAAGCCACCTTAACGCCTCTACCTTGTACTTGGTGGAGAGGTTGATCAGCGCATGGCGGTTGGCGGCCTCATAGGATCGCTCGTATGCCGCCCAGCTGAGGACAGTGAAGTAGAGTGCCTTGGAAGTCAAGGACAACGGTGCGATGAAGTCCCGGTAAGGGTTTTCGGTGGCCAGACTGCTTAAATTCGGGCATAAGGCGTTGACATAGTAGTCGAAGAGTTGAAACTCGAATGGGTCCTTACCGGAGGACACGAGATAAAACTGGCTAATATTTGTTGAAGAGTCAAGGTGTCGGTTCAGACTTAAAGTACTCCAGTCGTCTTCATCGTGAGCCGGCAGCTCTTCAACTTCTTGCTGGGCTTCACCTTCACTTCCATCCATTCCGCTGTCTCCCTCAGGTACATTGAGAGGGGTTGAGGGATGTTGAAACGCGGATGCAGCTTCAGTTACTTTGGATATCTGGTCATATTGGGTCACAAAGTGCTTGGATGAAGCGTTTAAGAAGTAGAAGCTCCCTCGATAGCAAGGAAGCGCCGGTGTGTGCCTCAGAACGGGACCCTTTGATGGTCGGCCATAGACACCTAATCCCAAGTATCAGTATTCAGAAGTGTACTCGGGAAATAGACGTGGGGGCGCAGAGCATCAAACAGAAGAACAAAACAAGGAATGGGATGCATGCATGGCTAGTCGTACCTTGTCGGCCGAAGCATATGCCCTGGGCAAGAGCCTCCTCTCTCCAGGTCAACTTCAGGCCATAGTGACATTGATGGTTAGATCGGATACAGTTGCGGCAGCGAGGTGTTTCTAAGCTGCATTTCACTCGACGCTCTAATGATGTCACCAGTTAACACACGTTGTTCTCATGGCATGTGTGGTTTCACTGCTGATCTTGGACCCTGGCAGGAGTCAGGACCAGGTGGATAGCCTGTGCGGCACAAAGGGGCCTTGGGCCGGCTCAGCAGGTGGAGAGAACTACCTTTACATTTCCAGCAGGCAGTCCTCCGCCTCTTCTCATTACAGCCGGGATCTGCCATGGTCGTGATAAGAGGTGGCCAGATGGGCTCGATCTGGCGGAGCACGCTGGATGCTAGACTACAACGCACCGGAGCACAACTGAGACGAATCCGTCTGGGGAACACTGAGCAAGGAGCAAAGGGGAATTCAGGCACTCGACACGGGGCCCGGCTTGAGCTGATAGTGCGAGGTATCGACAGGTATCGACGAGGCTCGTGAGGGGAGGAGAAGTGAAGCGAGGAGAGATGGGGATGGATCCACGATGGCCGCAAGTTGGCTTAGAGCAGGAAATGGCAGCGACCCGATAACGGATTAGCGGGTCTTCCAGCGGGGCGTTTGGCTTCAGCGAGGGAAGGTCGATTCGTGACTCGCGTCGGCCAATCAGAGCGGATACTGATAACTGACTGCGAGCGCGATAAGCCAGAATGGGCAATATAGGGTAGCGGCATGCAGGCGATAACCTAAATATTTTGGGATGGTCAACGCGAGGTCACGCACTCAACCAGTCAACGAGTGCCAGGACGTGAATAGATATGCAGTCCAGTCGATTCATCACGGTGCCCCGCATCTCTGGCCATTTGGATGTGTCCGGTCCCATCCATCGCTTATGCAGTGAGTGTGCTGCCCCCGCCGTCCCAGACACCTCCACATCTACGGCACCCAACCCACCGTCAGCTTCGCCATCGAAAGGACCCCGACATCGCAGGCACCCGGGATATTAATCAAAGGGATTGCCAAACGGACACCAGCGGGTTTAAGCCGATGCGGGGCAGCCGGGAACATTGGAAGGTCGATTCGACTTGACTTCTCTGGCTATCTTATAATTCATCCAACCTCCCATCGGTGTATACACACGTCTGTATATACAAATACACAGCTTCGTCAAGTCCTTTGGGGCATGAAACACCCACGAACAGCATACTTTCGCACCATTCATTAATCCATTTGTTACGTGGAGATACGTCTCCTCAGTGTGCTCATTCATGCCTGCACCGCTCAGCATCTCCCCCTACTATTATTCTTCATCAAAAGTATAACGAATAATTATTCACAATGTGTGTCGCAAACTTATCGACTCTGCCGCCCGCATCCATCTCCATTGCGATGGATAGAGGCGGCACCTTCACAGACGTCTGGTCTTCGGTCGACGGCCAAGACGATTTCGTCTTCAAGCTGCTTTCCGTAGATCCCGACCACTACAAAGATGCGCCCACAGAAGGTCAGTCTCCTACTCGGCTAAAACATCTCATCCGTTCGTTCTCTAACAGCAGTTAAAGGTGTAAGAAGAGTATTATCACACTATCTCGGTCGCGAGATCCCCAAGAATGAGCTGTTGCCCAAGGAGCACATCAAGGCCATCCGCATGGGAACGACCGTCGCCACCAACGCCCTTCTGGAGCGAAAAGGCACTCGCCACGCCTTCTTGGTCACCAAGGGCCACCGGGATGTCCTGGAAATCGGCTCGCAGCAAAGACCCGATATCTTTGCCTTGAATATCAAGAAGCCGTCCACTCTGTACGATGCCGTCGTCGAGGTTGACGAGAGAGTCACTGTTGAGTTTTACGACGAGGCTCCCAAGCGAGCCGACGGTGTTCGCAAGGACATCCAGGGAGAGGTAGTTAAGGGCCTTGGCGGCGAGTATGTCCGTGTAATTGAGAAGCTTAATGAAGAAACAACCAGAGCCTCGCTGCAGAAGCTCAAGGACGACGGCTACACCACACTGGCGGTGTGCCTGGCGCACTCGTTCCTGTACGCGGAGCACGAGAAGCGAGTAGAGGAGATTGCTCGTGAGATGGGTTTCGACCACGTCTCCATCTCATCCGCCGTCGGTGCCAACATGGTCAAGATGGTGGCTAGAGGAGGTTCTGCCTCCGCCGATGCCTACCTCACCCCTGTGACCAACGAGTACATCCGCAGCTTTGCCTCTGGCTTCGCAGGTGGCAACCTCGATGGCCTTCGCTGCCAGTTCATGCAGAGTGACGGCGGTCTCGTCGACTTTAGAGCCTTCAGCGGCATGAAGGGAATTCTAAGCGGCCCTGCCGGTGGTCTCGTCGGATATGCTCGCACATCATACAATGGAGTCACTCCCACAGTTGGGTTCGATATGGGTGGCACATCAACTGATGTGAGTCGATTCGGTGGTGTTTTCGACCACATTTTCGAGAGCACTACTGCAGGTGTCACAATTCAGAGCCCCCAGCTCGACATCAACACCGTCGCCGCTGGTGGTGGCAGTATCCTCACTTGGCAAAACGGTCTGTTCAAGGCCGGGCCTGAGAGTGCCGGCGCTCATCCTGGTCCAGCTGCATATCGTAAGGGCGGTCCTCTCACCATCACGGACGCCAACTTGCTGCTTGGCAGACTACTGCCCGAGTACTTCCCCAAGATTTTCGGCCCCACCGAGGACCAGGCACTGGATGTCGATATTGTTCGGGAGAAGTTCGAACAGCTCGCCCAGCAGATTCGTCAAGACACCGGCCGTGATCTGTCGCCCGAGGAGGTTGCTGTGGGATTCATCGAAGTCGCAAACGAGTCCATGTGCCGCCCTATTCGCGCTCTGACCGAGGCTAGAGGATTCGAAATAACTTCTCATAACCTTGCTGTCTTTGGCGGCGCTGGTGGCCAGCACGCCTGTGAGATTGCCGAGAACTTGGGAATCCAGAGAGTGGTCTTGCACAAGTACTCTAGTCTTCTATCCGCGTACGGCATGGCTCTCGCCGAAGTTGTGCAGGAAGGCCAGGAGCCTTGCAACGAGTTCTTGACGCCTGAAACGCTGCCTAAGATTGAGGCCCGTCATACGTATCTCTGCGAGACCACTGCGGCCGAGCTCCTCAAGCAAGGCACCGACAAGTCCGCGATCAAACACGAGATCTACCTCAACCTTCGCTACCGCGGTAGTGACACGACTCTCATGATTCTGAAGCCAGCTGATGGTGACTGGAAGAGGGAGTTCATCGCAGAGCACCTTCGAGAGTTTGCCTTTACGCTTCCTGGCGACAGAGAGATCCTTGTCGACGACATCCGCATAAGAGCCATCGGCATCAGCACTGAAAACACAAAAGACAACGACTTGCTCTCGAGAGAGCTGAAGGAGGACAAATTCGTTGCAACCAAGGAAGAATCCCTCGCGTCTGAAACTGTAAGCATTTCTGTTTGTTCCCTTTATCACCTGCATACTGACAAAACCCATAAGCGCCCCGTCTACTTCAAGCATGGAGGCTCCCACCAGGCGAAGGTCTTCCAGCTTCAAAACCTTCCCACAGGCCATCTCGTTACCGGCCCTGCCGTCATCATTGACAAGACCCAGACCATCATTGTCACACCTGGAAGCCAAGCCAAGGTGCTGACCAACCACATCGTCATCGAAGTCGCCGCCCAGACACCCCGAAACAACGATGCGCCCGCCGTCGACCCAGTCCAGCTCTCTCTCTTCGGTCATCGATTCATGAGCATCGCCGAACAGATGGGCCGGGCATTACACAAGACCAGCGTGTCCCTCAACATCAAGGAACGGCTGGACTTTGCCTGTGCTATCTTCGGCCCCAACGGTGACCTGGTCGCCAATGCACCGCACGTTCCTGTATTCCTCGGCAGCATGAGCTATGCCGTCAAGGGGCAGATCGACCAGCTCGGTGATACGATGCGACCTGGTGATGTCTACGTCACCAACCATCCTGGTAAGTACTTCCTCAGAACGTGATATAGATCTCTCAAGTTGACCTCTTCCCCGCGTAGTCCACGGAGGCACACATTTACCCGACTTGACCGTCATCACTCCCGTATTTGATGATGACGGCAAGGATATCCTCTTCTTCCTTGCCTCTCGTGGCCATCACACAGACATTGGAGGATTTGGAGGAAGCTCCATGCCTCCCAACTCCACCGAGCTGTGGCAGGAAGGTGTCGCCATCAGAACGTTCACCATGATCCGCGATGGCAAATTCGACTACGAAGGCATCGAAAGGATCTTTGCCGAGCCAGGCACAAGGCCGGGATGTAATAGCACACAGCGAATCGGAGACAACATCACCGATCTCCAGGCGTTTGCCGCCGCAAACAACAAAGGATCCAAGCTTCTCAGCAAGCTCATTGATCACTACGGTCGTAAGACTGTGCATCTATACATGGATGCCATCCAGACAAACGCTGAGATTGCTGTCCGAAGCTTCCTCAAGGAGATCAGGGCCAAGGGTCCTGAAGATGGCATCTTACGTGCTATCGGCTACATGGACAACAGCTCGCGCATCCACTTGGAGGTGCGCATCAAAGAAGACGGCAGTGCCGTATTCGACTTTACCGGCACTACCCCCGAGCAGTACGGCAACATGAACGCCCCCACGGCCTTGACGTACTCTGGACTCATCTTCTGCCTCCGGTGCATGATCGGAACTGATATCCCCCTCAACCAGGGCTGCATGGCCCCGATCGAGGTAATCATCCCCAAGGGATGCTTCCTCAACCCATCAGACGAGGCGGCTGTCTGCGCCGGAAACACCCACACCTCCACCCGCATCTGCGACACCATCTTCGACGCCTTCCAGGCAATCGGAGCGTCCCAGGGCTGCATGAACTGTGTCGGCTTCTTCGGAGACGAGAACGTCGACGAGCGGGGTCAGACAAAGGGCTTCGCCTATTCCTTTGGCGAGACCATCTGCGGAGGCTCCGGCGCCGGTCCGACGTTCCACGGCGCGCACGCCGTGCACACTCACATGACCAACACGAGCATCACGGACGTTGAGCTGATGGAGAAGCGGTACCCGGTTCTTCTGCGAGAGTTCAGCATCCGACGCGGAAGTGGCGGCAAGGGCACCTTTAACGGCGGTGATGGTGCCCGAAGAGTCTACGAGGCGCTGGCGCCGCTGAGCTTCAGTGTCATCACGGAGAGAAGGACCACGCGGCCGTACGGTACCCGTGGTGGTGATCAGGGCTCGTACGGAAGGAATATCTGGAGGCGGAAGCAGGCGGATGGGTCGTACAGGGAGGTGAACCTGGGACTGAAGACCATGTTCAAGGTTAAGGCTGGGGACCAGCTGTTGATGGACACGCCTTCTGGTGGTGGCTATGGGCCTCCTCTTAAGGCGAATGGCGTGAATGGCACGCATAAGGTGAATGGCGAACAGAAGGATTTATATCCTAGAGCGCAGGGCAGTCTTGCGTCCTGGGAGAGCCGACAGGCTGACTTTTAACATATTTAATTTTGAAGTTGATACAAGTTGCCCATGATAGCTCAAACCAGATTATGGATAGTATTCCTTTGTTTTGTGCCCCAACGATTAGTTGACAAGAATATGGCTACATATGAGGGGGGAAACGTGGGCTGTTCTACTCTATTATATTCCAGATATATCTAATCTCTGGCCTTACGTTCAAGTAACAACAATGGGGCCTCTATTTCTAGTTTCTTACGTATCAATGTAGGTCGTGTAGGTACTTAGGACTCGGACTGGAGAGTTCACAAAGTCTTATAAAAGGAAAACCACTGGCAGGACTCGTTGCTTCTTCAAATTTATTCACGAAATAGCTATTAACATCAGTAATCATTTCTTTCTTCTCCAAGTACCGACTCGATACTCTTGAGGTTTGTTCCGAAACAAAGTAGCACTTCAATTTTCATGATACTGACATATATCTATACCGGGCTTTCATTCCTAAGTGCAGTTGTTACCACTTCAGTCCCAACATCAAGCCCTTGATCAACCCCGACAATTACGGTTACTAGTATGTTTTTTTGATAAGCACAGCTGGCCATTTTTGTGCTAATTTCTTCCCTCTCTTTATTAAACAAACTAAGTATTGAAATGATTTGTCTTGTTGTCGAGACTTCTTTTGTCGTTGAATGTAACCTTATAAAACACCAATCCAAGTTGTATATGCGCACAATTGAGAGATATGATGATATGAATGAACCGTGCAAAATAGATGAAAGGGGACACTCGATGCTCTCTACACATATTTAGTTTTACTTGTACATCTAGGCTATACGAAACCACAATCTTGCTGCAGGTTACATTGCTAATGGAACTGAGCGGTTGTTCCTGAAATACGAGATCGCAATCTCGCCACAATCACGAATATGATAAGCTTTTTTGTGACTTCCTGTTTTAAATCGCATAACCACCTGTTTAGGAACGGAAAGGAACGGAAAGGGACGGAAAGCACGGGGAAATGGACAAAATGGGAACATGCCGTCAAGGTTACATCTACCTTCCTAATGGATTCGTGCCAAGGATACTGCCAAACCTCTTTATAACACGCACCGTTCCCAAGTAAATTGCAGGCGGTGAATCTCTAACTTGACCTATTTGACCAAGACCACCAATATGCGAGTTACTCATCTCTTTAGTGTTCTGTCTTCTGTAGCCGGGAGCCTGGCCGCGACATACACGTCGTGTTCTGAGTCTCAGATAGCCACACTTGAGGTGGCTATCAGTCGAGCTACTACCAAGGCCTTTGCAGCCATTGATCATTTGGAGGCCAATCCAAATGGTAGCGACTTACAAACAACATGGTATGGGGAGTTTAGTACTGAAAGGTACAACAAGATCCTCACTGCCTTCAAGGTAGGTATATCTTACTCTTCCTGATAGATTCTTTTATTTGTGTATGTGAAGCCAGAGGCTAAAGAACGCCCACCCTAGAAATTTGCGCCTGATCTAGCTACGACCTTTCGTTATGATTGTTCCTGCCAAAGCACTGCCGTAGTTGCAACTATTGGTGGTACATATGGCGATGTCAGAATCTGCAGTGTTTTCTTCGACGGCTGGCCAGAGACTGGCCATCGCTCACAGTGGGAGTAAGTGATACATAGCTTCATTCCAGCCGTGCTGAGTTCTCACGATGTCTTAGTACCATCATCCATGAAGCGACACATTCCGAGACGTTCTTGGGACTCGAGATAACGGATACGGCGTTGAGTATTGCAAACAGTTTGCGCTAGAGGACCCTAACAAGGCCGTCGAGAATGCCGAGTGAGTCATAAGTTCTCCTGTGATAACATTATCGTCCATCCGGTACTGACCAGCGCACAGCAATCACGCCCGCTTTGCCGTTGAAGTGCCCCCATTCGGGCCGTGAGAGAACCTTTGAGTCGCGATGCTAAATGCTCGCATACTATGACCGTGGGGTATTCCTGTTATCAACAAGATCGGTATTGAGAAAATCGTTCTGGCCAAGGGGTGCAGCTCCAAATCTAAACGAAAGGTCTGCTATTCTGTTAATATATTTTGTGAGCTATTTCTGTTACGGGCTCAGCCTTGGACAAATAATATTGAAGGGTCATATCAAGATAATGAGATCACATTTGGATATTCGGAACTTGAATCATAGCTTCTCTTTTAACCTATATATGTCCTAGACAGGTACTTGGACATCTGAAAATCTTTTAGAGAGTAGAGCGCATGGTACATGCAAACACATCGTAGTGTTCCTTTTTCAGCCTATTTCACTGGGATATCGTCCTAACCCTGTTCCTAAGGATGCCAGTAGTTGGGGGAGAGATTAAGCTGGCGACAAGTTAGCTGGTGAAGAACCAAACATATAGAGTCTACTCACAAAGCCGGCATTGATGTCCTTCAGAGACCCAAGTCCCACATTGGCGCCATCAACAGCAAGTTCCTTCTTGAAAAGCTCGATGACGCGCTCAACACCCTCCTGGCCGAACACATTCGAGTACATGAAGGGGCGGCCGAGACCAACAGCCTTGACACCAAGGGCGAGAAGCTTGAGGGCATCAGTGCCGTAGCGAACTCCGCCGTCAGCGAACACTTCGGTCTGGTTGAATATCTCAGGAGCCTCTTTGTAGATATCAATTGCAACTTCCAGGGCAGATGGGGCGCCATCGAGCTGGCGACCGCCGTGGTTGGAGAGGACAATGGCAGGAACCTTGTTCTCAACCGCCTTCTTTGCATCCTTGACACTCATAATACCCTTGACAATGATGGGGAGATCTGTCATGTTCTGGAGTTTGTGATAGTAGTCCCACTGAGAGTGCGTGTTATTAGTATACAGGGTTTGTCGACTTAATCATATGGTGCTACTTACCGTGATGTGGCGGTAGGGGACAGATCTAAGCACGATGGTTAGCGTATGGTTCGAAAATATGGTATATGTATGGACTTTACTTACGCCAAGCTTACATCAAGGCGGGCAGCGCGGTGGCGAGAGCCGAAGATGGGAGCATCGACGGTGAAAACCAGAGCATCGGCTCCAGCAGCCTTGCTGCGGTCAAAGAGGCTCTGGGTCTCAGTATCGTTGGTAGTGAGGTAGAGCTGGGAAGTATTAGTACAGCAAGAATTATAGATTGCTCTTACATTCACATACCTGCTGGAACACGACCTGGCCCTCGGCCTTGAGAGCATGGATTTCCTCAATGGACAGACTGGCGTAGCCCGAGGGCTGTAATTTGTTAGACATATCCCTCAATTGAGTGTCAATGAACTTACAATGTACAGAATCTTGCCAGCAGCAGCTCCCTTGACAAGGTTAGCCTCCGCATTGGGATGCCCGTAAGCGCCGTAGGCGCAGGGGCTGATGTAAAAGGGAGCCGAGAAGTTGTGGCCGAGGATAGTAGTACTATTAAATGTCAGAACTACCAGTCTACCTTAACCAGGTATAAAACCTACGGTAAAGACTCCTCAATCTTAGTAATATCATTCATCACCTCAGGGATGAAGGTGTAACGGCCAAACACCTCCAGGTTGTTCCGGTACGAGGATTCGCCCGCTGCTCCGTTGCGGTAGTAAGTGTAGTTCAAGAGAGGAAGATAGTTCCTCGCAGCCCAGTCAAAGTCAGGTAAGCCAACCATAGCCTTGAGGTCGGGCAGTGAGCCTTTGGGAGTGTCTCCGATGACCTCTTCTAACCCAGTATCTGGCTCATTGATCCACGGGCGGGCCGCCAGGGCGCCTGCAGCAAGGGTCGTACAGATCAGAGTAGAACGCATAATGAATGAATGTTGTACAACGACAATCTGTTAAGGAAGGTCGACCGATTAATCAAGCAAGTGAAGTATCATTGAGGTATACAACGTTTAAATAAAAAAAAATCCTAAAGCCATCTGTCGGTATACTAGTACAAGGTAAACTAACATAAGCATTATCAATCTCCTCTGATCCGGCTGAGAAGCATGGCTCCCATGACAGTTACAGGGTGCCAGCTTCATGAAAATGCCGCTGCAGCCATGCACAAGTGACAGATACCTCGACCCCTGATCCTCGGATGTAACTCGACGAGTCTCACGTATCTTGGACAAAATAACCTAGTGACTAAAAGTGTCAGGGGCAAGCTACGCCCTAGATCTAACAAGGATGCTGCTTAACTGTCTCAGAAAAGAAATGGAAGGATTTACAGAAACTCGCGCACAGGGCCATACAGACCCATGGGATATAGCTGTGGAATAGCCGGACGTAGCCGAAAAAAAGACAACAAAAAGGGTGGCGTGATGATAGAATATCAGGACCAAATGCGTACGAAATTGCCGAAATAACAGGGAGAATGAATAGATTCGGAATTAGCGGATGCTCTTGGATATTGTCATTTTGAATACCTGAGCAGGGCCAATGGAACTCGGTTAGTAAGCTCGCATCAACAGCGAAGATTGGAGGATCATGCACGATTCTACTTCTTGTTTGAAGGCCAAACCAAGACCCCAGTTATACCAATAAATCCATTCGAATACATCTTGATTCACTCATATTATCCAACTAGGAGTTCTTCCACTATAGCGCACTATATACCTAAGATAAAGTAACTTAATGCGATTATGTACTTTAGGATGCATGGTGGTGTGATTATGAGGCTCACAAATGGCCAAGCTACAAACGACTTCTCACTAAGAATCTCAATCGGTCTGTATCACGAAATATGCGGAGTATACGGAGTACATGGAGGTATATATATACATAGTACAGGCGCCATGTCATTATAGCCGTGAAATATCGGACAGGATGCTGACTAGAGACACGATGGCAGGGATCGCTTTAGAACATCATCTCCACTCTCGCCCTTTTTACTTCCAAAAGGAATACCTAGAACTCACAACAAATGACGAATCACCAGCATCTTGAGGGAAGGTGTTTTGGGCCTTTGACCCACAAACAAACGAAGCATTGCGTGGTTCGACCTCCGTCGAGATAACCGAACAACCCGAGCCTATATTGTCAAACGAGGCCAATAATTATTCTGTATACTTAATAGTAAACCTATGAACATTCTCATTTGTCAAGAACCGTCTCCCCACCTCAAATAGCTTCAGCTCCAAGAGTAAAGCGTACCACCTCAACAACGCTTCCATCAGGGCCGCGAGAATCAACCACTCGCTGCACCAGTGATCCCAACGCTTCCAGTCCAGATGCATTAACATCCTCTTCTTCACAAGCTTTCAGGATGTTACGAATACCCACAAGCTGCATTCCAATGGGGCTCCCTGCATTTTCATCGTAGCTTTCAGCATCGACTGTCTGGGCAAGGAGGCTTAGGTAGGGTACCAGAGCTGTAAGTACTGGCACAATTACAGTGTCAACTCTAGTCTTTATTGTGCCGCTGGCTCCCGAATTGGCTGCCTGCTTCTTGAGAAGACCGATTCCCGTGAAGAAGCCAGCGAACATGCCATACATCGTGGACAATGCCGCAAGATCGTTCGCAGCTGCAGAGCCCACATCGAGACCGGTGTAGATGGCCAGCCCGAGGGGTTCAACAAGCTTGGCAACATTGGTGTCGAAGCTCTCCTTGCTCTCACCACTGTATAGCACCAAGCTTTGGGGGGTGCCAACAAGCTGTGGTGTGACCATGACGGCACCATCAAAATAATGGGACGCGCCATAGCTCTTCATCCATTTCTCGGTATCGGTTGCATCCTTCAATGTACCGTTGGTCAGGTTAATAATTGTCTTGCCGGCAAAGACTGTCCTGTCTTTGAGAGGCTCCAGGATGGAATGAAGCGTGCCATAGTCAAGAACGCATAAAACAATGATTTCAGCTTCCTTGACAGCTAGGAATATATCTTGATGGAAGATTGCGCCCTGCTGGGTCAAGCTTTGGATAGCCGGGCGCTCTTTGGTGCGGTTCCAAAGCGATATAGGCTGATTGAGAGTAGGCTGAAGGGTTTTGGCCAGTGCCGCGCCCATGTTACCAAGGCCGACGAACAAAACTCGTGAGGAACTCATGGTTGCTTATTATGAGAGAAGATTCTGGTGATGACCGTGGTTGGAAGTTTGGTGTTGTTTGTGTGAAGGACCGTGTTGCCCAGTTGGATCGTGTTTCTAGTCTATAACTTGAATTGGTCTGGGACCAAGCCCCCTTAAATAGAGTCGAGGCGCCCATTCTTTCTCGATGGCAATTTTATTTTCAGTACTCTTTCAAATAAAAATTCACCAAATTTACCATTCAGTTCCGATGACAAACGCATCTTCCGGCGATACTCAAATTGGTAATTGGGGGGTCTCGTTTTCGTCGTATTCAGCTCTAAGGAGGTTCCGTCTTCCTTATGTTACAAACCAACAAGCCTATTTTACAAATTGCATCATGCCAGATCGTCACGTAGTAAGATTTGACTCAAGGGGCCTTTGAAAGGTGATGCGGCGTTCGTAAATGAGCCGTACAAGGAAATTGCCCACTCAGTATCCCCATTTAATCGCCAGTCACTTAATGAATAATCTCAATTCAGGTATTTACACGACATATATCTGGGGAGAAACGATGGTTTTTTCACTCTTGTCCAACATGAGAATATTACTGCGCATCTACAGAGTAAGGGATCTTTTCCTTTGTCTGCGTTCTTGGCCTTTGAAGGCCTCCTTGATCTTATCCAACATCCCATCTACAGTCAAAACATCGACAGCTACACCAGCAAGACCGTTGGCAGCCCGGATAGCAAGCTCAAACGCAGCCCTGCTCCCAGCTGCCACCTCAAATGCAGCCGTGTGTGTCCCCCCATCGGGAACTGATCCGTTGGCAGTTGTGATGGCAAACATCGGATGGATGCTTGGGAATTCGTGGCTGACATCTCCCTGATCCGTGCTTCCGGCGGGATCCTGAATTTTAGCAAGAGCAAGGTCCGGGAGCTCTCCTCCAAGGCCAGTAAACCACTTGGCATATGACTCGGCAAGAACATCGTTGGTAATCATGTTGGCGTACCCGTAAGGCCTGATCGTAACATTTAGCTCGGCTCCAGTCCCAATAGATCCGGCTTCGAAACATTGCATAACCCGATCTGTCCACTTCTCGAGGGTTGAAGAGTCTTTACTCCGAATTTGAAAACTAGCCTGTGAGAGCGAGGGAATGACATTAATCCGCGATCCAGCAGACGTGATGATCCCGTGAATTTGGTCAGTCTTTGTTGTTTGCTGTCGGAGCATGCTCAAGGCGTTGTAGGCCAGGACAAGGGCATCCTCGGCATTGATGCCCTCCCATGGTGAAGCCGATGCATGTGCCTCCTTCCCGTAGTACTCAACTTCAAAGCGATCTGTAGCAAATGTATTTGCATAAGGAGTGTTGCCGGTGGAAGGGTGAGCCATTAGGCTGATGTCGATCTTGTAATCCGAGAAGACACCAGCTTCGAGCATCTTGATTTTTCCTCCAAGACCTATGAATTCGTTAAAAAAGTTGTTTTGAACTAAGATCTTATCTTGCTTTCAAACATACTCTCCTCGGCCGGAGTTCCAAAAAGAACAACCTTTCCAGGAAGGCTTTCCTTTCGCATGATTTCTGCGGTGGCAAGGGCGGCGCTCATGCCAACTGAAGCGATGAGGTTATGGCCACATCCGTGTCCTAGTCCGGGGAGAGCATCTATCGTTGTCCGATTAACACTAGCTTTCTTGAAAGAGGCACATAATAGGTGCATACCATATTCCGAATTGAAACCAATGATCGGTCCATCGCCATTACCAGTAAAGACGGCCGTGAATGCAGTGCTGATATTCTTGACTGATCTCGTAACCTCCCAACCATCTTGAGACTCCATAAAGGTTGTCAGAAGCTCGTGGGCTCGTACTTCTTCGTATCCTAATTCAGGATTATCGTGAATTTCCTGGTTAATTGGCCATACGTCCTCTTTAAGGGTATCGAGATACTCTTTGATTGCGCCAAAATAAGGGCTCACACTCTCGTTCCGAGGGGCGAGGTTACTCGCAAGCACGGTGGAAGCGCCCAAAAGCGCATAACCAAGATTCTTAACCATGATAAGAGAGGCAATGGCGGGGAGACGGGTCTTAGGACGAGTTTAGCAGAGCGGAAACCTGCCAACTGGGGAGAAGAGCCGGGTATCTATAGGCGATGCTCGCTCCCCAACATCAGTCTCACCCCGGAACAGATCATTCTGGGTCTTGACTCTGTTATCTCAAGCCATGTCGGAAGTACTGCGGGGTCATAGTATTTCCAGGTTTCCAAGTGCCTATCAGGTCCCCGCAACGTCTATCGCCTTCTTCATTCGTGCCCTGCTTTGAACGAGACCGACATCATGGTGGGTCAGCTTCGTATTCCGTCACCGATTCCGGCGCGAGGGGCAGGAAGACGGCATTTTAAATGAAGACAGCACTACCGAAGAGTGTCGGAGAAGACCCGGACCTCATTTCGGGGAAGTGTCCGATAATGATGATAACCAACCCCACCAGGAATCCCAGTTCGAGAGGGGCTCCCGGAGAACAATTCCAGTTCTCATTCGCCACGGTTAAAGTTGATTCAACTAAACTAAACTCTACGCTACCTTAAATGTAACCTTGAATGAGGTAATTTCCACTCTTGATAGAGATATCCATGCTCAGAAAGCCCCGTCATGTCATCCGGGTCCTAGTTCTATCACCGATATGGCATTTGGTAATCTACTTACGTACGCATCCCCAAACCTGGTTTCAAAATGGTATTGAAGAAACGCGGCGTGTATCTGAAACCCATCATATCTTCCACGAGTTGCTGCAGTCTATCTATCGTCTTACTAGAAAACGACCGGGAGGTTATCACCATGATCCTTCAGTGAGAGGTTTTGATTGACAACAAAACATCGATGCGTTACCCCAATCTTTTTTTTACTTTTACTTTTGTGCAAATATTCCCAATTCTTTCGTTTCAAGGAGTGTGAGATTCTTCCAAAAATTTCATAGTTTAATGTTGAAGTTGCCATGAAGGGGAGGTGTAATTTTCAGTCTTTTTTTGGATTCAAGTTGAAATAGGCTAATAAAAGGAACAAGTCAAATAATGTTAGGCTCATTAATTATCTATGAACTGTATAAGCGACTAAAGGCAAAATTATTCGAAAGAAGCTCAACATACCTACCAGAACATCAATCGACGCTACAGGGTAGTTGGACTCTCAGACGCGTCTTCACTTTTGTTGTCGGCATGATGCATCAATTAATCAATAACACGCTACGACTCACAGGTCGTGCAAGGTACACATAACCAGTTCCATATCTCACACATGAACCGAATTCTTTTCTTTGGATTCCCAGATTTTCTTCTTGAATTTTAGAAAAGCTCACACACCTGCCAGGGTCGCGATAATATTTGCTGACGGAGGCTAAACCGCAGCGGGAAGAAGCTGGATTTGTCATCCATCAACAGACGGATGCCGTGGAAAATCCACGGCCTTTGAGCTCACCAATTCAATGCAGTTTACCTAATTGATCCTTGTCTCGGATCACGCCTCTCTGACTAATCACTCGACAGGCTGCCCTCGTCTGCCTGGTGGGGGCGGATGTTTGATGTCGCGACAAGCATCAAATTACCACATAGGAGCCCCCAACGTGTTAGCAAGATGTCGAGCCATACAGATAGCCAGTCGGATGATACACGGCCACACCGACGGAAATGTAAGTGCAGACGAGATGCATCACCCATGCCCGGTCCAGCCGCTCACATGGTCAGCATGCGACTTGTGCTTTAGGAAGAAGATCAAATGTGACATGCTGTTGCCCGTCTGCTCAAACTGCATACTCTACAAATCAGACTGCCGGACTAGTCTTATCCGGCACAGGGCTGGTCGTCAGACGAAGCAGACGAGGGCTAGTGACAAGGCTGCCTCGACAGATCCCAAGCCGTGGGTTTTGGTTACTACCTAGGTCATCAGTTCCTGATGGTCAAGCGCTAACAGACCATCCAGAACTGAACCAACTGATGATTTGGCCCATCGCCTCGTAAGAATCGAAGACAAGCTACAGGAAGTCCTGGAGAAGACAGAGCAAAGATATAGCACCCCATATGAGCTGTCCGGTGAGTCGCTGGGCCTCCCCGCCCTCGAAACACTCAAGCCTTGGGTGGACAAGTATTTTAGCACATTCAACGGTGCCATGCCTCTATTTCAGGAAAAGGTGTTTGATAGAGTACTGTTTGCGTCCTACAACCACTCAACAACTGCATGGTCAGCTATCCTTGCGATATCAGCAATAGGCATTCGCATGACGATACCGGGAAAAGGGCTTGCTGCGGCTAGTGACTTGCCCCAGTCAGCCAATGCAGACCAGTACGCGTGCAAGGCTCTTTCAGTCGCATTTGATCTGGCAAGTACCAGCGGAAACATTCTCGCTGTACAAGTCTTGGTGGCCCTGGCCATGTTCTTCACCTGCATGGGCAATATGGAAAAGGCCAGTGCTCTCATTGCCATGGCGGTAAACCTGGCCCATCGCTTGCAGTTGTATTCCAAGCACTCGGCACAATACATGCAGAAAGAAGTGGCGGAGCAAAGGCACAGAGTCTTTTGGGTGTTGTTTTCCCTGGAAAAGGTATATCAGAAGCGTCATCACAAGAGCAAAAGAATCGTGTTGATTTGAAGTGAATAGACCATCTCATATCAGACTACCCGCCCTTCCATGCTCGCTGGAGCCGAGATCGATATCCCGCCACCATCTAACCATCCCCTTGACGGCAATGGCATTGTATGGTCTCGTGATAGAAGAAGTAGTCTTAACTACTTCCGGAAAACCCTTGATCTCTCTTTGGTACTAAGCGAACTGTCCCATATTCATAGCATTGCCAGCGGCTCGGAAGGTTGGGCGACTCGGCTTTCCAGAACACGGACTACTCTGGAGAACTGGTACAAGAGCATCCCGCTGGAATTTCAGCTAGACAATGTCCTCTCGAACGCAAGAGAGGAAGATAGAATGCAACTCACGAAATTCTACCACGCTTATATTTTCGCACTCTTGTCAATGCACTGCTTCTTCAGCCCAAAGGCGAAGTGGATGCTGCGACTGAGTCAGCATGGCAGAGAGGCCGCTCAGAGTTATGCGACCGAAACGATTGGATTTAGGGCAGTCAGGTGTCTCAGCCAATGCGAGCCCCCCTCTGCTGAAAACTGGAGCCTGTTGCTAGATGCAAGTCGTGGTTTCATCAAACTATTCGGCGAAGGCCTGAATGCTATTGAACCGTCCACATGGTATGTGATCATGACCTCTCAGCCCAGCCACTCCTAACAATGGTGTTCTCTTTAGGTGCTGCACCAACACGTACAATTCGGCAGTGGTAATAGTCATGGCGGATACGCTGCTCTCGCCTTTCGATCCAATGGCAAATGCGAGCATCGTAGAAAAGGCGACAGAGTTATCTCAGATTCCACCTGGCAACAGCACTTACTCTCCAGCACTGCAGATACTTCTCGGGGAGATGTGTGGCGATTTGCAGGCCAGCGAAAGAGTACTTCAATCAGATATATCGAGTGACTCGCAGCAGGGGATGGTCTCAGATCTCGACCTCTTCGATCAACTAGAGGCTTCCGCGATGTTGGATATGTCAAATCCGTTACCTGACAATCCATTTTGGGAAGAAGGCATGTTGAGCGACGACCTCCCGTTTACTCAATTCTAAGTAGATAATCCACTTGCGAAGGGATTGGCCATCCCGATGGTATTGAAATAAAAAAAAAAGATTTCGGTTAGTGGCTTATGTGTGCAAATAGCAAATAGTTGATGATAACCAATGCAACATGCAGGTTCAGGATACCCATCGAGCACTGATCGTGAACTCCGCTAAGACACTCTTAAGTATTACAATTATATAAAATAATCTAAATTTGTCCCATTTAGGACACTGCGATCAGGCCAAAGGAAGCACTTTTTGCCAGGCCAGACGCCGTGGGCCAACCACGGAAATGCCGTGGACCAAACATCACCACACGTCTAAGTATAAAGGAAGTTGTCCTCCTTGAAAATTACGATCCGTCATCATCTCAAACAAACAAATCTACTTTACCACATCCTCTTATCATTTCCAGCAACATGGCCCTTCCTATCCTTACAGTGATTAGCGCCCTTGGTAACCAGGGGCGAGGTGTTGTTTCCGCCTTCCTCGGAGACAAAGCACAGTTGAAAGTGCATATCCGAGCCTTGACGTCGAATCTATCCTCTGAATCGGCTCAAGAACTTGCCAAAAATCCCAATGTCTCTGTTGTCCAAGTCGACTTGGCTTCCACCGAAAGCATCGAATCCGCGCTCCAAGGTTCCACGTACATCTTTGCCAACACCGCCTTCGACCCAGCAACGTTCATGGCACAAGGAGCAAAGGCAACAGAAGAGCGCGAGAGCGCCCAGATACAGAAGATCACTCGCGCGGCGTCAAAAGTTGCCACACTGAAGCACCTGGTGTGGTCTACTCTCCCAGATGCCAAGGCAGCGTCCGACGGCAGATATCATATCCCTCACTTTCAGAGCAAGGTTGCAGCGGACAAAGTCGTCTTGGAAGCCGGGAGTGGACTGAGTGATAAGACCACATTTCTTCGAATTGGAGTGTATGGCTCCAACCTTCTCAGGATTCCGCATCGCCCTGTTTACTCCGTACGTTACACCCCTTGGGCTGCATGAGCCCTTTCTCGTTAGTCTTTGCGGTGATCTTTGTGTGAATGCTAACATTTGAACAGCCCGATACGAACACACATCTCGTACAGTATCCAGTGGGCCCAGATGTGAAATTCGCATTCATTGGTGACGAGGTGGTCAACACCGGTATTTACGTCAGAGCGATTCTGGAACAACCCGAGAAAACCATCGGCCGGGTCATCGTGGGAGTCGCCGATAATCTCTCGTGCACCGAGTGGGCAGCCATATTCCAGAAGGTGCAAGACAAGCTTGGCTCAGGTAGCAAAGTCACGTTCAAGGAATGTTCTCTGGCGGAATACGAGGAGAAATGGGGCGCTATCGGAACTGAAGTTGGCCTGATGATGACCTATTTCAACGAGTTTGGCGAGAAAAGCTTTAGCACGAGTACATGGGGCTGGCCAATCGCAACAGCTGGGGATCTTGGGATTGAGCATGAATTACGCAGCACTGAGGAAACACTGTTGGGCCTGGAGTGGCCAGCCCAGGATTAGTTGAAACTTGAGAGGGTTCTACATTACTCTAGCATCCTAGCCACAGCTTACAATCACTCTATTACTTTTGTTGATAAAACATTTTCGTGAAATTGCTCGTCAGCCTTCAAGGTTAACTTTCCGCAACTCGTGTCGAGGCTTGGAACCTAATTGAAGCTAAGCTAAAAACACCAGCCCCAAAACACTCTGGGCTATGAACCAGCATGTTAATACACAGCAACAAAGGAGCCCAACCTCGTGTGATTAGTCTCAAAAGGTCAGCGAGCAGTTTCGGGTTTTAGATAACGGCTAGTCCGGCCCCCAAGCCAGGCCGGGGGTGAGAGAGGCAAGGTAAGACAACGGACTGCGCCTCCAGAAGAAAAAGAGCGCGAAATGTCAATTCAGTCATTCGATTTACCTCCCCCAAAAATGCTTTGAAGCTTAGTACCAGTTTTGGGATTTTCTTACTATGATCTTCTATCAGACTCTGAACCGGTGTACGGGGAGAGAGTGAGTTTGAGTATAAAGTTTAACAGCAAACAGCAATGGAAGATGCCAGGCCTAAAAACTCAGCACATGAATACGAAAGGTTAAAAAAGAAAAGAGTCTTCGCTACCCATTGAACCGGCGTATTGAGGTCTTAGCTCAACGATCTAGTGCGTAAGGCAGAATAATACTGAGAAGATACACACCAAGAGATGCCCCATTGTCTTTCCCCGTCACTATAATGACGCCAAGATTGGAACTACTGAGGAGATTTTATCCGTCCCAGAAGTCGGTCATCCAAAGCTATTATTACACCTTCACAGCCAGAAAAGATGGGCCTGAGCGACAAGCCCCCAACTACCGGTTATGGTGCTGACAAGTCTCCAAATCACAGCTTACACTGCTAACCACTTTGCTGGCCATAGTGCTGACGGCTGCTAGTAACTCTTCTCACGAAGCCCTGTAACGGTGACAGTTCGTGGTATCCCAGGGATGTCCCCCAGTCTTCTACGCGTAAAAGACATATTATTAGACGAAAGCTCAGTTCATCCGCGCAGTTCCAGTTATATATATGTCAACCGGATGTCCCAAACCTCATTCTCCTTCTTGTGATTTCAATCAATCAATAGCTCTCTATCGTTTTCTTCATTCCTTCTCTGCACCCATTCTCAGCAAAATGCTTTCACGATCGCTTCTCACCGTCCTCGGTGCCCTTGGCTATCTGAGCCAGGGCGCCAATGCTGAGAGCCGTGGCAATGCCGATACTCGAGATCTCAGCCGAGGATATGACAAAAGTCAACCCACCACTCTTTCGACAGCCATTGTACCCACAGCGACAGCCAGCCAAGAGACTGGTGTGGGCTTTTGGCCTGCATACACTCCGACAAGCGGCCAAATTGTCAACTTCGGCGACAGTCTGAACATCACCTGGGGCTATGACCCTCGCTGGGACGGCAAACTCACCATCACGCTTATTGGGGGCGCCGCACAAGCCGAGCAGATCCCTCTCGGTGTCATCGCCGGTAAGTCCCTCGTTGCAGCTAGCCAGGAATTACAGGATGCTGACCGCGATCTAGAGCACGTGGAGAACAAGCAAGGTTACTACCTTTGGGATGTCACGAATGAATTTGTTGGAAAGCAAGCAGTTTATGGGTTCAGTGTTTTGTACCAGGACGGCAAGACGCAGCAGTATTCAATGCCTTTTCACATTGTTTGAGTGTTCGATGGTGTCGCGTCAATGTTTTCTTTTCATAATTTTATGCATTTCACAATTTTGGTCCCCCCAGAATCCAGATGTGCATGAATCAATGTCTGTGCCATGATTAACTAAAGCTGATGCGACCAAAGGCTACCTACCCTATACACTGTCTTCCAGGGAAGGGATATGTGTGTCACATGATTGAGAAATGATGGAGACCTTGTTAGAAAGTGATTTTGAAATCTCAAAATGAACGAATAATAAATACAGCATCGGAGGAGTATAGTTTTCCAGTGGCGTTGGGTTACGAATGTGAACAACCGAGGCAAATCGACAACATGAATTTGGTAAAAAGTGATGATGGCATCAAGACAAGAACACAGGGTGAGTCATCAAGTATAGGGTAGCTTATACCAGAGGGCTTAGATAATCTACCCAGGAGTGGGTTTCTATACATCCGCACCAATGATATCGAGAAGATTCAGCCAACGACAAGATACGTCACTTCACGTTTGTCAGAAAAATTAGTTGATGGAATTTTGTTATTTTTAGGCCATGCAGGCTCTCGATAATTCTATCAGAATCCCAACATTCCATCTCGTCAAGGCCACCGAATCATCGCGCTTCGCCCCTCGTCATCAATTCGTCAACAGTATTTTTTTTGTGTTCATTTTCGATTTCTTTCTTGTTTTGTTTCGGGTGGTGCGTTTATTTGCCGCAGCCGGAGCAAGAGCCTGATGAGAACAGTGAGTACATGATAAAAGGACGAGATAAGATAAGATAGGGAAAACACGGAATACGTACAGGAAGAGCCGCAGTTGCAGCTAGAAGCGCCAGAGCATCCGCAGTCGCCAGCCATTGTGAAAAGTAGTTTGGTGTTTGAGGTTGGGAACCTTAAAAGAGTAGATAAATGGTGTGAAGAGGTGAAGAGATGTCGTTGTTGCTGTTTGATGGAGGGGGAGAAGGAGGGGGATTAGGTCCGGCTTAATATACTAGGGTGAGCACTTTGTGCGTTGTCGTATGTTGCGCGGTTTGCGCGGGATCCAACCAACCAGAGTGAGACATTTGCCATTCCAGATACCCGGAAAAGGGCCCACGCGCTGGAAATGGTTTAAGGTCGCCGATGGACGAACGCTGGTTGGTGATGGCAGTCGGGGCGGATGGAGTCTCGGTGGGGGAGCTCATGTCATGCAGCAGGTCTGCGAGCTGAGTGAATTTAGCCTGCCAACGGGATACGTAGCCATGATCTTCGCGGTGGCAATATGTGCTCAGTCTTGGCATTTGGTGTCCAGGTTATCTTAGGTATGTCTCACTTGGTGCACTAGGCAGCTCTCGATGATTTGATCTTATCCGTCACATCAGGCCCTGAGCACGCCACGGCCAGATCCGGAGCTGCTCGCGAATGGATGGCCTGGGCACACTGTATGCCTCGGACCACCACTGATCAACACCGTCATTCTCGTCCGGTGCCCGACTAGGGTGATTCACGCCTCTAATTGGGTGGCATGTGAGCAAGTTTTGCCCAACGGTCCACCCCTGCGGGAGGGCGAGAGGGGTAGGAGGTATTGCTGTTTACCTCCCGCCTCCATTTCCACAGTAACATCGTTAGTTCAGGGTCCTGCTCTCGTTCCCCGAATGGAACCATGGTGGGATGCTGGTGGCAAGCTGGTGCCTGCTCATGTTCCTCAGCCTGTGGGGGGTTTATCTGCATCGTTTTTCCGGTCCGGAATCCGGCTAGGCAAGTCCAGGCCGTGGTGATCGAGACCAGAGGCCGCATCAGTCGTTGATTGTCGACCCCTGTGAATCTGGTAACCTGGTTGTTGATGAGGGGCCTGACCTCTGATGCACAGAGCGTCTCGGGCAGCTTGGCGGAGGAGCCAGCTTGTGTTGGGCGCCGCAAGGATTGCCCAGTTCGGGCGAGTGAATCATGAAACACAGTGACTGGAGCAACGGACGATTTCATAGGTGCTGGCTTGGCCTTCGCCTTGATCTTACTCAGTGCCAACACGCACTGCATTGAGTCTTGTGTATCATGTATCCCACGTCGTGTCACTTAACTCAGCTCACCGTAATTTTCTGCGCTCGATGCGCGTAGGACGTGAGTCTTTCTTGCATGAAACTATCGAGAATACTGGCCAATGCCGTGATTTGGAACTAAAATCCTCACGAATAGCTGGCCTCCGATCCACGTGGCTCGATCCTCGTCCCCGGGATACCCCGTGATGATTTGCGCACTATCGCAGCGTGTCACTCGATGTCCGGGAAGATCCAGGGATGACGGCGATCGAGCCATCTCGGTAGTGAATCAGGAAAGAGGCAGCACCATGTCACCTCGGTGAGTTGACGCCCAACGGTTGCGGCATAGTCAGATCAGGCGGGGTGGCTTACATCGGCGGCCTGAATCGGCTCGACTGCAGACCGCCCGAGCTCGAGCAGACCACATCGTTGGGACTCGCGTCTATATCAGGCGTGCTATGAGGCAGACAGAGCATGGATCCCACCATGGCAGCACAAGCATCCTCGTCCACGTGCAGGAACTCCCGACTGGAAACAGTCACACGAATCGACCAAAGCGGTACTCCGGCTGCTCAGATGGGTGGTACCGTCTCACACCGAATGCACATATGTGACGTAGGTTCATGCGATCGTGAGTTTAACAGGTTCTAGAGCCTCGTAAATTCGAGCCCGCGCCCGGTGAGACGTGCCACGTTGATCCAGCCCAACACAACGTCTTGTGTTATGCCCGTCAGCGGCTGCCGGTATTTGGCACGAGGTAAGCCAAAGCCAAATGAATTAATGAATGACACGGCCATCGCCTTTCAAATGAAATAGAAAAACCATTAACAACATTCGACTCAGTTGCGCCAAACACAGGCCAGCCAGCCAAGACTATGAAGACCGCCTAGCAAACCTCCATCACCATGGGTGGTACCAGCAAATCTACCAAGTCCAGATCCGACAAGAGAAGATCCGGCAGAAGCGAGTCGAGCAAGAAGAGCAAAGGCAGCAGCAGCGGCAGAGCAGAACTTCACATAAATCGCCTCTTCATTGTCGTATACCGAGGCGATCCGACTGACCATTCCTACTTGCGACACACGGCACTCTTCGTCTCCACCGACGAAGGAGCTCAGAGCAGCCTACTACATGCCATCGGCGAGCCTGGAAACTTTGAATTTGAAGAGGTTTGGGGCGCCCATGACCCTTCCGAAAGCCAAACATTCGTCGGACTCGTCGAGGTCAGCGTCTACGAGCATAAAGATGTTCGGGTGCTCCAAGACTGCATCTCGGAGACGCGCATTCGCAACGACCAAGCTACCTGGGACTGCCAGACTTTTGTGACGGATGCGCTGAAGAGACTCAAGAGAAAGGGGCATTTACACGAAGATGACTTCCTCAATGGATTTGAAGGAATGATGGATATGCTGGAGACGGATAATAACCTTATTGACGATGACTGGGAAGAGTAGCGATGCTAATAAGCTCTTTGTGTTTGTGACAGAGACACACAACTATCGGTCGAATGTTTTATGGAAGGACTTGGTCTGCGAACGGCATGTTTCTTGGTTTATTTTCCGTTGTTTTCTGTTGAATAATGGAGGGGATACACTTTTACACCTCCCGGAATAGATCTTGCTGGGCCATCGTCTAACACATCGAGCTCAGTCTCTCTGCATCCTTTCAAGAGGAGTATTGGAGCATAGCGTTGATAGCTGCTGTAGTGAAAATACACGCTTCACTCGATGCCTGCTACTACCCTTAAGAATCCGATGCTGCTTCGAATGAGCTATACGATCGAGATGAGCTCCCACTTTTTCCGTGGAAGAATGTTCCACAAGTCTTGGAAAATCACAGTACTCATATAAGAGGCTCGCACCCAAACACCGGGACTTGTTTCAATGACCGGCCAGATGTAGATTCTGAACTTGCCCCGAAACTTCCTAGGCTTTGTCATTTGCCCACCAAAGACGGCGACGAGCTTGATGTCCCGCAAAGAATCCTTGTTGTTTTCATCATTTGCCTCATCTTTCTGATGGTCCTCGAGGATCTCGTAGAAGTTCTCCCCGATCATGATAGGGAACGGGTATTCCCGCCTCGTCATTTTAAGGCCAGAAGGTATATTTAACGATGATGTAGCTTTAATCCCAGCCGAAGGATCATATCGAAGCGTAGCTGTCTGCGAATAGAATAGAAGAGCTCTGTGTTTCAGAGGAGGGGTTGCAGACAACTCCGGGGGTATTTCCGTTTCCAGAAGTTCTGTCTTTCGATTTGAGGGAACTTCACCAGAACCAGCAGACTCACCCAATAGCAAATCAGCAATTGGCTTGGGCAGGCTTCTCCAATGTTGGCCATCCTGTATCTCGACCAAACTCGAAGCTCTGTCGAAGGTATAGAACAACGGGCTGTGCGCGGCCGGCTCGTCGCCGAAAAAGTGAATCAGCTGACCACCTTCCATCCACCCCATCCAAGACCAAGTAGGGAATGGAACTCTCGCAATGGTCCCGTTGGTTTCTTTGATGGGATGTGTCCCTTGCCTCTGCCTCCTTGTCGTGCTAAAGTCCCACTCCCACATGAGAAAGGAGCCGAATGCCCCGTGAGGTAATCCCCAAGAAAACTTCTGGCCACCCCATTTCGTATCCAGATAGTTTTGCGTACCTAGATAGGCGCGGCCTAGATCAGACTCAAACGTCAACCTGCGCCTTGAGAATGTGGTGGCGATCTGCTGGTACTCTAACGGGTCGAAATGATCATCGAGTCTCACGCTTCTTGTTAGGTGCTCAAAATGCTCGACCGTATCCTCACTTAGGAGGCCCTGATGGCAACTCCAATAGACCAGCTCTGCGGTGAAGAACAAAATTCTTCTCGACACTAATGCCTCCTGGAACGTCCAGGCTCGCTGTGCCCATGGGGTTCCCGATATCCACTGGGGCTCTTCGTACGAGGTTTGCATCCGTAGCTGCCGGTGATCTACAGAGTCGATCAACGGAACTCCTCGAACCTCGAGTTGCTGCTGGACCAGGGTTCTGGTTCCTGGGCGAACGCCTGGGATGCCCGCGTGGGCGTTGACGCCGGCAGCTGCAACAATGGTTACAATGCTCTGTCGATAAATGGTATCCATGCTGTCGATTGTTTCGAGCATGTCGGATTCGTCGTCTTGGATGATGCACAGACTGTCGATCCAGATGTACCGTATCTGCAGATTGCGGCAAACCTCGATCGCGTCGCTAATAGTTAGAGGCAGCGGTGCGTTACGTAGGCTTCCTGGCGTCATCAAGGCCTCTAAATTGTCCTTGACGAGGCGCAAGAAGGGTTCTGTGCCCCATACATAGCTCAGAGTCGCAAAAGGAGGAGCATGTTCTTCCCTGTCCTCCCATATGCACATATCTTCAACATCCACCAGTCTAAAACCTGGAATATGGATTCCCTCCTCGTCTTGTCGGCAGACATCGTGAGCTTCATGCGAAAGGCATAAATCCAACCACCCCCGCAGCATCGTGTAATCAACCTCGAGTGACCGTATGCGCCCGAGCGCAGTCTCCAGACTTGCTACTTGTGTTGCTGGCTGAGGCCCGTCAGCATCAACACTCCCGACCCTCCACCCACCAGGGGCCTCATAGGTGATGGTATCCTGGCCGTACTCGTCCTCTGACTTGCGCGTGACAGGAACGCGTCCCCCAGGCCCAGATCGCTGGAGCGTGATTTCAAAATGGAAGTTGGATTGGCTACTAGGCGTCACCCTGACATCCAGCACGGTGCGGTGGCTGGTGCCTTCGAAGCCGAAAGACCAGTTGCGGGCCTCTTTGATGCCGTGGATGGAGATATGGACGTGGGCATTCTTCATCTCCTCTTCCGTTGGCATCGAGCGTTCTCCATCGCGTCGCCGAGGGTAGCGATAATCGTCTACCCACGTTGCAGGCTGCTTGGATCGGTAGCCAATCAGCTTCGCCAACCCCGCGCAGAACTCGCAGTTCTCGCCGCTGAGCTGCAGTTCTTTGAAGGTGAGGGCGGCTCGGGAACTGGAATCGCGGAAGTGGTAGCAGTCTGTGCCCATGAGCTCGAACGCGATCGAGTCGCAGCAGTGCTTGCTTTCGACATCATCCATTATTTATGATTTGTATGTATTGTAACTGAGCCGGTGTGTTTTGGAAAGCGTTGTTTTTTGCCTGCCTACAGTGGGGCGTAGGGCTTTCTCATCAGATTACGAGGCTGACTTGGAGACTTTGTCAGTGCTTGATAATGCCACTGATCCCTGCTACCTCTGAGAACCAAATTATATTGAAAGCCAAGTCAATGTGAACCTGCGAATAGAGTATGGTGTGTCAGAAGACATGTTGTGGCCGACAGATAACTTCAGACTCTGAGAGTCTTAGTGATTGAGACTGGGAAAATAACGTGAGATTCAACAACTCCTTTGACCTGTGAATTCAAGTCTACGATGGTTGAGAAAAGGTCAAATGAATCAAAACTTGGTCTCATTTAAGATGGTGGCATCCCGCGCAGATGATTATTTTTCATATCTCGCTCTACACTATATTACGCCTTTTATACCAATTCGTCCTCAAGCCAAGCTTGAAGGATCAGTTTTGATGCCATTGTAGTTGGTCTAGGTCAAATGCTGATCCCTCGAGTTGATAGCTTGAGAGCTGGTCAACGATCCAGGCCGTGTCAAGATACGCCGCTTGAGATGAGGAGGGTAGCGTGTGCGGTGGCTGAGGCAATGTCGATACGGGGGGTATCGGCGATGGGTTGGTTTGGGGCACAACTGCGTGGAGCTTAGGAATGATTGAAGGCACATCGCTGCATAATCCTGATGTTCCTATAGTCCTCTCCCGCTGCCTCCAGGCCCTTAGAATAGCCAGGCCCAGAGTGACGTTGTCCTTTACGGACATGTCCCATAGTTCTGTGTGCCAGCGGTACGCACATTCGAGGAGCTTCCAAGAGCGATCGACCAACGACCCCTGAGCCCGGTTCTGGAGCTGACTGGCGATGTACAGTATCGCGTCGCTCTCAAACTGGACTTTGGGAAACCATAGGAAGTTCGTGTCTTTGATTTGCTCGTACATGTCAAAATGATGCTCAAAGTGGGTGAGGCAGATTCTGAACAGATTGTCTTCAGCGCTGAAGATCTCTGTGCCCCATTCGGGTAGGTCGTGCATGGGGACCATGATTGCCATCAAGTCTCCAATAATACAGCATCGAAACTTATCCGCCATCAAATGCACCCCGCTGACCGAAGGGTCGATGTAGTTGCTTGCCAGCAGCTGGGCGTTGAGGTTCTGAACCATATCCTTGTAGGTTGTTAGGGCATGATCTCTCGCCTGCGACCTTTCTGCCCCGAATCCATGTGACAACGTGTGCAAGTCGGTGATACGAGTCTCAATGGCAAATTGACAGAAGTGATAGAGCAACAAGCACAACGCCATCTCTGTTGGTGCCTCGCGGGACTGAACCGGCTCCATGAAAGATGGATAGAGATCGGCATCGTTCACGTTGTGCGGGAGTTGGGTGTCGCACTCTCTGATTTTCAAAGGCTCGCCGTAACCTGACGCAAGTGAATATTTCGTCTCTGATATCATGATACGCCACCATAGGCGTCTTCTCATCTCGGCCTCGAAGGGTGTGATGTCCAGCGAGCTGCCATCTCGGTGGAGGCCTAGTTTCAAAGCCATTCTGACCATGACACCACTGAGAATCCAGGTTGTGTGACGACTGGTGCGGCCGTGACGTGACTCCTACAAAATGAGTTAGGAAGTGCTTTTCATAATGCCTTGATAAGGGCCACACCTACTAGAAAGAGGACCAAGGCTTTTAGAATCGTCGTATCGAATGTTTCTAAGAACTTTGCTCGATACAATGCTGCTTTCGTGCCCAAAGTGAACTTGTGAAGAGCGTCATCCCTCGTCATATGGAGCATTTCCAGAGACTCCGACTCTGTCAAAGTGACTGTGGATATTAGGTAGATGGAGAAGAGCAAAGCTTGCGAGTTCATAGGGACACTGGAATGGCGCCCTGAAGCCTCAACCACGAACTGCTGCATGCTTGGCACGTGAATGAGCTTGGTCAGCGGGTTGACTCTCTCCAAGAAGATGTTCCACAGCCAAAAGATTTGAGCCGGAGAAGGAGTGACTGTTTCGAGGTCGATGAGAGTAATGTCGTCGAGAAGATTCTTTTCCAGCTGAGGTGGCATGGAAGAGTCTGCCTCGCTCGGGCTACCTTCCTCATCTTCTAATATCTGGCGAATAGATTTCAACTGAGGCAGCCATTTGTCAGATTAGAGATCGGCTGATGGGGAAACGTTCTCCCCAACTGGATGCGAAGGAATCATTTGCTTACCTGTCCTTGGATAGTTGCCCATGGGAATGAGTCCACATACTTTGCGTTACCCCCTTCGTCTACGAACGAACCAATCGGTTTTGATGCCGCAGATAACTTCGATAACTTCACATCGAAGCTTTCCTCTTCAGAATCAGAGGAACTTTGAGACGCGTCTGTGTTACCGGTGGTATGATCATACGGAGTAGTAGACTGCGAGGTCGAGGTACCACTCCCGTTTGCAGGTGGCGCAGATTCATACTGCTTCAGCAAGGCCTCGCACTTTGCCAACCTTTCCAGCAGCACCTCGTTCATGCGCCTTCGCTTCCGCGGTGGAGCTGGAGTCGAGGGAACGCAGGTAATGCCGCCCTGCGCCTATTAGATATGAACGACCAGAGACTTCTGAGTGTGGCGGCGCTGACCTTTTCGCAGTTTGTGCAGGGTGTCCGCTTGTCGCATTTTATCTTGCGCTTCTGACACAGGACACAGGATAGAATCCTTGGGGATCTACCTGAGACGGAAGTACTGGTACTCATTTGGGGTACTTGGTTATCTCTGGCTTGATGCGACTTAGACCGAGAAGATGATGCCGTGACCGAGCAAGCGATCCACAAGTGTCGGCTGCGCGACTAGAAGAGATAGCGACTGTAACCCAAAGAAGAGGTTATCGAATGCCGGTCAAGAAGAGGAGCATCAAGCGAAGATGAGGGAGTAGGACCCTGCTCGGTTTAGGCAAAATACTGGTTGGTGGAGAACGGGGACTACGGAGAGCTGAAACAACCCGCAACCCCGATGACACGACATGTGAAGTAATCATCCTGAAGCACCAATGACAGTCTGTTTTCATGCATGGGCGGTGTGTAATTGCGAGTTTCCTGCATCATCCGACCCTCCCGAAGTAATTGCCATGTGGTTGGTGCGGCGGCAATGCATCATGGTCGATCACTCGAAATATCGGCCATCCCCCAAAGCGTTACCCCGTAGATTCATCGACTTCTAGATTGGAATAAGCTTCTGTCCCCTTGGCTAGTAGCCCTTGATGTAATTATTATGACTCCTGTAGTGTGACATAGAGTGAGCATCCGGTATTGATACACGAGTCAAATGCTTGTTGAGAACATTGAATACTAGAAAGAGACTTTCACAAGTAGTCCAAAATAGAAGGCCCTACAAATATCGCAGAATCACTTGAAGTCTTTTGGGTAGCTTCGAGAACAAAAGCTCCATTCTGGACTTCAATCCCATCGCCTTCTTCTGGTGTAAAGTGTGCACAAGGCAACGAAGGCTTCTCAGACAGCAGTTCACTCTCAGGCATCGTACACTCCGAACCCTGCCAGCAATGAATATTTCTGTAGATACTTCCTCTTCCTAGCACCTTTTCGGAGAGTTCGGAAAGACTGAGCTTGATTGCCAGGCACCAAGCCTGATCCGCTTCTGTGAGGCCTGCCTCATCCCCAATCTTCGTGGAAGTGCTGGATACCAGGGCAGCCAGTTGGCAAATAATGGGCGCCGCGCGATGAGCAAGCGTCCAGCTTTCTGGGAAGGCGGCGAGAATATCAGCGCACATGGATATCTCTTCACGAGCGCGCGCGCACTCTGCCACGCTTTGACGAGAGAGGAAACAGTGAAGAAACACCATGCACACGGGGAATATTCTACAGAGAGTGAGGCGGTTCAAAGGCAGTTGCCGCTGCTGGAACCGTACGAAATTAGCCTGGACATGCTTTCTCGCCAGTGAAAGCAGCTCGCCGTTGGAAAGGAGCATTGTCCCTGGGTTGAAATGACATGGGTAGTAGAGAAGAAGTAGCAGGTTGTAGTATCGCGCTGCAAGCCAGCATATTCGAATATGAATCGTCATATCGTCGAGCTCATTCGATTGTAGGAGACAGCCATTGCTGTACCAGTCCTCTATCTCTGCCCGGAGGCCCACGATAAGAGTGTAGCGGTCCTCGCGCGTCAATGCACTGGTAGACTTTTGGTCTCGGAGGTGTATTTCTTGGAGAACCTTGTATTCAATCGTACGAAGTTGTATAATGTGCCGGGAGACCTGGAGCACGTGCGCTTGCTCCTGGCGCTGGGGCGAATCAAACTCCTCAACGGTGATCCGAGGCAGAGGTATGTCCATATTGGCATCGATCATGGCTACCGGTGTGCCGGTCGTAAGTGCAACCATCCTGTCTAGAACATAAATACTCCAGAACAGACGATGGTTTCGTTCCACCTCGGCCGCAGAATAGCCCTTGCCAGCAGTATCCCCCTTTGTGAGACCCAGGCGCAGGGCCTGCCGGCCCAGGACATCTACTATTGCCCATGTGTTCATTCCGGAGGGATCAGATTGGGAATAAATTGCAAGCAATAACAAGATCTGCAGATTTGTTATGCTTTCGTTCATCATGCACTTTGAGACCAGGCCTTCATAATCAACATCAAACAAGACTGTCCCAGAGTCGGATGGGGTTCCAGGATCCTGGGTTGCCCTTTGCAAGGGGCCTGCTCTATACCTACCACAAAAGTCTTAACTACCTACCATATATAGCTTGACTCGAGGTGTATATCCGATACCGGATTATTTAGTGCCGGGCCTGTAAATAATTAAGTACCTTTAGTCTCTCGAATATTATAACCAACGCTAGCGGTTAACCGTATCGTATAATACGTAGGTAGTACCTATACCTATAAACTTAAGGCTATTTATATAAATTAGGGGTATTTAATAAAGTAAATTTTCTTAAGCTATACTAGTAGGCTTATAGCTACCTTAATATAATCTTATATAGCTAATTTATCTGCTAGTTAAACCTCTAGGGTATCCTAACCTGCTATTTTAAGATTCCTATTATATTAAGACTTTAAATAAGTCTTACCTTTAGTATTATTATCTTTATCAGCCTCTTTAATTAACCTATAATCCGAAGAGGCTGCTAAGAGCATTAAGAGTATATAGTACCTTACTTATTAAGCTATATATAGATACTCTATACCGGGCTTATAAGGGTTACCTACTTCTTTAAGGAACTTAAGCTCTTACTTTAAGGAAGTTAAGGTTATTACAGCTAGGGCTATTAAGGGCAGTAGTTATAGCTATAGTATTAATAAGATCTCTTAGTACTATCTTGCTTTAATAACCTTATAATATAAGGGTAATTATCTTATTAACTAAGATATTATACTCTTTTTAATATTATTAGAGCTCTAAGGCTATCCTTTAGTTTTAATCTGTAAGGGTTTAAATAGTATATTAACTTAGGCTCTTCTAGTAATAGTTTGGATATACTAATAAGGGTAAATATCTAATAGCTATATTAGCTAGTTGCTTTAAATTCTATAAAGAATAAGGTACTAATAAGGGAGTCCTAAAGTAAGGGATATTATATATCTATAGGCTAGTAGCTTACTGGGCAGCTTTATTATTAACTATAGGTTCTATTTAACTTTATAATACTTATAAATAAGCTGCTTTAGTACTTTATTTAAGACCTTATAATAAATAGTCTTATATAGAGGCTTAGCTATAAATATAGGTATTAAATTATCCGACTGTATATATATTACTATTACCTGGAGCCCTTAGTAAAACTAGAAGGTCTTTAGCTTATTAAATACTATAAAGAAGTTACTAGATAAGATATCTAGGAATTCCTTTATTATTAAATAAAGTAACTTAATAATAGATATAGTTATATAGCTAAAGTAAAGGTATTAATTAACTAGATAAGTTATAAACTTCTCTTTCTAAGGGTTTATCTATATATTAAGTATATAGGTAACTGGGTTATATAGATAATTCTATTTAAATTAATTAAGCTATTTATTAAATATAGCTTTATCTAATAACTTAATAAGCTTATCCTAATCTCTCTTAAACCCTATAAAGCCTAGGTTTTAAATAATTTCCTTTTTATCTCCTTATATAGCCTTAGGGAATATTCCCTTATAATAGATAGTTATATTCTTATTAATATACTAGCTGTAAAGGAGGGTATTTAAGAATTAAAGAAGTAGGTATTTTATAGCTTTAATTAAAGCTAACTCTTAATCTGTAACTATTACCTTTAGAAGAGCTATCCTGTAATTAGTTATTATCTTAATAAGTATATTAATAACTTATATAAACTAAGCCTTATTTTCTTAATCTAAGAATACAGCTATAATACTAAATATTTTATTTATATTTATTAAGCTATATATATTTAAAAGCAGTATATTAAACCGGTTAGTTTTATATATACTATTAAAGAATATAATATCTGGAAATTTATAATAAAAGTAGTTAAATTCCTAGGGAGTAATAAAGAGAGATTATAGTTAGTTCTAGTTATTATAAAGATTATAAAAATAGAAGTTATCTATTAATAATTAAATAAATAACTACTTAAGAGGTATAAGCCTATTTAGCTCTAATAACTAGTACCTCTTAAGGATATTATAGATATCTTATAGTATCAGAATAACTAGAGTTTCCCTTCTCTTAGCTTTTATCTTATAGTAAAGCTCTATATTAATTCCGGCTAAAATAGTAATTACTTTCTATCTATTTTAATACCTATTAATAATATTATTATAGATATCTTTAAGAACCTTATTATAATATCTAGGGAAAGCTATTCTAAGAGTTAATATATAGTTATATTAATAAGTATTCTTATTAAACAGCTGGATAACCTAAGAGATACCCTCCTTTATAATAGTTAATCTGAATAGGTAAGAGTATATTTTACTCTCTGTATTATAAGACTTTAAGGGATAATAATTAGGATCAGATTAATTATAAATATTATAACCTCTTAAGTAGCTAAAGATAACCCTTATTAGAGCTTTAGTATTAGGATATAATATATATATTAAAATTATAAAGCTAGAAGTCTTTACAGCCTTATAGTAAGTATTATAGATAGCCTGAAGAGAAGGAAAAACTCCTATTTATAGAGTCTTAATAGCAGGAAGTTATATTATAGGCAGCTTTAATATATAGCTTTAAGTATAGTTAAATAGGTGAATATATATTAACCTAATATACTATATACAGGCCGTTAGTTATAATATATAAGAGACTAAAGGTACTTAATTATTTACAGGCCTGGTACTAAAAAATCCGGTATCGGATATACTAAGGAGGTTAAGCTACTTGTGGTAGGTAGCTAAGAGAAATGTGGTGGGTGTCGAGCGGGCCCCCCTTTGCAATGTTATCGATCCAATGGCCATGACTAGATATAGAATGGTGGCTTCTGGGTCTTGACCTTTGCTTGAAAGGATATCCTTCTCACTTCTCTTCTTCATAGTGCTAAGCAGGGCGCTCTTGTCAAGAAAGGGGTACGCGCGATGAACGTCTCGAAAATAGGCATCTATAAGAGCGTCACAAGAGGCTTCGAGGTGTGCTGATTCTGGACGTTGAACCTGGTTCGGTTCGACTATGTTTCTTGAGCGGTCGGTTGGCTCCTCGTCTGGTAGGAGACACCGTCTTTTCAACTCGCGCTCCTCGGTTGTATGATAAGATGAGTGGGAGACACGACGCCGTGCTGAATGAACTGGAGATGCTGCCTGCACTGGAAGCCGTAGTGAAGGAGGCGTTCGCACCGCTTCTGGTGATGGCTCGAGCCGAACTTGTGTCGATATGTTTGGGCCATGCATTGGTGGTGTTTCGGCGAGAACATTCTCCTGATTGACCCGCGAAGCCGCCAACATGCCCATGTCGCCGACCAGACGCTCCATCAAGGCAAGCCGCTCCCTCAATTCAGCCATCTCAGATGTTGGTAAATGGTCTGCCCAAGCCGTGTTTCCCGCGCATGCGGCAGGGGCCGAGGCTGCATCTGATACGTTGCGCTCATCCATATCGGTACCGACGAGCAATTGAGTCGCCGACGAGGTTCGGGATGGCGGTCTTTCGGCCCTGATCGAAACGCCCTTATTCCTTGACGGCCGTATACGGAACCGGCTCATGTGCGTCTCCATGTCTGCAGCGCCCAAGCCGATCGATGCCTGCCCGCTATGTGAACAGCGCCCCGTAAACGTAACGATACAGGGAAGCTGGTCTGGATGTATCTACCAGCAGCCCCGGGGATTGACAGAGTAGGATTGGCTGCCGACATGAAGCAAGGAGGAGGCCACCCAGCCATGAATCAGGGTCCCACCACAACAAGCGGGGGAATGGGGAGGTCGATAAGAACCGGAAATACAAAACCAGTGTCATGCTAAACCGAACTGATCCTAATAAAGTTTCCACGTCCCACCGTTATCTGTTCCCCTCCTCCTTGGCTGCTCCACTTCGATTCTGGGGTGCTCCCTTGTCCTTGAAACTGGGGCGAGTCATGATAACAGCTACGGATTCGATACGCCAGTTCGAGGATTTTGATCTGAATATAGATCATCATGAGCCTTGCAGGCATCAACTACTCTCGCTGATATTCTATTCACTATTGGCCATTCATTGTGAAGTGAACGGCAAACGTTATGGCATTGATTACAAAAGTCATCATTAGCCCCTACATCCGGCCCCTAACTAACACTTTCTCCTGGTCATCCATTACTCTAATCACCCTTTGATTTATGTAAAGTAGCTAAGGGATATAGTCCTATAGCTTCTACCTAGATACCTATGAAACTTAGGCGTGTTGCATCTACTCCGAGGCTTAGACCCGATCCGGGTGTCCCTTAGGCTTCCATTTCTTCTCACAAAATACAATAGCGGCAATGAAGATAGCCTCAACAGCGAAGAACATGGTAGCCATCTGATACCCAATCTTGAATCGAGGCGCCTCCCCGCTTGGGTAAGTGTACAGAATCACCCACGCGTTCATCGCGAACCCGAATGTTTCAACCACGCCAAATACCACCAACCGCTGTTCTGTCGAAAAGGTCAGGATCTCATTGATCCATGTAAGAATCAAGGCGGATGCACCTGACTGGCCAAATGTCAAGATCCAAGCCGCGAGCATGAGTGAATGGTTGTTCTCAGGATAAAAACACAGAATGATGGTCCCTGTGATGCCAATGGCGATGCCGAAAAAAATGGACGGTGCTCGTTTGCCAATACCATCGCTTACCCAAGCCATGATGAGAGTTGTGACGACTTGAAAGGCGTAGCCGGCTGTGGGGATGACATTGACCTGCTCAACGGTGTACCTCCCAGTGTCTTTGAGATAGATGTTGAAATAGTTGTAGATTCGAATCGCCAGAAGCTGCGAGGCAAAGGGGACGGAGAACAGGTACACAGGCCAAGACGTAAAGACGTCCTTGATAGTCTTCCATGTCAATTTGGCCGGTGCTTTTCGTCCGACTCTCTCCATGCGAGAGATGCCAATGGCCTTCTCTTCCGGCTTCAGCCACAAAGCCTTGGAGTTTGTCGGGCTGTCAGGAATTGCAAAGTAGCCGAGGATACAGACTGGAATGCCGATGATGCCGTCAAAGATGAAAAGCCATTGCCAGGCCTTCAGGCCATGCTTGCCATCCATACCAGCATACAACCCTGCCTGCAGGTAGCCGGAAAACATCTGAGCTACATACGCACTGCAAATAAATATGCAGGAACGTTTTCCAAGCTCCTGGGGAGTGTACCAGTTTCCCAGTAGGGAGAGGAAGCCGGGGTAAGCGGATGCTTCGAGGAATCCAATCAAGAATCGTAGCGCATATAGAGTCTCGATGTTTTTCGCTGCGGCCATGCACATCACGAGCGACCCCCAGATAAGTTCGAGCGTTGGGAGCCAGATCGAAGGTCGGATTTTGGTCATCATGAGCTGAGAGGGGAGGTTCCCGAGGGTGTATCCGATTGTGAACATTGTAAGGAGCATATTGTATTCGTTTCCTTTCATGTTCAGGTCTTCCTTCATTCCAGTCACATAGGCATTGACAACCTGTAGCGCAAAGGTCAGTCAGATCTTACATCTTGGGTTGCTGGATGGACATACATTGGTCTGGTCAAGATATTTGACAAAGTAGGCCAAGCAGACATATGTCATGATCCATAAGTCGACCTTGGTGACAAATCGTCGTTCTTCGGGAGACTTGTCGAACGTGTCCCAAATCACTCGCAAGATCTTCTGTTTGGTTGAGTGTTTTGTCCCAACGACAGTGCCGTGTGCCTCATCCTCGAGATCGATAGACTCCCCATCGACCTTGACGTTGGCCGCGGGCGACGGCTTGTGGTCTTGAGATTCGGACATTGTCAGCGAAGAGTAAGAAACTGGTTGGGTGGTTCGATGACAGGTTCGTTGGCTAACTGATCTGCAAGTGTTTCAGGGCCATCTTTTTATGTCGTTGCAGTCCGTGAAGCGGCCGAGATAAGGATACCGGCTGCAAGGTATCACCAGGCCATCTATCATCCTCGTCAGTTTGGTTCCCAAGAGGAGGGTTGGTAGACCGAGAATACACGTCCTGGGAAAGATAGACGATTCTGGGGGAAGTGGGCAAGGCTCTACTCTACTTTGCCAACTCGGGGATGGTCTAAACTTCCTGATAAAGAGAATTCCTTCTTTTGGCCATTTCTTTGAACGCCAACATGTCCCTGTCTGTGTCGGTCCAGTTAAGTTGACTCGGGCTTGTGGAGTCACAAGATAAGAAACCTCCACCCATATCCCAGCTCAAGCAGCCACAAAACGTCACGAGTCACGACTTGCTTAGTCTGTTTAGCGTATATTTCCTTTTACAGCTACTCTTCCCTGCTTGTGTGGTAGGGATCCACTCGCCGGAGATAGAGAACCGTCATTTTATGGTTTGCCGGATTGCTAGTTGAATAATCAATAAGGGCTAATAGTAGGGATTAGGGGGTCAATAACGTCTGGAAAACTGAGGAGGCCAGGAAGTGGCTGTCCGGAAAACAGAGGTTGCAAAATCACCTCGAAAGAACGAATTATGGTGGCAGTCAGTCGCATGATAACGCTTCTTCGTGTTTCCTATTGTGTAATAGTGACCATATGATATCGCCTGATAATTTCTAACTAATTTGTCTTTATTATTCCAATTAAAGATTGTCTATCAATATCGTGGCCTGTATTGGAAAGTTGAGATCAAGACACTTGTGTAGTCCCTATTATTCTTACGCCCTCTCGGCCAGCACGAGTCGGAGAACCATCGTAAACTCATCAAAGTTAAGCGAGATAGTGAAATGTGAGATTATCTACAATCCCCTAGCGTAAGCATGGGGTTTATCAAGGTTGTCGCTTAGATTCTTAGAAACTTGGAAATGTGAGGAATTGTCTGCCACTCTCCTAGAACGCCGATCACTGATGCAAAGTCATCGAAGGTCTTGATGTTTATGTATAGCCAAAGAAGCGGATCGTTTGTCTTACGCCCTAAAACTGCTTCTCCAGTAACGATTAAAATATACTGTAGTGGAAAAGACTAGATGAGATGGCGCAGTTAAGGTAAATGTAAGAATCTTGTATTTGAATCAGTAACAACGAATATATTTCCAACGTAAAAGATAAACAAAGCCTCAGTATTTGAACGACACCCAGATTAGACTGGCCTCTTTAACAGCTTACTCAAGCTTGCCCCAGCCTCCACCACCTGGAGTGTTGATCTGCATTCTCTCCCCTGGCCTAAGATGAACCACGGCTTGCGAACCTAGTCTGATCTTGTCCAATCCTCCCTTATCGTTCCATCGAAATACAAAGTTACGTCCGACACTGCCTGGATCACCACCCTCCATTCCATAAGGGGGGAATACGCGTCTTTCACTGAGGATGCTGGACTTGAGCGGAATTCTCGCCTCGATTTCTCGAAGACAACCGTCGCCTCCGTTCCACTTCCCACGGCCGCCAGTTCCGCGGTTGATCTCGTGTCTTCGGACAATGACCTGGGTGCGCTTCTCAATGACCTCGGCATCTGTGATACGGGTGTTGGTGGAATGAGCATGCACAGCATGTTCACCATTCCAGCCAGGACCGGCGCCGGTGCCTCCACCGAGAGACTCGCCGTAGTTCCAGCCAGGGATGATCTCACCAGTCTTGGGATCTCTGCCGCCCATGCCCCAGCCGAAACTGCTAGCGCAGCCCTGGAAAGCGGCGACGACCTTGAAAGCACGTAGGATGAGGTCAATGACGCGCTGGCTTGCCAGGGTACTTCCACAGATGGCGACGGAGGATTCAGGATTGAGCACAGATCCCTTGGGAACTCGTATATCAACAGGGGCTAGACAGCCCTCGTTCAACGGGATCTCGAGATCGATCAGACAACGTAGAGTGTAAATGACAGCGGAATGGGTAATCGAGATTGGGCAATTGATGTTACCCCATCCCTGTGGCCCGGTACCAGCAAAGTCATACACTGCAGAGCCAGTCTCGGGATCAACTGTGATCTTGACCTTGACCTCGGTACCGTTGTCAAACCGATCCGTAGCCTCGAGACCTTCAGGATGCTTCTTTGCAATCTTCTTTAGGTAGTCACGGACCGCAACCTCTGCGTTGGCCTGTATACCGCCCATGTACTTGTGCACAACCGGGAGGGTGAACTCGTCACAGAGCCTCTTGAGCAGTGTGATTCCGCGTTGATTGGCAGAAGTTTGGGCTTTTAGGTCAGAGATGTTGTCTTGGATTCGACGTGTAGGACTGCAGCCGGGGAAGCTGCCGGCGAGTTCAAATGCATCTCTGACTTCCTTCTCGAGGAATTCGCCGCCACTGACAATCTTCATTGCTGGGACGTTGACTCCCTCCTCCCACAACTCCAAGGAATCGGGCATCATGGAAGTGATTCCTTTTCCGCCTAAATTCGATGTTAGAATTACAAAGCTTAAGTGAAAAATAAACAGTCTAGTGACGTACCAATATCTGTATGATGGCCTCGGCTGGCAGTGTAGAAAGCGATCTGGTCTCCAACAAACACAGGCGTCACCACAGTGATATCTGGCAGGTGAGTGCCACCCCATTCTGGGTGGTTAGTCATGAGAACATCTCCTTCCTTCAGCTTTCTTGCCCAGTGCTTGTGCTGGGCCTGAATAGCCAACTGCATGCTCCCCAGGTGGATGGGAATGTGCGGCGCATTGGCGACAAGCTGGCCATCAGGGGAGAATATGGCACAAGAGAAATCTAGACGCTCACGAATACTCGTAGAGATAGACGTCCTCTGGAGCGTGTTGCCCATTTGCTCCGCTATGGACATGAAGCGATGGGCAAAGACAGACAGCTGGATAGGGCTAATTTCCTGGGTGTTGGTTTCAGCCTCTGATGTCTGGACGATCGACTCGTCAATCTTCTCAATCACCACGTGCTCCGGTAGGATGAAGCCGCGATAGCGAGGCTCAATAAAGATAGTTTGAGTGGCGTCAACAACCAACGCCGGTCCGTCTATGGTTGTTCCAACAGGGATGCTGCTCAACCGATAAATGTTGGCATTGTCCCACTTGCCATCGACATACATCGACTGATACTCCTGTGATTTTGCTTGAATCGGAGCCTTCTTGATTTCCTCTAGAGCTTTGGTTGGTGGTGTTGGCTTGATGTTCATGCTGGTCGTTCCGGTTCCTCGCACCTGAACCGAGTCAACAACGATGCGGCTCCTTGGAGTGAAGGCAAACTCGCGAAGGTGCTCCGCGGTAAATGCCTTTCCGTAGTCTTCATCCTGCGGGCGAGAGATGGACATATTTGTGTCTGTCCCAAAGTATCGCATGCTGAGCGACTCATCAAATTGCAGAGTCTTTGGATTGGCGCCCTGGGCAACCAGCTCGTCACGCACTCGCGTCTTAAGGCCTTCCATCAACTGACGAATATGAGGAAGCTCACCAGAGTTCCAATCCCCAGAGTATGGTTCCGTAGTGTCAGTCTGTAGTTGAGATTGGGAAATTCCATATGCTGAGAGCAGCGAAGACCATTTGTGAATGAGAATGCGCTTGATTCCAAGCTTCTCGGAGATAGCGCAAGCATGTTCTGCCGTGTGTTAGATATGCATCAAATAATCTCTGAATCGATGTGCGAAAACTTACGACCACCAGCGCCTCCAAAACTGACCAGATCGTGGTCTTCAGGGGCATATCCTCTTGCCTCTACCAAATTATCACTCGTTAGTCAGATGATCCTCAGCATCATCAAAAGAATGATTGTTCATACCTGTAGCATTTCTAATCGGTCGACTCATGGTTTCGTTGGCCACATTAAGAAATCCTAGAGCAACTTCTTCTGGCGTCAGATTCTGAGAGGTTTGAGCATTGAACTCATTGGTGATGGCCTGGAACTTCTCCTTGACGACCTCGACATCCAATGGTTCATTGGCATTTTTACCAAAGATAGCGGGGAAAGAGGAAAGGTCAAGTCTTCCAAGGAAGAGGTTGGCATCCGTCACGGTCAATGGGCCACCATTGCGGTAACTCGCAGGACCGGGGTACGCTCCAGCACTCTCAGGTCCTACAACCAAGAGTCCACTTCGGGCAAAGAGAATAGAGCCACCTCCCGCGGCAACTGTCTGGATGTTCAACATGGGCAAGTTGAGTGTGCGGTCCGCAATGCGAGACTCGGTGAGGTAGTCATATTTGCCATCGTATCGGCAGATATCAGTGCTGGTTCCGCCCATGTCGAAGCCAATAAGAGGCGTGCCTACAGCTTCGTCGAAGCAGGACTTGGCGATACCAACGACACCTCCAGCAGGACCGCTGAGAAGAGCCTCATTTCCTCGGAACTTCTGTGCCTGCTTGAGGCCACCGTCCGAACACATGAACTCTACCCGCTTTGGTTGGATCTTGAACCCGGATTCGAAATTTTCGACGTAGCGCCTGATGATTGGGTAGAGATATGCTTCAGAGCACACTGACGTGCTTCTCCTAAGGAATTTGATGGTGGGACTGATCTCGCTCGAGGTTGTGACATACTTGAATCCTAGTTGTTTTGCCACGTCCGCAACCTCGTTTTCATGATCAGGGTAAAGGAAGGAGTGCATGAATGAAATTGCGACTGAGTTGTAGCCTTCGTCACGTAGAGCTTGGAGCTTGGTACGGGCCTCATCGAGGTTGACCTTTTGCAGCACACGAATGATCTCACCGCTCTTGGTGCGAATCAGATTGGGATCGGTGATCTCTGCTTTCTTGTCCATGGGCGCCGGGTTCAGATCATAATCTTCGACGGTAATGCGCTCATCGATTTCTACCACTTTGTCATGTAGCGCCTTTGGTTTGACGACTTTCAGAGCAAACAGCTTAGGCCGAGTCTGATCTCCGATGACACAAATATCTTTGAAACCTACAGTTAATTTGGTCAGCAAATGTTCGCCGATGATAAAGGAACTGACAGGTACTGACCCTTGGTAGTAACAAAGGCGAATTTCTCGCCCTTGTGCTCAAGCAAGGCATTGGTAGCAACGGTGGTTCCGATTCTACAAGAAGCTGTTGGTTCGAGCATTAGCTGATGCTTGCATGATGTATCATGCTTCGGACATACCAAGTCTTGAGGCATCCAGCTTCTCGCCTATGGGGATCTCGCGATTCTCAACCATGCATAGCACACGGCGGATTGCTTCCGTGGGCGCATCTGGGTAGTTATTGGGGTCCTCAGACAAAAGCTTGAAGATGATGTCCTCGCGTCCCTCAACAGTGGCAATTACATCGCAGAAAGTACCGCCTCTGTCGATTGAAATACTGATATCGGGTTGAGGCTCATCGACCTTGTCCGAGTTGCCGAGATAAGGGACCATTGTGATTATTCCAAGCCTGGAGACGCAAAGTCATTTGAAGCTTGTTGGTATTCCCCAGGTTTCAGGTATCGATGGGATATTAAATGTTTACGGGTCGCCAGATTGATGATTTAGAACTCATCTTCAGCAGAAGGATTGCCTAGGAATCAACGACCGCTTCCGCTATCAACGCTTCTAGGGGCAGAGTTAATTAGTCCAAAATAGGCATTTGTCAGAATCCCACAATAAGCCTGCTTCAGATACGAGGACAGACCCGACCTGGCACTGTAAAGAGAGGAGTGGAAGTCCCATTTCTTGCCCAAGAGAGAAGTTTTCCCTCTTTCGAGGCGTGCCCAACAAAGTCATTCTCCAAAAGCGAGCCTTACCAGTATCGGAAATCTTCCTAGACTGGAAAATTTCCATATAACGGATGTGGGTCGTGGGATTGGCTGTCCCATGATATCTCCGCAAAGTGCGTGAGAGTGACGCCGGAAGATGCCGATGTGAAGCTATTAGATTTACAGGAAGGCCGATAGAGGAATCTCTATCATGGTGTATGGTGCTATGACCGGCTTTACATGCTCCCCTTCTTGTCAAGTGTACACCTAGATCTGATCCCTTGTTCACTCTGCAAACTAAGTCCTGATTTTTCAAATCAATACCTTATCCCAAAGTACTTCGATGATATTTGCAATACGAATTCATTCGTCTTAAAATTAAGCCATTATTCATTCTGAAATGGAACTTCCTCGGACTATTACCGTGACTGGTCCAGGCGCGGACTACACTTTCCGGATCAGACTCCAAAGCGATGCAAACCCCGACGTTGTACAGGGTATCCTGAGCCAACTTCCTCTGGAAAGCTTCTGTCTACACGTAGTTGTGGCGGGAGAAACCATTTATATGCCGGCACCAAGCATCTCACTTGGATCTAAGAACATGGTGGAGAGGCACATGGGCACGGTCTACTTCAACACCACGAGTCAATCCATTTGCTTCTGTTATGGAGCTGTCACGGAGAGTACCAAAGTCAATCAGTTTGCAGAGGTCGTTGAAGAAGACCTCTCGAATTTGATTCGATTTGGAAAGCTAGTTTACCAAGAGACAATTAACCAGAAACTGCCGAGAATTGTACCCATATCTGTTCGCCTAAACGGTAACAATGTCCCTACTACGAGCCCGTTAGTGGAATCTCTGTCTATCCGCACTCCTGTGGGAGATTGGAGGTCAGTGAAGCAGATCATTGATCGAAAGTGTGAGCAGCTCAGGCGACCAGAAGAACCGGACGAGATCAAAAACATCCGGCTTGGAGCTGTCAAAACGCGGGCTGGCGGCGAGTCAAGCCCTTTTCAAGCCACTATTTTCCTCCAAGGATCTCTGTCTACGCTGGGACCACACGTGTTTTCGCGACTGCTCTCTCTTTCAGAGGATCCCGATATTAGTCTATCTTTGATCGTTCGACAAACGAGAGTCTTTCTGCTGGATACTTTCGATCATTTCAAATTCCTTAATGATCTAGGCTTGAAAGGTCTCGATACTATCGGAGCTGCCTATGAGCAGGCATTAGGGTCACTGGAGAGCTTAGACGACTATAGAGCGTTGACCGACTCGGTGCGAACTCTGATTCAACTCTTCTACCGATGGGTGCATCTCATTTTCCCCTGGTATTTGAAATCGGATTTCCCTGGACGGACAGAGGAAGAGGTCGCCGCCCTGCCAAAGCTCGAAGTGTACAACTCTACAGCATAATGAATACAATACAATCCAACTATGTGCATTGAGGTCCCACTCGTATCTAAAAACTCTCTGAACTACACCGCGATATTGACTTCAATCTTCTTTTGGATTTTTCTTGACGAGTAAATACCCTTTCCACTAGATATTGGACTGGCAACGAGGTTGTACTTGGAATCTGTGTGAGCTATCGGGAAGAAATAAGAAGCTGAGTTAACCCAAATAGCGGTAAGGGAACATTGTAGGACAATATATCATGAATAAATCTAAATAATGTTAAACAAAGAATCAATGACTAGACTTTATTCGGAATAATCGCCCGCACATGACTTCGGGAGCCAACACATCTCATGCATCGCCGCCAGTTCTCGACACAGAGAGGGAACCCTTATATTCTACTTCCCCGGGCACATCATTCAACAGACCACGTGGCGCAGTGGTCAACGGTGCACCGCTCCGATGACGCACCTACGAGATGTACCTACACTGCAATTGAGGCCGGCTCTAGGTGTCTGCCCCTACTGCTGATCACAGGAAGGGTAGGACGGGTACGTCGCTTCGTGCAACAGGAGCTCCTCGGTTCGAATCCAGGTTAATGAGCCGTGACAGAGGCATATTTTCTTTTTTAGTCTTTTTACGTCTTGGTTTTTGGAATTGTATGCTGGTTCAAGTATGGTGATGTGTATCACGCTCTCGCTCGCACAGAAACTCTGTGGCCAATACCATAAAAGATCAGAAGGCGGGTCACCAAGTGTATGTAGCCAATTGATAACGTCATTCTGCGAAGCAAGCACGGAGTATCTTATTCATACAAGAAATATACGCAATGACATTACTTGGCGGACCGTTGATTGGGCGGAATTTAAACTCAAGAATAAGCTCCAAGATCTGGACGTCAATCACCTTCCATATAAAGGAGGTGCCCGAAGCGAGATACCATCACCTGCCCGGAAGAGAGTAGCGGGGGACGAATAAACTATGCCTGTGGGCTTATGCCAAGAGTTGTGAGCTTGCAAAGTGACATACCGAGTCTTCCTATCTTCTCGCGCTTCTTGGCTGGATGCCTAGATGCATCAACACGGTGGGATCGTCGTTCCCCCGCTCAATCACTAAGGCTTTGGGGTTGCATCACCGAAGGGGAGAGCTGCTTACGCCAGCCATTGCATTTGAAATATCGAAGCCAAGCTTTCTGAGCGGGGAGGCGGCCTCCCATAGGATAGTTGGGGGAAGCTGGATTACCAAGCTCTTGAGCATAAATAGAGGGCGATGGCCCTCTCTTTACTGCCTATTTGAATGCTGTCCATACTCAAATCCCTTCTCCGCTAGTAAATACTTTGGACTGCCAACTCTCAGTAACAATGGTTCGTCTAAAATGTTTGGCTCTGCTGAACCTGGCCATGGTCAGCATGACCAGCGCCGCAGGTGGTGGAACCAAGGAAGAGTACGACTCTGGGGCAGTCCATGCTCGGTTCATGAGCATCAAGATGGTAGGTCAACTGAATAGTTCATTGGGTGGCTAACGACTGACCCGCGCACAGGCTCAATGGGCGGAGGAGGAGGCCCTGGGCAAGATGGATAGCTCCCAGTATCCTGCACTTGGTTACACTCCTTGTGTCAATGGATTTGCTGCTGCCATCCCCGGCGATGCCTTGAATACATTTAGATGCCACAAGTACGATACCCCACTCTGGATCCGATCTAGTAAAAGAATATTCAATTGACAGAATCTAGCATCGACCTCTACTCATTTTTGTCCCATGCTGATCTCGGGAGTTGGGGTGGACGAGGCTCTTCGTCATGGGGTTGGACCTCGGCTGATGGACGAGAGATTGTTGCTATAGGGCAGTACGACGGCACTGCGTTTGCAGAGATTACGAGTGAAGGCAAGCTTGTCTATCTCGGTCGCCTTCCCCAGTACGACAAAATCGGCTCTCAATGGAGAGAGATCCGGATCGTCGGAGATATCGCCGTCATTGGCTCGGAGGCGATGAGCCACGGAGTGCAGTTCTTTGACATGAAGAAGACTCTCGACCTTGACCCAGCGAACCCCAAGAACTTCACGCAAGATGAGCTTACTGATCATTGGGATGAGCTCCCTGTCGGCCGTACGCATAACATCGTGGTCAATCACGAGTTGAACTACGCCATTGCCGTTGGTTCTGTGGGCGGCAATGAGACTGTCCGTGTCCGAGATCCTGATCTGCCTTGCCGTGGCGGGTTGATCTTCCTGGACATTAGTGATCCGACCAACGTCACATCTCCTGGTTGCGCTGCTGGTAAGCTCTGAATTTATACGAACCCCGATCAAGATGATACTAACTTATTGATAGGCGATGGGTATGTGCACGATGCTGAATGCCTCGTTTACCGAGGCCCGGACGAGAAGTACTACGGCCGTGATATTTGCTACGGCTATAATGAAGATACCCTCACCATCTATGATGTTACCGATAAAGTCGGCAATGTAACCAACATCATTTCGATTGTCGATTATCCCGGCGCCGAATATGTTCATCAGGGCGTCGTCAACAACGAGACTTGGCAAGAGTATCTTTTCATCGACGACGAGTTCGATGAGCGTGATGCCAAGGTCGGGCCTATGACGCAGGGCCTGCCTACCACTCACATCTTTGATATTAGGAACCTTGAAAATCCCAAGTATACTGGATATTACGCAGGCAAGACCAGGTCTATTGATCATAACCAGTACGCGGTGGACGGGTACCTGTACCAGTCCAACTACGGCAATGGCCTCAATGTGCTGGACGTCCGCAGCGTAACTAAGGATCCTACCGGAGGGAGCATTTGCGAGGCTGGCTTTTTCGACATCTACCCCGAGGACGATGAGAATGAGGGTGGCGGCACTGTCGCCTTCCTTGGCTCCTGGTCAAGCTATCCTTACTTCAAGTCGGGTTTCATCCTGGTCCATACTATCGAGCGTGGCACTTTTGTCGTCAAGATGACATCCAAAGAGTGCGCCAAGCGGCCAGTGTGCAATGCGGATAACTGTCTCCGTGCTTTGCGTGCATCGCACATCCCGGGCCGTCTGGAGGAAAGTGTTGAGTTCTGTGGGAACTTTACTCGCCGTCTGAGGGATGACGAAGAGCTATTGCCTCAGTATGCTACTGATTCCTGTAAGAACAAGCCAGTTGAGAGAGTAAGTAGCGCTTGTGCTTGTCTGCCAACACAGACTGTTCCAGAGCTGCCGAGAACGACAAGCCGTCCGCCGCCACCAACCGTTCTGCCCGACAGGCGATGATAGCACTAGTCATTACTAGACTGGAATGAATAAGATAGGATAGGATCCTCAAATATCGCCTCAGTTTGATACATATTTGAATATAGTGAATCCGTACTGCTTTTTGACTATTCCTCACTAATTGGCCTATATGTAATTGGCTGTCTGCCAATGCTGTTGATTGAGGCAGTATTATTGCCGTATATAGCGACTTCCTACTTGTTGTTTGTACATATGGTAGTTCACCAAGTATCACAACACTTGCCAACATGACTCGATATGAATTGATCGAAACGAAGATGTCTGTGCTAGACATATTGTCGTTAAGGGACAAATACCTGCATCATGCCGGAGAGGGCAGTTAACTCTGCTGACGGACCCGTCGGATAATTGTCAACCCAGTAGACTTCAATATGCATCAGATTAAGTCGAGAAACAAGCTGAGGAAAGATTGAACAGATCTTTTAATTCGTTGCATGTGGCCATCCCTTTCTTTTCCTGCTTTGCTGATGTAACAGTGAGCTCCAGGTCGAGACAGAATTCTGCCCACTGAGACAGCGACGACGCATTGATGCCTTAAGCACCGAAAGTGCAATATTGGGCCAATGAAGCTCCCCTTCCCCGCCGAAAAATGAAAGGGAGGCGTACATGAGCCCAAGGCGTATCTTGAGGCAGACTCACCAAATCTGCCTCGCGCAGCGCGAGGATGAAATACCAAAGTTGGTCTTTGCCTAGATGGAATATTGTCTTTTGTTCCTCTGATAGAACTTGTATTATCGCACACTACTTTATCCAGCAAAAAACAGTAAAATCATGGAAGCTACACAGACATACAAGTACACGGCTCTCAGAGGACCTCGAATCATTCGGGTCTTGCGTCTCTCCGGAGGCAGTACGGACAATACATTTGCTGAGCTCATTGAAACGAATCTTGACCATTGTTGTGCCTACGAAGCAATCTCGTATGTCTGGGGCTCGGCAGACAAGTCCCATACCCTCAATATACGGGGAGGAAGCCTCATCAAGATTACAGAATCCCTATATCATGCGCTCAAGGACATACGATATTCTGCGATCAGGGACGGACCCCGATACCTCTGGGCAGATGGTGTTTGCATAAATCAAGAAGATGTTGACGAGAGAAGCCAACAGGTGGGTTTGATGGCCGAAATATACGGTTCAGCCCTCAAGGTCATCACTTACGTCGGACAAGATACGTTAGACGTGAGGAAAGGAATTGAATTGGCCAAGTTGCTCATAGCGGCTCAAGGAGAGTCTACAGCGATAAACTCCAATGCCAAGCGTTAAATTCCCGGTGATACTGATCCTGCTTGGCCAGCGTTGCGTGATTTTCTTGGACGAACTTGGTATACACGAATGTGGATTATCCAAGAGTCGGTCCTGAATAAGAACGGCATAATCGTGTGTGGGAGAAATAACATTCCTTGGGACTTATTCCTCGATCTGAGCAACATGATAGCGCATAGCGCGCACAATGAATACATTCAAATTACCCCATATGCCGAAAAGCAGATTGGTGCATTTGGTTGGATGTCTGAGCTGAGAAATCGTTATCGAAAGCACCCAGAGGGAATTCCTTTATTACAGCTTCTGATCTGTAGTCGGGAGTTCAATTGCTCCAATCCCAGAGACCACGTTTTCGCCGTTTCCTCCCTCATGGAAGCGTCCTGTCGGATCAAACCTGACTACCAAAAAGCCATCAGGGGTGTATATATCGAAGCAGCTGGACAGGCACTGAAATCTTGTGGTCTGGTGATACTGAGCTATGCTGGCATGTGGAAGAAACAGGATGTTCCGTCTTGGGTGCCTGACTGGAGTTGCTACCACGAGCAAATTCCCATTTTTCAATCTCGTCGGTTTAACGGCCTATCAACTTTGTCTGACGGTCGGTTATGTGGTGTCCTGAAACATAAATATATACTTTATGACTTACAAACCGGTCAACTGTGCAGTTCAGGTTGCGTTTTCGACCGGGTTATTCATGTTGGCGGAACTTTACGCAGGTCTTTTATAACAGCTAGACTGGAGCGTTATAGGTGGGCGCGGGAACAGTATTCGCTGCTCAGTCAGTTTGGTACAAAATACGTTGGAGGGGGGAGCAGCCTTGAAGCATTTTGGAGAACTCTTATCCTAGATCTGGATCCTGAGAAACGCATGCAACATCACAGCGCCTTGCCCACGTCCGGGGCCTATTTTGAGTCGTACGTGCGCCCGAATAAGTGGTGGGCTCGCAAAGAAGCGCTGGAGTCTATCGAAGATTACAGTCCTAATAAATGGCCGAAACCACCTGCGATCGAGCCTGTGGTCATAGAAGCGTGGAAGAGGGAGTCCATGCTGGATCTCGCCGAGTGTAGCAGGGATAGAGGCGAGCATCATGTGTTCCGTCCACTTCGACAACAATACTCTCAGCAAGGCTCAAGTTCTCAAGGCTCTGAGTTCCGTGATCTCGTGCTTAAATCCCAAAACCTCTACCGAGAGTTTTTCATGACAGAGAAAGGTTACATCGGCATGAGTGCGCAGGGGGTGGAATTAGACGATGTTGTCACACTTCTCCCTGGTGCACATGTTCCGTTTTTGCTTCGCGGAACAACAAGCGAGTCAACATATTCGCTTGTCAGTGACTGCTATATTCACGGGATGATGAACGCGGAAGTTTTGAGAGATGGCCATTGGAATGCGTCACCCATAGTTTTAGTTTAAAGATGTCTCAATTTGGTGTTTATTTTATTGACATGTCGGGTCGGCCTCTTCCATTGCTGTTTTCTCTATGCTGAACTCTCATCCGTATCCTCGACCCTGAGTCTTGGTTTCGGCTGCCCTTTACCAATCTCGGAGACCAGACGGCATCGATGACACAATACAACAAATCTCCCCATAGCCCAGTCTCATCTGGATACCGACCGACCGTCAAAACCATGTCAGCCTTAAACTTGATCCAACTTTAAAGGGGCGTTCGTGCGCTGACCAAGTGGGACTGGCGAGTCAAGGCGCCGCACTCCGCGGGTTGCGTACGAAGGAATAAGGAGTCCACGGACATCAATGTACGCGCCCAGGGTGAAGAAAAAGCCTTGGCGTGCATTGATGGCGCGCCTTAATGGATGGTGAAAAATTTCCAGCGTGGAAAGCATGCCATCCGCGGCGGCCGGTGTGGACTCGGGTGGGATGGCTGCCTCACTGTCATCCGACTCTGGTTTCTCTTGCTGATGCTTCGTGCCCAACCAGGAGCCGTGTCTGTATTGATTTCTGTTTCTTACTTTCGCACTCGGGCCTTCTTTTAACATGGTGTTGGCAATGCTTTCCGTGTCGATGCTTGGGCGTGTGTACCCCTGAGCATTTTAGCCAAACTGATCGGGACAGTGGCCTGGCTGTGGAACATTGATGATGAGGAGTCATTGCGTCAGATATAGTAGTACATTAAAATAGTAGTACATTAAAACTCATTCATTCGTAATATCTACCTGTGCCCTTGCTCTATTCTATGACTGGAGGAAACGTAAAAACAAGGAATGAAAGGAAAAGAGAAAGGAAAAGACACCATTAGCTAGCCATTAGCCGCTGCCGTTGCTTTTCTACGGTCGCCATATGCTTTTCCGTGAGTGAACTGGGCAGCTCCTCCATGATACTTCTCAACCTCCGAAGCATGTGCCGCCGGGGATTGCACTCTGCGTGACTCCGGACCACGTCATGTAGCCTTTCCTCCCCGATGTCATGAATGACCAACTCTGTCAGTTTGCCGTAGAGGCTCAGGGTACTGTACTCGACTTCTTCAGCCTCCGGCAGGGGCCAGAGCCCGGCCCTTGCGAGGCAGAAAGTCATTGATCCAAGGATCATGGACTCGCACTTATGATGACCCATCCATTGCGCGTGGCGGCACCACCTGGGCCTCTCGTCAACCACTACCAAGGCCTCGGTCATATCGCCGACGACCTCTAGAAGCGACCGGGTGGTTTGGGTGCGGATCGCATCGATGCGCTCTAAAAATGAATTGTTAGCTTGTCAAGTGTACATGTCGAGAATCTGCTGTGGGAAACCTACCAACGACATCTGGAGGAGTCTGGATATCCTCTTCTTCGCACGTGTCCATAAACGGGGGCCCATCAACTTCCAGCAGCATCCGACGGGCTGTGTCCTCCAGGATGCTCATCTTCCCCAACTCCCAGGCTACCCAAAGCACTTTTGGGAGGAGAACACGCGCATCATTCTTGGAGATGCCGTCCATACAGGCGATCCACGAGTCTACCCACGGACTTAGTAATGCGGTCGCATCGTAGTAATTGGTGAGGACGGTCAGCTCGTAGAGTTGATCGAGAGTAAGTGTTTTGGGCACAGCTAGAAACTGGCAGTGCGCGATGCCAAGCAATATGCCCATGGGTTCTGGCTTGTCATTGGGCAGATTGACGATCCAGTCTTGGTCGGGGGTGGTTGGTTTTCTTGCTTCGGCAAAGTGGCCGTACAGCATGCGATCGAAGACAGGGGAGATTCTCGCCAAGGTCCGAGAGCAGGCTGTGAAAAAGATGGGCTCGATGGACTGGCCGTCAACAACTTTCTTCTCTCCGACTCTTAGCTTTACATCGCCGTGATAATCCAGGTCCACGGGCGATGTAGGTCTTGGGTTAGGGTTCTTGTGCATGTGCGTTATCTCTGTTGGGGGTGGGCTTGGAGATTTGACCGCGAGGGAAGACGGTAACAAAACGAGAGCCATATTGGTGTGACTTGTAATCTTGTCTAGAGGGAAGGGTGATGTTGGTGGAGGAGTGGTGAGGTTGTAAGACGTGGACTGTTGGGATGGATGCCAACTACTACTTAAGCATAAACGAAGGCTCTTCTCAGGCTGCGCCAAGACAACGACGCATCGATTAGGGTGGGCTCACGTCACGTCGAGTCCCAGACCAGTCGCCAAGGGAGTGCCCTTCGGAAGGCCGGATCTCGTATTTGCACGCCCCTTTTGCTGGTCCGAAGATGGGGAGACCCTGGACGAAGCTCTGAGATGGTGCAGTGACTCTCCAGCGTGTCTACAGCGTGTCTGCAGCGTGTCTCAGTGACGCTCCAGCGCTGCGCGGGTCCCGTGGCCCTGTAACTTTAGCGTGCTGGCCCGCCCATGGCGCCAGTGGCATTGCTAATTTAGGGGGCTGAGGCTGAGCCAGTGCTCGTGTAGTTGGGTTTTTCGGGCTGCCCGTCCGGAGAATCTTTCTAGAACGTCATGATCCCGGAATGGTTTCGGAATGGTGGTTGTTTCAGTGAGACCGAGCGCCAGAATGAGGCAACGTTTCCTATTGGCTTGAGGGTCATACCTAGCGAGCTGTCAATAAGCTGAGGTTCCTTAAGAGTCGTTGTCATTTGTCTGTGGGCATTGGATTCTCAGACGATAATGCAAGATTTGATCCCCTTCAGATGAAATACCGTTTACTCGTCTTTTCATGTCTGTCATCTTTGACTACTCTTACTTACAGAGTAACTTTGAATGTCAAATCAGCTGCACACCATTACCTAATTACCCTATAGCTGCACACCAACATGGAAGAGGCAAGATTGGTTGAAGATCTAATAAAATCAAACATAACATCTTTGCAAGAAAAAGAAGAAGAAGAAGAAGAAGAACATTGGGAGAGTGAATATTTAGGAGCCTTAATAGTCTTGGGATTAAATAGACTTGACATGGTGGTCAAGCATTTGGGGGTTCAGGCAATCAACATGTCCATCCATGTAAATTGATAGGATCAATCAATGTCCAGACTACCTACTACAACATGTGATTTGAGATAACTACAATTTTGTGCCTGGCTGTCCAAAGACTCCACGTGGAGAGTCGAGGATGTTCGACCTGCGCTCAAAGTAAAACCCACTGTCATCCACGTATCGAAAACCGAGTACCTTCTCAACGGCTAGCCAGTCACCCTCCTTTGTTCCAGCCAACCCTTTAGGAGTCCAACCTTTGGTGTATCCGTTGCCACAGCCTATGATCCATGCATCGTTGTTTCGATCGATCAGAACGTTGCCAGGATCGGCATAACCCCAGATTACGCCAGCCGCATGTAATCTTTCGACGGACTGTAGGATTTGCTTTGTCCATCTCGGCCGCATGGATGCATCTTCATAGTGTGCAGCAGAGTGAATCCCATGATATTTGCAGTCAATGTGAGATAGCAAGAGCCCGTGGACGTCGCCGTTCTCGCTCTTGAGTAGCCCGTACATCCTCTGAACTAAGGTATCGCTGCCTACCGCTTCATCTATCTTCCAAAAAGCCTCGAGCTTATCAGGCAATGTAAGATGACCGCGGTGAACTAGGAGAAGCTCGGCGATTGTTCCGTCCGGCAAAAGCACCAGCTCTGGATGGCCCCAGGAGAACGATAAAGGTTTATCTCCCTTGAAGATCTTGACTTCAGACGGAGAAAATGCAGCGAATGGCGCGCACTCAGGCTCCGAGAGCGACACGCGGAACGAGGAACCATAAGAGCTGGCTTCCTTGTCGAGAGTGGCAACCGGGCCACTGGGTCCCGCACACAGCTTGTACTGGGTGCACATGGCGAAGAGAAAATCATGAATGGTTTCCAGGCCAGGCGAAGGCGGCAGTGCCTCTAGGAGTGGCATGAGGGGAGCCACGGCCCAGTCCCAGAAATCCTCCTCCACAAAGCCATCTACTTCACCTTCATCGACGACCTGCATCCAGAATAGGTATTTTTCTTTTTGCTCTGGGGAGTCTGAGAAGTATTTGGGGTCCATTTCAATAACAAACATTTGACCTTTGCATAGAATTACCAATTGTGCATCGTGGTACTCTGGGTGGTACATGAAGTTCACAAGATCCCATATTGGTGATGCAACATGTCCCTCCAGCGTGCCTGTTGCATTATCCTCCATTCTTGAGATTAATCAATGTAGGTGAGCGACGTTCAAACAATTGGGTTTGTTCTTGACTCGAGTATCGCCAATCACGCAAGTGTATTGCCAAAGACTTGCATGAACTGAATGACGCGATATTCGGATGTGGCTTTTGATACGCCGACTATTGGCAGAAGCTTCCGCTGTTCAGCTGTTGAAACAGAATTTTATTGTTAGTGTCTGTGTATTTTTGCTTTTCCGTAGAACAAGAATAATGCGAGTGTCATCATGAACTGGCGCGATGTATAAGACCGTGAATTTGCGTGAACAAGGTACCACGTGATTCCAGGCAGCACTCCCCTCTCGTTATCTGGGGCTCAAACTGGAAGAATGTAATTCGTTGAAACCCGAACTAACATGCTAATAACTGCTAACTCATCTTACACATAAGTGGACTCCAACAGGGGTTTGATTTGAGGCCAAGAGCTTGGCTTCATTCCCAAAAACCATTGGCCCACCTCCATCGTGTCCTTTTTCTCTGGCATGTAGTTGCTGGTAACTGGTTGCGGCACATGAGCGTAGGGCCTGGCCATCTCGCTCTGATATCACAATATTGATACCTTCTTGGACGTTATAATACCGTGCTCATCGAGAATTGATGGCGAGCCCCTCTTGGCACAGCGAGATCGCCCTGGGCCTGACGCAATTTTATACGAAGCTGACACAGGCTCCTTACCTGTCGCCCGACTCCATCCAACACCCACCGCCTGAGGGATGGAGTGACGAGGAATTGGACGTGGATGGCCTCCGAACCATCCTGCGCCGCTCCGACGCCGTCGTGGACTTCCTCCGTCACCTCCCTTATGTGAAACCGGTGGAAGAAAGAACGCAGACCGGACAATCGTGCATCTTCCCTAAGACCAAAGCCATGCGCTACTTGCGAGACCACAGCTCGCTCCGGCAAAAAGACCTCGAGGGTCTGTACGAGTTGGTCAACCTCCCGCCAGACATGGTCAGCTTGACGCACCCTGCCGGTGAATACACACTCTACGGCCCCCAATGGTGGCTCGTGGACTGCAAGACCGGTCGAATCACCAGATACGCAGGACCGCCCCGCGGCGAGGCGCTGGCGGAAGAGTTTGAGTCCGAGTGGAAAAAGGCGCCGACCTACGCCCCTTTCGACTTCTTCCAGGAGGTCATTACGATGTTGGGCAAGGATTACTATCCTGTTCCAGGCCTGGTTGATGGCATCGAGGCCGACTTCTGCACTCTTGATCGCCGCGAGTGGACCATGATGTATCAGATTTACATGCTGGCAGGGTGGCAACACGGCCGCGGTCCGGGGCCCTACTTTGATCGCGAGAAATGCGGCAAGGATCTCGAGGCTTTTCTGAGGGACCAAAATGAGCGTGAGTCCAGGAAACGGAAAGCAGAGATGGCCCGTCACGAGCGACGGCCGTGTCCTACACAAGCGAATGATTCTGCCACGTACCCGGAAGGGTATGACCGAGACGTGATCGCCAAGGGTCTGACCCGATACTACGAGACTCTCTCTCAGATGGCCTACTTCCCTGCCTCTCTCATCCAATATCCGCCCGGCGGGTGTTGGGGCGATGACACTTTTCTTCCGGCGGACAAGATAAAGCTACTGGGCTTCAACGAGCGTGTCGTCGACCTGCTGCGGCATCTACCATATCTCGATGTCGACGAGTCACACGAAGACAACTGTTGGTCCGTCAACGGCCGCAGCGAGCCCCAGCGTTATCTCGAAGATAACCCGATGCTGAACAAGGAACTCTCTGCCGACAAGGCGACGTCAGAAAGCCTGTACGCCAACGGTCTCTTCCCCTTTCCAGAGAAGATTCCTGACGGGTTGGTTCCGATCGCAGGCCGTGAGGATGGCGAGTGGTGGATCATTGATACCAACGCCGGCACTGTGATCATCTATGACCCCGACAACAAGCAAGTTGTGGATGCCCCCGACGACAAGCCCTGGCTCTGGACGCGTCCGCGCCCCGCCGGCCCGTTCTTCGATGCGCTCGTGAATAGCTTGTATTCTCTTGACTTGGTACCCTTGCCGCGGCCTGATACAGACATCGCCGAGTGCTACCCCGAGGTTTGGGGCGCGATCCGGGAGGATGAGGAGGAAGATGACGAGGATGATCTAGATCCTGAAGTTGAGGTATGTGGTCCATTACTCTCGTTGATGTCTGCTCGATAGTGGTTGTTTCGTATACTGATAATTTGGGAATCGTTCTAGGAAGCTCGTGAGATATACCGCGCGCATGGCTGGCCGGACGTGGCTAAATTCCGGCGCCAGGAATGCTACGATGCCTTGGTTGAGCACAGAACGAATTTGCTGGAAGATGGAGAGGGCGGTTACGGGCCTGTGTAGTCTGTCTCTAAAGGACTTGTGTAGGCAAGCGAGGAGTGATGTTTACTCCTATTGACTGAGATGCGCAATTAAGGCACAAAGACTTTCTTATCCCAGAGTAGTAGTCTATCTCCTTGAAGAGATTGTACCCAGGAAGAAGAAAACCTTCTTTACAATTTGGTTAGTTCCCCTCAGCCTTGACTACAGTAACTCAATGGCAAAATTGAGAACCCCCTTTAATTCAGCTCTTTGCCACATTATGATCACCTTTTCCCTATGAAATGATTGAATCGCATTTGGTCACTAGCCCGGTGGTAGACGAAACTTGCTATATCCTAGTCCTATTCCTTCGGCTAGGATCATCCCTTTAACCCTTAGAAGGGACTCTTCATAATCAGCAGCCGCCTCGGCACAAGTTAATAACTATATAGATTATGTTCCCGAGCTTCCTGAGAGACTTCTAATAACTCGTCTTCCGATCGAACGTTCTTGGGGGATCTAGCATGGTCTGATCCTTGTGCATTCGCCTACCCCTTCCATGGAAAGCCCAGCAGTGCCGCGGCTCATTGACTCTAATCTTGCTAATGTAGAATCTTCTGTTCAATGTGGAGAAGAAGGCTCCGCATGGCTCCTCAAGTTGATGTCTTTTTCACTGTACAGTTCATACCCTGGCAACTCGGGAAGAACCACAATCAGCCTACGATGAGGGGTTGGGTGGAGGGTGGGTGAGGGAAGAGCGGACGCCGGTGTACGAGACTTCCTTTCCAACGTGCATTCAGAGTATGGTTAGAGGAAACTGGGAACAAGGGGACACCAATGGCTTTCATTTGGGGCGAAGACAAGCGGAATGGGTCGTTCCACCAGACCCCCGCGCAAAGCCGGCACTAATGCAAGAACTGTACAGTCTGGAGTTTGCCCACAATTTCTGTGAGTGCTGTACAGTTCATGCTTGGATGGGACCTTTGCCAAAATGATCCTGTTACTTAAAAGAAGAGTTGATCCTCCTCACTGTCTTTGGTTACAAGTACGCACACTCGGCGTACACTGCTCCTCGCCCACTTTCAGAATATACTTGGGTACTGCATACATGATGGCCACCACAACATGGCTTATGAAGCTCCAAGAGCAACGTAAGATTATCGATCGTCTCCGACTTGAATGCTGGGCTGACCGTTTCAGTGAACGTCGACATTGATTGCATGGATCCAGCAGAGGCAAAGAAGCTGCTTCCATTCAAGCCATGCGACCAAACCAGCAATCAGCGTCTGGTCTACGAGCAAATGATCTCCCCTGAGAACCGGGATTTGTTCTTGCAAACGGCAAAGGAGGCCAAGGACGAGGGCTGGGAGGTCATTCTCAACCGCATGGTAGGCAATGAAGCCACGGTTAGGCCACTTGTTCTCATAATGACTGATCGACCTGTGTAGAGTGCTCGCCTTTGTGCTAAGAATATCGAAAACATCGAGGGCCGGGTGTTGTTGCAGTCCTCGGCCCGGTTTGCGTACGACACCGACAAGGTAATCGAGCATGCCCGTGCATATGCGCACGAGTTTGAAAAGGCGGGCATCTCCAAGGATCGAATCTGCATCAAGATCCCCGCCACGGGCCCGGCCTTGAACGCCAGCCCAATTCTCCTCAAGGAAGGTATTCGCACTCTAGGCACGAGTTTGTTCTCGGTGGTCCAGGCAATTGCAGCCAGTCAAGCTGGGTGTCTCTCCATTAGCCCTTATATCAATTGTAAGAAAACCCATCCGTCATTTTGATCACTAAGCTAATGGAGTAATAGTCCCATGGTACCATGCCGATCGGAAGCAGTGGCCGGATGTGCAGGATCCAGCTTTGGAGCATCCCATGTCCCATCGTTTGGTGCAAATCAAGCAGGTGTACGAACGCCTTCATAAAGAAACGGGAAAAGAGCAACCGCTGTTGAAGCCAGCAAGGTATGCGAAGCCATTATGCCCTGAGATTAAAACAGTTGACGCTGACGCGCTTTCCCCAGCTTCATTTCTGCCAAGGAAGCTATGGCCATGGGTGAGATTGGTTGCGAACATGCCACGATCCCAGAGAACATTTTGCTTGAACTGTCACTGCTGGATGCGGAGGCAAATCCTCCTCCCGGGACTGATTCAGTCAAAAAAAGAGGAGTCGTCGCACCAAGGCTCACTCATCTGGCTGACAGTGACCCTCTAGCCGGAGACAAATGGAAGGGACGGCTGCCATCAACTGAAGTTGACTATCTTGCTGATAATGGCGCGGCTTTGACTGAAGCCATTGCAGAAGATGAGACCACAGAGCGAGGATTGCGTGAGGCTCTGTCGGCTTTTGAAGACAACGAACTCCAGAGCAGGCAAGCGATTGAAGAGTTGCTCAAGCAACTGTGATTTTGGTACGATGCCCTGCTTCAAAATGCCGCTTGACTCTTCAGTGAACGGTTATATAGCACATGAAATCGATTGAAATTGATACAGATCCGGATATGACACGTGAGATAGGCCGTAAAGTCATTAATAGAATCTTCATACTTATGCTCAGTAGCTAAGGTTAGTTCGTAATATGGTATGCGGTCTTATGGTTTGCTCAGATCTGATGTTAGCACTGGTGATCGGATGGGGACAGTTCTTATTTAAATGGTTCTTTCTTTGCAAGTTCACTGTGCTCTCATCTCCGGCACAAACTACAGTAGGGAAGGGGACAGTGAAAAGATACTATAGACTGAGCTAGCACATTCACCCTCACAGTGGCAGAGATGACTTTACCCTACCAACGACATCCATTTGTTAATGAAGCTGAGTCGCGGGGAAAGAATAGTGCTTGGCACTCCCTCGTAGCCGATACCCAAGTGGTGTGCTAAAAATGAAGACGCTGAGTGGTCCCAATAGCGATGGCTGTATACTCACTGGCTTCATGTAGCTTGGCGAGTGCAGTAGGCAAAGGCAGCCTATGGGCCTGAATTCCGCGGCGAGTGAATGGCCTTGCATGCGTTTAGAAGACCATGGCTCTAGGATATGGCCTTTTGCTGATGTTCAGAATACGACACCGCCCTAATGTGCGATACTACGCCAACGAAGCCGATGGGAAGAGCCACAAGTCTAGCGAGAGAATGTCAGATTGCGAATGATAAATTTATTCCTACATATACTAGCTAGCGGACAGATTGAACACGGTAAGTTTTCTCAGGGACTCGATTTGCCAAAAGGTGCAAAGGTTCAACTATCTCAGAGTGTCTGGTCTTGGATACTAGAGCAAGATGTGGTGAGGAATGATCATGCCAGTAGAATGGAATGTGTCAAAATTAGCCCTCAGGTTGAAGGAGAAAGATTCGTTTGACAAAAATCGATAGTGCGATCCCATAGAGGCGACACTTGAATGTACATCTCTGAAAGCTGCCATTCATATGATCGCTGTGCATAGTCTAGGCGACAGGATTCTAGGCAGGAGAGGTCGGTATGCCTGTAATCTCGGTCCCCGTAGCGTGAGTGTGAGCCTGGTCCATGGGACTTCTGGTTTCTGAGAAATCGTACAAGGGCCTGAGCTTGAGATCCTTGCGCCAGAAAATGTAGCGCTTGATGAAGAACGGCAGGCTCACCCCAACCTGATACTTTATAAACTTGGAGGTTGGAACAGCAAAAACATAGTCCAGCTCTTCCAAAGTCAGCCTTTTTGTTTCTGGAACACAGAGAAAGATCAGGATGAAGGCGAGCACGTTGAGAGCGCAATAGAACCCGAAGCCGCCTGTAGGGGTAAAGGCCACAAGCATGTACGGGAACGTGAGCGATAGAACCGTGGAGCCCAAGGCGTTGATCCACACAGCCCAAGCCATGCCCAGCTCACGATGGGAGAGCGGGTACACCTCTGCTCCGTATGGATAGCATACAGGACCCTCGCCCAAGGAGTAGAAGGCGGCAAACAGAAAAATGAACAGCGCCAGCAAGGCGAGTCGAGTAGTACGTTGGTCTTCTGGAATCAGGAAACAGAAGCCAGTTGCCAGTAAAGTCCAGGCCATGTGTGGCAACGTGGACAGGAGCAGAGACCTCCGTCCAAAGGTATCAATAGTCTTGATGGCCGGAAGCGCAAACAGGAGCTGCACGATACCAAAGCCAAATGAGACCCAAAGCGCATTCTTCTGGGAAATGCCGGCTTCCACAAACACGGTCGAGGAGTAGAAGGCAACGATGTTAATGCCTAGAGCAATACTTGGTCAGAGGCACGATGAGTACTTAGGGAGAGGAGTACGTACCGCACATCTGCTGTGCAATCATGACGACCCCAGAAGATAGGTTGGCGCGGCGAATGCGTGGGACAGTAAAGAGCTGGATGAAGCGTGTGATGGTGTTGCCACCGCTGGCAATCAATGCCTTCTCGCTCTTATAAATGGCGTACATGGAGTATAGGTCCCTTGCCGCCTGAAGTTTGGTGAAGCGAAGTTTGCAGAGAGAATTATATGCGTCCGCGTATCGTTTCTTCTTGATATACCACCTAGGGCCTTTTAATCACGACCATTAGTATCAATCCCAAATCTCGGCTGATCAAGGATTCTTACTCTCGGGACATAGATACACGCTGAGTAGCAAAGGAATAGCTGGGATAAAGGCAGATCCAAGTTGCAGCCGCCAGGTGATATCACCTACATCAACCACGGCGAGATTAGCTGCTAGACCGAGGAAAATTCCTATTGCCACATAGAGTTGCCAAGTCATGGCCAAAGCGCCGCGGATGGGTGCGGGTGCGCTCTCAGAGGCAAAGACCGAAGTTGTTGAGGACTTGATGCCCATGCCCACGCCGAGTAGCAGTCGGCAGACTAGCAATTGATACCAGGTTTGTGAGAAGGCGGATCCAAGAACGGGCAGAAAGGCGAAGATGCCGGAGACGAAGATTGCACCCCGACGTCCAATAAGATTATTGATGGGATCGGATAGCCAGACGCCACTGTATTCACAATGTAAGCTTCATATCTCATGGTTGGGCTTGATAGCCGGACTAAAAGACTACCTACGGGAATAGCATTGCCAGGGAGGGTGCGGCGTTGATAAGGCCAACGATCCATTTGTCGTGCGCGCTGGTCGAGGCAATCCCAAACTCCTGGGGAAAGCCCAGATTGGCGCCATTGCTACCAGTCTGTTACGATGACTGGTGAGCTTTTCAGAACAAGACCCATACCCGGGGTAAATACATACCTGATCCCATCCTTGGACGGCGGCTCCGATAGAGCAGACAGCCACGGTGATCCAGAGGTGCTTTGGCTGGTGCCATTTTCTCTCAACTTCAGAACGAAGAGTTTCTTTATCCTCATCATCCAAGTCTTCAATGAACTCGAATCCAGATGGATCCTGAGCCACCAAAACTCCCTTTCTGAAGATGTCGATTTCGTCGTCTAGGCCAGCTTCACGCGCAAAGGCTTCGACAAGCTCAAGTACCGTCTGCTTGGGGATGCGCCGCAAGGGATTTTGGATTCTAGTGTGTTTGAACAGGTCAGTCTAAAGCCCACGAGGGTTGAGATGATAGATCGGGATAACGAATTGGTGGTCTTACTTTGCCTCGGGGTTGTTGGCAATATTCAGTTGCGCACCCTGGTCAACGTATTCATGCTCGGCAGCAACGAGGTCATCCTTATGAAGATCCATATTAGTACGGGGAATATTGGTCGTTGTTTGCAGATAATGTTCTTTGCGTGATCATGGCAAAACATTGCGGATGAAGGCCTTGAATTTATATCCGTCCGCGAGGAGTGTCTACTTCCAAGGGGAACGGAAGTCTAGTCTGGTCTGGGGCCCCAGACTAAGCCCCCTGACCATTTGGAGCTCGAGCCTGGGGAGACCCGCCCCTGAATACTTCAGCCGTCTTGAGAGGTGCGGTAAACAGCAGTCTCAACCCTAGTCTCATCAACTCGATATTGCGGGGAATCACGCTCAGGGAAGTGTGCGAGACCCTGAAACGATCTCGCCCCCGTTAGGCTACGCAGAGAGAAGTTTGCGAAGGCAACATAGACTGTGATAAGGGAATAAAAGTTCTGGTCCATTGCTTCGAATGCTTCGCAACTGGAGTCATCAGCTTAGATTGCGGCAAGGTTCATCTGTTACACGAGTAATAGGCAACAGTTAGTTCAGTGCTATGACCATGATTCCACCACGTTTATAGTACCACCTACGGTAATGATCGTCTGTAGTAGCGAATACTCATCAAACTAGACCACACCGTACGGCTGAAGTAAGGCGAGGTGGCATTGGTCGATGGACCTCTAACACACCCCACAATACTACAAATGCAAGAACTGTGCAGTTCCTGCAGCCTGCGCCACTCCCACCAACCAGTCAAACCTACCTTCGGATAGGGTACCTAATGATCTAACCATCAGCAAAAGCTGTTATGTCGTAGAGACATCCCACTACCTAGGAGATCAAATCTACGTTCTCGAGGAGCCTTGGGAAGTTCTTCTTTGGTCCTTGATTCCCCACCTTTCCACCCATATTAAGTTGTTATCAAGTCTTGAGTTCGGAGAATTCGGATATTGGGAGACCACATCGCCGATCCACAATCAGGTCTCCGGTCTTAGGCGACCTTATGCATGCACTGTACAGTTCATGATGACACTCCGCGTTCCGATAGTTGGCACTGTACAGTGACAGGCCCAGCTTGACTCGTAGCGGGGAAACGTCGAGCTGCCTATACTTATCGGTCTATTTCCCGCTGTCTGGGTTGCAGTCGATCCTCTTCACATCTCGTATCCTACAAAGCACGTATTCTCAGCAATTCAAACATAATGTCTGTCGATCGATCTGAACTGAGATTCCGGGCGCCAGTCTCAATGCAGTTGAGCGACGGCTCTCCGTCTTCCAAAACGGCACCTCCCAATGCTGAGCTGAGTGACCTCTCGCAGACCGAAATAGCCCTCCGTCGCTTTGCGATCAAGGGCAACGCTATTGTCACGGGGGGCGCTGGCGATATAGGCTCGGCATCTTGTCGCGCTCTGCTGCAACATGGCCTGCAGGGACTGGCAATTTTCGATCTACACGAAGACATTGGCCAGGCTCTTGTCACCAAGCTTGTGGAGGAGTTCCCCAAACGTGCCATTTCCTTCTTCAAGGTCGACGTCACCAACCATAATGATGTCTCCAAAGCAGTGAAGCTTACAGAGGAAAATATTGGGCCGATCACCACGTGCCTTTGCTTTGCGGGCATCGCATTCTCCATGAATGCGTTGGAAATTCCGCCTGAGAAGTGGCAGAAGATGTTCGACGTCAACACAACAGGTGCCTTTCTCGTCGCACAAGCTACGGCGAAGTGCATGGTCGAGCGAGGCTCGAGAGGAAGCATCATCCTAATGGCCAGCATCTCAGCGCACATCGTCAATTACCCTCAACCACAAGTCCATTACAACGCTGCCAAGGCAGCAATTATCTCAATCAAGAGCTCGCTCGCGGCAGAGTGGGCACGATATGGCATCAGGGTCAACAGCATCAGTCCTGGATATATGAACACGATCTTGAATGAAGGCGAAGGTCTTGCTGTATATCGAAAGATTTGGGCAGAAAGGACTCCATTCGGGCGTATGGGAGAGCCAGATGAGCTTTCAGGAGCAGTCATATTACTTGCCAGTGAAGCAGGTAGCTATATTACTGGAGCTGATATTTTGGTCGACGGCGGGATCAGTGTTTTCTAAAACAGTGTTGACTGTTTCAAGGCACACAAGTAGAATGATCATATAGCAGCGCGTAATGATACTAGGAGAGGCGAACAGAAGAGAATTACAAAGAGAGAATTAAATGCGAAGAGGCCTGATTATTGAGGGCCATTATAATTGATAGAAGGTGACGGTAGTAGAGATTTGTAATCACGCAGAAAAGACTTGCTTAGTTCTAATGCCACCAACCAATAACCTCACGAATCCATTAGGAATTTAGCTTATAGGCTTTTCCCGAAGACAATAAAGTTAATTCGTCAAGTACGTTAGAAACGAGCGGGCGAAGGATAGTACAGTTGCAGAGATTGTCCTTCGGGTTGACACGATGTTCTATAGGGTAGTGCAAGGGAGTCTGACGTTTGCATGAAGGCCTAAGTTAGCACTGTGCAGGCAAGACATGAGACCACCTCGGATTCTCATCTGTAGCAGATTTGGGAGATTCTCTCCTCCCTCCAAATAAAGGTCTACAGTAGGCCCCCGACCGGGTACTCCGGCCGTGTTGGATCGTGATTGGTCGCGCATAACGTCTTCATGCTGACAAGGACCCGCAAACTGTACAGTTCATACCTTAGTGTGCTCGATGGCAACACGCGATGGGACGACGGATGGGGCAAAACTGTCCAGTTCGACATATGTGCGGGGTCTAGAACGAAGCTACGCCTTGGTGGTGGACTGCGCCTTATCTGGTCGGCCATCGGTGGACGGATCGGCAAGTGACCACGTGAAGCTCAATGATGTTCGCAGACCTGCGGAAAAGTGCTGGGTTTGGGGACTGTACAGTAGTATCCACATTAAACAATGTGCTATCTCTCCCTGAAGGCCCTGTCATATCCGTGCCATCTTGTAGAATACTCCATCTCACCAATGCCTCTGTTGATAGACCCTCTGTTCATGATATAAGTAGGAGCGTTTTAGACCTTGAAAAGGTCATTGACTCTTGAACCTTTCGCCAATTGTTCCCTGATCGATGTTGAATGATCGTCCAATATGCGGTGCGAAGCTAGAGCCATGAGTGACCGCAACAACACTGCGTCGGCTACATTACGCAGCCAGTCCCCAGGTGGGGTTGTGGCAACACACGTACAGTGCTTACTTGATTCCCCATGGCCGAAACATGCGGAGAAGTCCCTTGGGCGTGGTCTTCCACTCAATCTTCACTTCATGTTGACTCTTCCTTCTGAGACACTGCCCGACCATTCTGCACGGCACGCGTAGTCATACCCATAGCTCATTGGGCTGCGTTTCGCCAAACTGTCAACCTCGTACAACCCTTCAAACAACCAGTCAACGACCCGTCGCATAAACCCGGAGGGCAAAAGGTCCTGCCACCATGTCGAATGCGAGTCCGAGCCATAGTAGCACAAGCGGCGATAGCTTCAATATCAAAGCGCCACGACTGCCTCCAGATGTAAATGCCCGAAATTTACGCATCGAGAAACAGCGCCGAGAACGTTTCAATGAGACTCTTCTTGTAGGTGGCCTTGGTATGCATTTTGGCCCCTCATTGCTTACATGTGTCATGATAGGACATGGCTCGCCTGGTGCCATCCCTCGCATCTATGAAGCGCCCTTCCAAGAAGGTCGTTGTTTGTGAAGCAGTTCGTCACCTCCAGCAACGGCGCGACATGTGCATCCACGCTGCTCGAGACATCCGCCATCTCCTTGCTGAGAACCACAGGCTCACCTCGGAGCTGAATGCAATGCGATCGCAGCTTCCTGGAGGCTCCGTCACCCCGCTGCAAACCCCCCGAACCCCTTCCGAGGCTCTCCTGGAGCTGATGGGAGTTGAGGATGAACCATGCGGCGACTTTCCGGATGGCTTTGCGATCAATGTGGGCTCTCGGCGGCCTCTAAAGCGACAGGAGATGAGCGACATGCCCACCAATGCAGAACGTCCTGGTCTACAACAAACCATTTACCCAGTAGGCGAGCAATTATCAGACCCCACGCTCCCAGATACCTCCTGTTTTGCCGATAATATGTTGAATAGAAGCTACTCACCCGCGCATGTCTGGGCAGAACAGACAAAAGGAATGACGGGCCCCGAAGAGTTTCTTAATTTACTGGCTAGTAGTAATGCTTCCAAGGTATTGATGCCCCAGCCGCCAAATCATATGGCCAAGTTCGACACACCGGTGGATTCCAACATGATCAATCAGCCGAACGGACCGCCAGTATCGCTCGAAGACATCTTCATAGACCCCGCGCTGCATACTTGGATTGACGAAATCAATATTGATACCTGGCCTGTTGGACTAGACAACAATGCTTCTGGGTTTTAGCGTCATCATAAAACCAGCAAGTATGCTTAAAGACTTGGCTACGAGAGTCTTGGGTTTTGCGCATTGATTCTCTGCCTTGCGTACACACAGCGTCGTTTGTTGGCAGCTTGCAATAAATTTAAAAAAGAGAATCATATCAGTCGTGTGATCAGGGCCCTACTACCTGGCCACTGTACTTCATTACTTATTAGCCACCTAAATGCTTTGACACTGGCGATGATGTGTCGGCAGGCTACACACAATGCGTAGAGAGACAAAAGTACATAGCGGAAGAAGAATATATAATCCTCGTCTCGTCTAAAATTATTTTAACTTCTTCTCTGACTTTTTAAACCACTCGCTATCTCAAATCTCCACCATTGGGGTATCGTATCTAGGTACTTAAGCCTCCTCGACTCTCATCTCCTCCAACTCGTGCCTCTTGTGTGCAATCGCCTCATCAACCTGGCACTGATAGTGCTTGAATTGACGAGCGGGGATCCCTTTCTCGAACATCTCCTGGATCTCGGCGTAGTTGCGGCCCTTCATTTCTGGTAGACAGAAGTACAGGTAGACGCACATCGGGACAGAGAAGGCAAAGAATACGAAACAGACTTAATAGTCTCTGTTAGCAATCATATCAAAGAAACGTAAAAGAAGGAGTGGCGAAGTAAGCTTACTCTTTCCACCCATGTTCAACTGGTCGGTATTGATCAAATAAGGCATGACTTGGAGGACAAGGCATGATACGGCGGTGGCACTCATGATGTTGATGGCATACGTCTTTTGGCGGAGCTGCACGCTGGGAGTTTCACCACCGACTGGGTAGGCCGCGGCACCAAGGGTCATCTAAAATAAAGATTAGCAACGGGCGAGAATTCTGAGAATTGTGCTTGGTTGTACCTGGTAGAGGTAACCCCAAACGACCATGAAAGAAACGGTGGCCTTAAGGGCAGAATCGTTGTTGACGGTGCTGATGCCACCGATGATCAGTAATCCAGCGGTGATGATAATCATTCCACCAACAAGCATAGGGCGGCGACCAAGGCGGTCAACCAGCGGCCAAGAACACATGTTGCCAAAGAGCTGGATGGCGAATGCTGCCTGCGCGATGCCTAGGGGGTTGTTGACACCGGCGAGACGGAAGTAGTAGGTCAGGTACCCGGAAACAAAGTTGACACCGACAAACTGCTGCGCAATGTAGACCATGCAGATGATCAGGGTGCGACGACCGTCAGTTCCCTTGAAGCATTGGATCCAGGAACCTCCCTCCCTCGTGAGTTCCTGCTCCTTGCGGATGGTAAGCAAGGCGACGGCAACAGCTGCGTCGGCGTCATAGTCAGGGCCGTTGAAGCGGAGATATGACTTCTTGGCCTCTTCGATGCGGCCACGGATGAGAAGCCACGAGGGAGATTCTGGCAAGAGAAGAAGCCCAAACAAGAGCAAGCTCGGTGGCACGACTTGAGTGATGATGGGGATGCGCCAAGCGAGAGAGTCGGAGCGACTGGAGCAGCCGTAAATCACGAGGGAGTTTACCCACTGTCCAATGACAATCATGGTGTTCTAAGAGACTGCGTTAGCTCATTCGTATCTCTCTGTTGGAGTTGAAATAAGTTCTCACAATAAGAGCGAGACAAACACCGCGAAGCTTGACAGGTGCCATCTCTGCCACAAAGACGGGACCTAGTGAGTGCCCCAGTCCAAAGCCAAAAGTTCCAAGAAGCTTGCCACCAAAGAGGGTTGGGATGGAAAGGCTGAAGTACTGGACGACAATACCGGCAACACAGAGCAAGGCTGCGAGGAGGATGGTCTTCTTTCGGCCGACGAGATCAGAGATGAATCCAGTGGCAAAGGCCGAAACGAAGAGGCCGATTGTGGTAGCAGCGTTGAGAATCTGCTGGTCTCGGGCGGAGATGAGCAACTCGCCATTGACTTCATGGCCGAACTCCTCAAGGAATGGGGTGACGGCGAGAAGGTTGCCGATTGTGCCGATCTCGTAGCCAAAGTTTATGGGAAGTAGGAAGATTAGAAGACCTTAACGTGGTTTCAGTCAGTTCTATGGTTGTCTTCTATTTGGGTCTTGGTTGCTTCTTACAAAAGGAAAGAACACGTCTGTTCTCCCAGACATCTTTGAACGATACACCGCCTGAGTCGGCTGTAGTATTCACTTCATGGAGAGTTGGCTCTACAGGATTGGCATCTGCACTGGGACGTTTCACGTCGTTGGCCGCCATTGTCGCAAAGAGATTGATGATGACAAGATTCAAAGGGCGACTTTGAGGTTTGCTTGATCAGAGTTGATGATAACTGGCTATAGGGCCTACATAAGTAGTTTTGGGGAGGGTGGATCAGTGACATTCACTTTGTGGTTACAAGATGATGGCCCATGCCCCATGGGGTCTCCGAAGTGGCTGCGGGAGATGGTGCCGAGGGAGTTGGGTGGTGCTTCAAACTGCCAAATCTAGACAACGTTTCTCCTCAATGGGTATGGTTTCTCAGCCCCGTGGCCCTCATGAATCGACTGCCGAGAGCACGGAGAGCGGCTGTGATAGAGTGGCTGGTTGCTCAGTCTCTAATCCATAGAGGTTGAGTGATTTATCCGTGCCCATTTGAGTCGTCCGCGTTTGAGGATATATAAACCATTGTGAAGGTGTAGCAATTCCCCTAATCTAAATCTTTACAGGCTTTTTGGCATTTTTCGATTGCGCTCCGGCCGGAAAAGGATCATGTTATCCGGAATGCACTTCTGAGAGCCGCGTCCGAGAGATGGTGATACTAAACTTAAACGACACCGAATCTCGCGCTTATAACTGGCAAGTTTGGATGAAGCATGCCTACACGCGTTGCTCAATTCTCAAAGCTGGTCTGTCTAAAAAAAATCCGGGTTGGGTGATGCAATTGACTAAGGCAGGATTTTCTTCCCCATGGAGCCCCTCAAAGCCAAATCTTAGCTCCTCTTTCTCCTCTTTTTCTCGGTACTTGGCCCTTTTTGTCGCTTAGAGGCAGCCAAACTAATAACTTGGGGCATCACTTCCCAAGGTTTAGCCGTTAGCTCTCTTGGGTTGAAGTGATTATTGGCTAGAACGTGGGAGCTGAATCGTAAGACTGGAGCGAGACGGATGAATGCCCAGAAGAGGCAAGCTGAACCACTGTTGGAGGGTTCGGCGAATGTTATTCTGAGTGACATGTGGACGAGGTAATGAGGGGAATTCATCAAAAGTTGGCCGATCACGCCTCCAAAGATCATGGCCCAATTCGGCAATTAGAAGCATCCAAAGATATGGTTTCACACATTATGATGTTTTAAACTTCCGTGTAGGTTCATCATCTCACTCAGTTCAGGTCCAACAGGTCTATCCAATCTTACGCTGCCTGCTCGGTTTATCAAAATGGCGTCCACACTCTTGTCCTTTACCTCCAAACCGCGCGTTTTTATTCTCACAGACATCACCAACGAGCCGGATGATACGCAGTCCTTCTGCCGGTATCTTACCTATTCCAATCAGTTCGATACTGAAGGCATTGTGCCGGTCACCTCAACATGGCTGCGAGACAGAGTGGCGCCTGAAGCTTTGCATCAGGTCGTCAATGGCTATGAGGCAGTGGTGGGCAATTTGAATTCTCATGCACACCCGGATTCGCAGTATCCCTCTCCCGATACGGTGCGCTCTCTCATCAAACCTGGCGCTCCCGTTTACGGAATGGAGGCTGTCGGCGACGATATTCCTCTTAGCCCAGGTGGTGAGCTGCTGCTGGAGAGCGTCCTCAAGCAAGACGACCGCCCACTCTGGGTGCTAGTTTGGGGAGGCACAAACGTTCTTGCTTCGGTGCTTCATCGCATAAGAGACCGTCCCGAAGCTAAAGAGCTGCGGGCCAAGCTCCGTGTCTACACGATTTCAGATCAGGATGATACAGGCTCCTGGATTCGCCAGCAGTGGCCTGAAATCTTTTATATCTGCGCCGTCCATGGCTGGAATCAGTACTTCTCAGCCGGTTGGCTTGGAATCACCTCGGACTTGGGCGAGCACGGCGGCCCAGACCAAAGCATCGTGTCCAATGAATGGTTGAGGAAGCATATCCAGATAGGACCGCTTGGAAAGGAGTATCCTGATGTCGAGTACGGCATGGAAGGAGACACTCCGACCTTCCTCTATTTGATCCAGAACGGTCTCGGTGTTCCCGAACAGCCATCCTGGGGATCATGGGGTGGCCGGTTTCTACCTGTGAATGTTAGCGACAAGGGACTTCCCAAGCAGGGCCACATTGCAGACGCTGCGGACAAGGTTAAAGGAATGGATGGCAAGGATTATATATCCAACAAGGCCACAATCTGGCGTTGGAGAAGCGCTTTTCAGAACGACTTTGCCGCTCGGATACAATGGACGTTAACCTCTGACTTTTCAAAGGTCAACCATAGTCCTGTAGCAGTTGTGAACGGCAACAAAGGACTCGACACTGTCTTCATCGATGTCAAGGCTGGCACTACTATTGTGGTGGATGCCTCTGAAAGCTACGATCCTGATGGGGACGCGATATCGTTCAACTGGTTCCAATACCATGAACCCAGTGCGATTCACTACTTTCACCTCTTTGAGGTCGTTGACCTTGGCATAAAACCTCTTGGGAATGGCGAGAAAGTAGAGGTGACTGTGCCTCCTGCTGAAAAATCCTGCTATATTGAGAGACAGAAGCGCGCGGTTGAAAAGGGCTCACCGCTGCACCTGATCCTGGAAGTGAAGGACAACGGCACACCGCAAATGACTTCGTATCGCAGAATTGTAATTCAGCCTCTTAGAGAAGCCCCATAGATAATTAATAAAATGTTCATGTCGCGCCCTAATTTTGCATCTGGCCCAATGATGACGGTTCACCCTCCTGCGACTACAAATCATAACGGATTATTTTTCTCGAATTACATGTCCGTGGATCATTAGACTGCTGCTACAAATAACCCTCACTATTTCCGCAACTCCCCCACACACATCCTTAACTTTAACCTTCATAATGGTATAAGCTTAATTGTAGATCAAGAAACACTTTTTCTGACAGGCCTTGCATTGCTGAAACAGGTTGATACTTGAATGATATCGAACCTGTGACCGGTCCCTGAGGCCTTTTCCCCGTAGGGTATGCTCCGCTGCAGCACCAGTATCTCAATAACAAAAGAAAAGCAAGCAGGATGTTTATCAACAACAGCTCTATAATCCCGTACAGAGATAGTCATTCAAACGTTCAATTGTGCAATTCCAGGGCTCCGTTGGCTCAACGGTACGCCCCGTATGACTCATCAGGCAGGTGTTCGCCGTGAAGGTATCATCCTTGCACATGAATCCGACCTTCTATATTAGCCAAATGTGATCGTGGACCGTTTGTCAACTTCTCCAAATGGAGAAGGATCCGCGTTCACTATTCCAGGGGGCCAATGAAACGCATGAATACTGCGTATCACTCACTTCTAAGCATGATACTAAAACCTGACACCTGCCTGAAAGCTCTGCCCGCAGTGCTTGGCAAACAAACGTCAAACGATTATAAAGCTGTGCAATGCTGTGATATTTTCCTCGTATCTGCACATCTTTCTCGTATGGTGCCAAGCAGTCACGATGCATTCCTCTGCCCTTCTCGTTCCCGCCTTCGCTGCCACGGCCCTCTCTTGTTTTCTCGAGAGGGTGCCTGATGGCGTTGACAACTTCATTCGGCACACCTTGAAGGAACGAAATGACGAACCTCTTTTTACTCTGGAGTTTTCAGATGGAACAAGGCGCCAAGTGACCGATGATGAGAGATGGGAAATCAAGCAGGTAGGTCATTTCCCGCCACAGCCATTTTATTCTCTCACTAGGAGCATTCAATTAACTGTTTCCAGGCGCATATTCGTTTCATCGATGTCACGGAGACGCCAAACACGGCTCAATTCTCTCGTCCCGCCGGCATTTCCGCTGTCGCCGCATTCCCTTCAGCATTGACCCAAGGCGAAACGGTGAAGAGTCTGATAAGCGAGTACAACACGGACAATGTCAAGTCGACCCTCACGCATTTCTCCAGCTACTACAACCGCTATTACCAAGCAGCCACCGGTGTCGAGTCGGCCCAGTGGTTGTTTGACCAAGTCTCCAGCGTGCTCTCTGAGGGTGGAGCGACCGGCGCTTCCGTTCGAAAAGTTGCTCATTCCTGGGCTCAGTTTTCCGTCGTCGCTACGATTCCCGGAACTTCTGACAAGACAATTGTTGTCGGCGCCCACCAGGATTCAATCAATATTTCGAACAGAACTGGGCTAGCACCTGGTGCTGATGATGATGGCTCCGGCAGTATGGCCATCCTTGAGGCACTGCGGGTTCTCCTCAAGGACTCGCGTATTGCTTCTGGACAGGCACCCAACACTATCGAGTTTCACTGGTATGCCGGTGAAGAGGCCGGTCTCCTCGGGAGTAACGCAATCTTCCAGCAATACGCAACTGACGGCAAAGACATTGCCGCCATGTTGAACCAGGACATGGTTGGATACACCACAGACAACACATTCGGCCTCATCACCGACAACACCAGCGCTGATCTGAATGAGTTTATCAAGCTTCTTATCGGTGAGTATGCCGATATTGGATATACCGAATCCAAGTGCGGATACGGCTGCAGCGACCACGCGAGTGCCACACGAGTGGGATATCCCGCTTCTTTCTTGTTTGAGGCCGCATTTGGGAAGCACAATGGATACATTCATCAGACTGGAGACACTATTGACAAGCTTAGCTTCGAGCATATCCTTCAGCACGGAAAGGTGATTCTCGGATTCTTGGAGGAATTGGCCTTTTCCACAACCATTTAAATCTTGTGGTTTGCGTTAGGTAGCATACATTGCAGGGTGAGATGGCGTAAGAAATATTTACACGAGATAATGATATCTACAATGGGTGCGAGAGTTTGAGTAGCCTGGCTTATAGTAAATAAAAGCAATAGAAGATGCTATACCTGACATCCAGTCAGATAAATACGAAACGCCAACATAAGAGGGTGCATGGCTGTAGTCTTTGGTGAGAGCTTGGTTTGTTCTATGTGATTTATACGGACCAGGATGCTCATTTTGTACTTCGCTTGATATACACCTGTCTCTCTATGGCTTAATATTCTTGAAGGATGAAGACATATATAAGGATAAACGGTATATCCTATAGCCCGCTATACCTTGTTTACCCGGAGTACCCAGATCCTTCAGTGCTGACGTCAATCACAACTTTACCGATTTGTTGTCCGCTCTCCAGACGCTTATAAGCGTCTAAATACTGGGCAAACGGGTAGACCTTGTCGATGACCGGGCGCACCTCATTTACAGCCATTGCCCTGAGCATGGCCTCGAAGTTCAATCGTGACCCAATTGCCGAGCCGGTAACAGTAAGTGAACGTTTGAGTATATCGATCGGGGGCAGGCCGCCGCCGAAGCCACTTGCAAAGCCGACAATCTTGACCTCGCCGCCTATCCTTGCAGATGAAGCCGATTTGACAATGGTTTTCTCGCCAGCAATGTCAATGACTTTATCAACACCACGACCGTCAGTCAAACGAAGAATCTCCTCATCCCAGTCAGGACTAGTGTTGTAGTTGATGACTGCTTCAGCTCCCAACTGCTTGAGCTTCTTGGCCTTTTCATCGGAGGACGTGATGGCAAAGACACGAGCATTGAAGACTCGGGCAAACTGCAGTGCAAACAGCGCAACGCCTCCCGTGCCCTGGACCAGCACCGTCTGTCCTGGCAGCAAAGGAGTTGTGCTGTTCAGGTCCGTCCAGGCCGTGACCGCGGCGCAGGATAGTGACGCAGCCTCAATGTAGGTGAGGTAATCCGGCAAATGAACAAGCCCGTTCTCGTGGAGCATCGCATATTCGGCCAGCATGCCGTCGACTGAGAAGCCGACCATCTGTGCCCGATGCTCAGGTAGGGCTGGGCCGCCTACCCAATGTACAGTGCAAGTGTTGGCGACCCGGTCGCCCTTCTTGAACCGCGTGACGCCATGCCCAACCGCCACGACCTCGCCGGCGCCGTCGGATACAGGAGTCACATGTTGTTTTATCTCGGCAGGATATTCGCCTCTGAGCAGTGCCGTGTCGCGGTAGTTGAGGGACGCTGCATGAACGCGGATTAATACATCATCGCGTCCCGGCACTGGCAGCTTCTCGTGGCGGACTTGCAGGCGGACTTTGCCATCTGCTTCGGGCGCGGTTCTCACAACCTTGTATTGCTTTGCAATGGTCGACATATTGAACAGCGACTTGTTTTCTCTTATTTGGCGGTTGGGTTCATCTTTCAAGTAAACTGAAATGTTCTGTCCATGCTGGAGGCGTGTTATTTATATATGATAAATTGTGACTATCCTGCCAATTCTAAGTCGGGCCGTTACTGCGCGGTTTATTGGACGAGAAAGCCTGTTCTTGAAAAAGCTGATTAATTACATAGCATATCCGCGGATGATATCTTCGATTCAACATCGTTCTTTGAGGACCAACCCAAAGAGTAACGTGTGGCAGAAGACGAATCATAGGTACACTTCTCCGCGGGGTTGGTGGCCAATAAGGACGAGCCTGAGACAACGGGAATGAATCGCCAGCATTACAAATCAGAAAGATACTTCCTACGATGATCCATATTTAGGCTGCTTGGCCACTGGTCAGAGCAACGAAGTAGTGCACCATGCCCACCTCAAGGAACCCTGGGAAGCTCTTGTTTTTGTTATCATCACTCCGCCAACTAAATGAGGCTGTAATGCGACGATGAACGCAGCTAAGAGCTGTGCCTCCAGCTACGAGATCGGAATTCCTGCCACAAGAATTTGCCCACAGGCGTCCCTGCGGCTTTCTACATGTGCTCCTAACCTGATCCGAAGCGTGCCAACATTTCTTACCTACCCTATACTGAGATCCGGCGTTGCGGACCCTATGAAACCTATCCTGAGCGGAACAAACTTATTTCGTTCGATCGTCCACTCCAGCTCGGTCACTGAAGTCTTGCCTGAGTGAAAAATGACGTTGCTCCAAATATCATCTGAACCGTATGCCGGTACCGGATTTACTGCATTCAAAACTTTGGTTGCCTCGAGCTATATCCGATCGGAGCCGAGGCCCACGAGGAAGCACTCCGGACTTGAGCGGCTACTGCATTAAGAGTACCTGACGATACATGCTGATTTGGAAGAAAAATCAAATGATAGAAGCAAGTGTCTTTTCTAGATTTGTGTTCCCCTCACCTGAGCCAGGACTCTGTTTTAAAATCCGATATCCTTGATCAAACTGACTACCTTTACTCCCTCCCACTCAACTGCCGTGTATTCTCCTGCTTCTCCATCCAGGACCTCGCAATATGAAAAATGACGAAAAGAAACAAAATTTCCACAACAAACAAGATCTTGTGGGGAAAGTTGCTATCGTTACTGGGGCAAGCAGAGGCATCGGCTATGCCATTGCACGCAGCCTGGCAAACCGTGGGGCAGAAATCCTCGCAACATCTACAGGAGCAGGCAAGCAGATTGACGAGCTACGACACGAAGTGAATCTTAGCTACGTCGGTCAAGAAAATCTGCCTCCAAAGATTGTGCACCAAACTTTGTCATTGGCTGACACAGCTGCACATACGACACTAGCAGATGCTATCCAACGGCACTTCGATGGCAAAGTGGACATTTTCGTTAATAATGCGGCTATCACCGACCGTACATATCCCGGTGAGCTCGAGGCAGACACATTGGACGGACTATTGATGTGTAACATTCGGACACCGGCGTTGATGGTGGATGAGCTGGTCAAGAGACGATGCTTTAGGAAGAACAGCAGGATCATATTCATCAGCAGCGCCGAGAGTGTCAATTGCGACCCATCAGTCTCAATCTACGCATCCACCAAGGCGGCAAACGAAGCAATGGTTCGTTGCTACGCGAATGCATTTGGCGGAAAGAACGCCGCGTTCGACTTCATGGCTGGGACAACTGCCAATAGCGTGCTTACAGGCCTGACAGAGACGGGGGGTGTTCAGCAGTATGGACCCAAGGTATGGCAGGAGTTGCAGGACTTTTGGCTCGGAAAGCAAACTATTCCACGGCTGGGACAGGTTGACGATGTGGCTGACGTGGTAGGATTTCTCTGCAGTCATGAAAGCAGATGGATCACGGGGAGCAAAGTCAATGCGAATGGAGGAAGTGTTGCTCTGATTTAGATATATTCATTATAAACCCTCTCTTCTTGGAGGGATAGATAACCGATTTGTTGCCGCACTCTGATATTGATGGGGTTTTCTTCTATTCTCATTTTTTACTTAGACCAAGATGCTGTAATCCAATTCTAGAATGACTACCAACCAAATTTTCCGACACTTTGATTGTACTCCAGTAGCCTTGGTCAAAGACTCTGTTCGGCAATGTGCGGTCATCCGCGGATCAGAGTGATCTTTTCCCCACACTAGATCACATGGTACGTCAATGGAAAGATTGACACATTCTTGGTTTGCAGTCAAGATCCAGGGGAGAATAAACAGCCACTGGTGGGCTCGTAATAAAGTCCGTTGCACCCATCTAGCCCACAGAAGGATGATCGGATATGCCTGGTGGGACCGGACATCACGATCCCAAGATCCGATGGCGGGGTGTGACTACAACACTATCAAGTGAGAGAAGCATCCCCGGTATTACCCCAGGTCGGAACGGATAATGCCATGGGAAGGAATGGGGGCACACTCAGGAAACCCCGGAGATCGGACTCTGCTCATCTCTCGTCGGTTTGCATCATCTAGAAAACCAAGGCATATGGACAGCAGATTGTTTGGAAGCTTCTGCCCCAATTTCATTCATCACATATTCAAGCATTAAAAAATGGCCTCTCAACCTCGCCTCAAGATCGCCCTGATCGGCCTTGGCCGCTTAGGCGCCATCCGTGCACGAATCCTTGCCTTCCAGCAGCCTCGCATTGAGCTCGTCGCAGCTTGCGACACGAAGCCGGGCAGTGATGAGTTTGTGACGCAGAACCTTCCTCCGTCTGTCAAGTACTATGCCGATCCTGAGGACTGTATGAAGAACAGTGGTGCTCAAGCTGTTCTGATATCTACTGCTACTGCTACCCATGCTCCGCTTATCTGCCTGGCTCTGGATCTTGGCTTGGTATAGTCTATCCCGATAAAGTTGAAGATAAAAGTAACTCAAGAAACCGAAGCTAATACCTATATAGCATGTCATGTGCGAAAAGCCCATCTCAGTTGATGTGATCACCACCGAGGAGGTTTTAGCCAAGGCCAAATCCAAGCCACATCTTAAGTTTTTGGTTCCATTTTGCCGAAGATGTGAGTAACCTTGATCAACGAATACTCTGATCTCGTCGGACTGATGTTAATGTAGACGATGATTCATATCGTGCTGCCAAGGAGTTGGTCGAGAAGGGCGAGCTGGGGGAGATTCACGCTGTTGAGACCACTTGCCTTGATCAACAGGACCCAACTGGTAAGAACCGCCTGGGCCTTGCGTACATAGAAATGTTGCTCATATAATTCTAGGCTTTTTCGTTACCTTTTCTGCTCAGTCTGGGGGTATCTTTGTTGATATGGGCGTTCACGACGTAAGCCTACTTCCCCCGTCACTCATCCAGTTGTGCGCTAATACAAGGACCAGATTGATATTGGCCGATACTACCTGAATGTTACTTCTGGCCTGAAGAACCCCAAGAAGCAAGTGAATCGGGTTATTGCCATGGGACAACAGGCTGTCTATGGCGAACTAGCCAAGTACGGTGACTGCGACAACGGATGGGCCATGGTTGAGTTTGCAAACGGCAAAGTCCTGACTTCTCACCTCGGTCGCACACTCACGAACGGTTTTGAGAGCTGCACTCGCGTTTGCGGAACCAAAGCCCACTCTATCGTAAATGGGAACTCGACAATCAACCGCGTAGAGATCCGCGATGGCCATGGCGTGCGGACTGCTACTACTCCAGATGCTTTCGTCCTTTATGACAAGTCGTTTATCAACGACCTCGCCGAGTTCGCCACTGCTGTTCTGGATGGGAAGCCTCTGACTTGTACGCCCGACGATGCCTATGAAGCGGCCAAGATTGCTACTGCTCTCCAATACTCTTTCCGAAACGGGGTGCCAGTTTACTTTGATGAAGAAGGCCAACCCATTATGGAGGTTCCCAAGAGCGGTAATTAAAAGTCATTAAGTGATCACGATTGGATTTTGGCGGTATGTCCTTGGAGATATTATATTCATCCATTCTGAAAGTCATAGCCAGTTATTCCATCATTCGGCTGGACAGATAGATATATGAATAAAAAGTTTCACACAGCATCTGTGGCCGGTGCATTTTCATCCCACCAAGTTGCTCGACTCATCAGAAAAGGCTGGTCGTGCGTTAGATTGCGCTTAAGAGAATGAGAGGGTAGACAATGATGATTTGACCTACATTAGACTGATCTTGAGATCCCTCAAACACATCCTGTAAGAGCATCGGATCCCAAAATTCGTGTAGCTAAGACATGAGGAATCAAGCGATATCAGCATTGTCCAAAGAAGCTTGTACGTTTCGATTAGACTTACCACGTCGTTCATCGAATCTAGTGTTGCCATCGGAAGCGATGCATTAGATAGACCCAAGTCCAAGGCGCCTATCTGCCCATCAGGCATGCTCTCCTTTTGTTGCAAGTTATCACCTTCTGGAAAGTTAGAACTAGCTGGAGCAGTAGTGAGATTAATCGTCCTGATGATTTTCTGGCGATCCTGGCCAGCCCGCTCAATGAGCCTGGTTCTCCAGCCAAGCAGCTCCACATCTTCATCGTCTCTTTGTTCTTCAGCATTATTGCCATGACTTTGATCAACATCCCTTTCTGCACCATTCCTTTGAGCCGTAGATGCCGTCGATATCTCAGTCAACGCGCGGGCTCTTAGTTTGATCAGCCACTGCAAATTACGCTTGTATCGAGGGGTGCGGGCTCCATGTTGAAGTAGCGACGTAAACAGACTGATGGAGGCATCGAGTTGGGTAAGGACGAAGCTACTCATGATGTTGCCTGGATCGCGCAACACGAGCGTTCCCAGACACAAAGCCGAGTTGAACACATGATACTGCAGAAAGTGTAAGTGGAGTTAGGCAGATGCTGAGGGGGATACACAAACCCAGAAGTTCCATTGTCTCGTACTGACGGCGGGAAATCGAGTATGAATGTCGGTCACCAAGCCGATGATGATCTATTCAAGTCAGATAGGAGGCGGTAGAGAGAGTTTTGATGAGATCTCTTACCGCGCAACGTTCAATGACGGTATAGAATGAGGTTTTGTATATTGATTCGACACGATCAACTTCATACAAGGCTTTCGCGTAATAGGGCCGATGAAGATTGATGATTGTCTCAGACACATTAAGTGCAAAGTTAGATTGCTATGCACTATTAGCTTGACAAATAAATTGGCTTGGAAAAGAGTACAAACCTGGAAGGAAATGGTCACTGATCTTCGCGATGGTTCTGGGGATGCGTTAATGGCGGCCTCCGCAACAGGATATTGCGATGGCATGGCCAAGAGGGCTGCTCGGCAGCGAAGAGAAAAGGGAATATTACGTTCAAACTCAAGGCTACGAATATGTCAGTATTATTAACATACCAAAGGGGGGAAGAATGCACGTACAGCCTGAGCCCCAGTTCCGTAACTTCAGAGTATGCTGGCTTGCGCACCTTCATTGCCATGTTCAGGATTCTTAGGCAAAGTCAGTATGAGGTCCGTATGGACAGTGGTATGTCCCTACTCAGCTGAAAGTTGAGACAGTTCGAATCTCAGTATCGAATAACTCTTTTCTCCGTTAGGGTGTGGCTGTCCAGAGGGGAAGGCGGTATCGCAGTGTTCAGGGTTGATGGCAGCTCTGTTGTAGTTGAATCAGTCATGGCTCATCCGGCTAAGGCTACAAATACGCACGGTCTTGAGAAGCAGTGTGCCTGGAAGACATCGGCAGCATTGCATTCCCAGAATACCTTGCGTCGTTCCTCGGCGACATCGTGTGGCAAGTTCCAACGGTCACCATCCCGATGCATACCCATCTGTGAGTTTCGTTAGATCGTACCGTTCCTCCAAGAGAAGTAGTCATACTTACTGCCTGAACTAAACGCATGACAAGGCCCCAGATCGGCCATGCGTTGTCCCCATGGCGACCCTTATCTAAATGTCTTTAGGCAAGTCAGCAGAAAATCACAACCATGAGGATAACTCTACTCACAGATGGAGATGTGCCATCAAATGCTGAGAAGATCAGTATCAGGCTTGACAAGCAGTAGACGGAGAGGTGGCCTTACCAGCGTTTGCACCCCGGCGAGTGTGTTATTAGACAGAAAGTCTCCTTTGACTAGAGCCCGCTCTGCTAAATGTAACCAGTCTTCTGCTGAAGAATCAAAGTTGGGCATCTCAATGTTGAACATGGTACCCTGGGCCATGACAATGAACACGAGCGCAATTTCTTGTGGATTTATTGGTGATGAGGTTCCGCTTCCTGATATTTTATAGACTCGGTCAAAGGTCCGTTCAAACTGGCTTCTCGGCGCAACATCATGGCTGATGGGTATTAGTCGTTGCTTTATATTGTTAAATGTGCTCATTCCACATACTGCCAAGCGCAATAGCGATAGTATGATTCGCATAGGTCCCATGCTTCCTCCTTTGGTGGCAAGCATGAAATCAAGTCTCGAGTGCTTATATGAGCTGCCGAGGCGCTCAGGGGAAATCCAATCGGGGTCGTTGCATGTGGATTGTTATGGGTGGTCTGTATGGAGGCGGAGTCTTGTGGTAGTGCTGGCGAAGGTGCACGAGTTGCCAATGGCGTCTCGGAGACGTCTTGTGTTTCCGACTACGAGAACATAGATTAGTATGTTCTGAATGTCCATGCTTAAAAGACGTACCTCATTAAGCCATTCGCTGCCCGCGGTAGGACCTAAATATTTGGATCGGCCTCTCTTGCTCAACATCAATGTGCCAAAAGAGCCTACTTGTTCATCGTCGTCTGTTGATCGCCCTGCAGCATTGGTGGAACCGCTTCCTCCGGTGGGAGGATTGTATAAAGACTCTGGTCTTCCACCAGGGGGTCTCGAGCCAGGGGTATTTAGAGAAGAGGCTTGTGCGGCATAGGGACCTAGAGCTTGGGCAAGCAAGGCGAGCGTGTCTAATTGGTGATGGTTCCCATGTAGAGTGTGATTCTGGGGGCCGGCCGTGGGTTGCTGCACCGGATTTACAACCTGAGCCTCTTGGATAGAAGCTGAAACCACCACAGGTTGCTGTTGATGGTCTTGGTGGCCTTGATGCATATGGTGGTGATCCACGATAATGGCGTCGGGTGAAATGTTCTGGCCAAGCTGTTGTTGAGCCGTTGGAAGGTTTTGCGAGCTCCTAGAAGTTCGGCTACGTTTCGCAGCTTAGCTACAGTCTCATCTACTCCAGTTTGAGAGCAATGGGCAAACCTAGAATTATCTCTACCACCGGTAGCCGGAGTGCAAAACTCGACCCGGTTTCTTCGGACACAATTTGAGCACGGCACTGTGAGGAACTGTTCTAGCTTGGAAGATTGATTTTGCTATGCGGCCATCAAGTCTCTCACCTTGCCTATTGCACTTCATCTTGAGCCTCCGACATTCTGGGCATAATTGAAATTAGCCCTGGGCGCAACCCCGGTTCCAGTCCGAACTTCCTTCAACTCACCTGCGCAGCTGTAGCAGGGCCGCTGCTTGCGCTGAGGCTTGCGTGGTCTAGGGCTCGGGTAAGCCTCATCATGGGCAGTTTCATCATTACCGAGATGATGCATGTCCGGTCCGGTCAGTCAATCTGCTGATTCTGGCTGTACCGCGGTCGGTGGGAAGGGGATGCTGTGTGAAAGGAAGATCGGAGATGATGAGGAAGCAACCCGGGATGCGGAGAAGGACTCCAAGTCCGGGGAATCACGTTTCCCCGACGACTCCAGACAGACACTAAAGAGCTAGTTTTTTGTGTGGGGGCAAGACGTGGGGATGATCCGATGGACCGGCGTATTGCGAAAGGTTATGTCCGATTCTCAGGCGATTTCTGAGCGAGTTCGTCCAGCATGGCAGACCCATCGGACAAAGGAGATTCACCCAACGGAGACGATGTGGAGGAACTGGTGTCTTGTTGAAGGGATATATGCGCAGTTCAGTCGCTATCGACACCTGCAATGGCTCATCGTTTCATCATCCATAGCATCTAGCGTTTGCAGTACCAATTATGTCTCCTTACCTCAACGGCAACGATCCTCCCGCGGTGGGCGAGTACTTGGTCAAATCCAAGCTCGAAAAGCCGCCTGTCGCCGATAATTACATGTACGATTTCAAGTACAATCATGCACTTCCCACGTCTGATGTTCTTGGTCTCGAGATCCCCGCAGATTGCGATGCTGAAAAGGAGGCCCAAAGGATCGTGGATCAACTCGCGGAGGTCATGGGCAAAGGTGATGCTCAGGGCTTCGCCAATATGTTCCTTGAATATGGTAAGTTTTGTTCTACAAATTATTTCCAAGAAATGGTGGAAAGAAACTCACATGAAGCATAGGTGTTTGGCGAGATAAGCTCAGCTTCACGTGGGACTACCGCACATTCAACTTCCGGGAAGCTATTTTGAAAGCTGCGACGGACCTTTTCACTACCAAGGCGACTAATTTCCAATTGCTGAAGCCCGAACCCAATATCGCTCGCCCATATCCCGACTTTTCGCAGCTGCAATTCGTTGTATCCTTCGAGACCCAGGATGTCGTGGCCTCAGCCGTCATCAACAGCGTACTGACCAAGGACGGCTGGAAGATCTACACAATGCACACCGCGGCCGAGAAGCTAAAGAAATTCCCAGAGGTCCCAGTTGCTGACGGCCACATGACAGGGCCTGTAAGTTGGGAGAAGCAGAGAGCTATCGATGTTGATGCGGCCGATCCGGAGATTCTAATTATCGGAGGTGGCCAGAAGTAAGTATTACCCTCTTCAAGCGATATCAAGTGCAGTTTCTGATATCAATATAGTGGTCTTGCACTGGCTGCCCGATGCAAGGCTCTGGGCATGAACAACCTGATCATTGAGCGCAGCGCAGAGATTGGTGATGTTTGGAAGAACCGATACGAATATCTCTCGCTCCATTTCCCTCATTGGGCCGACGACCTGCCATACTTCCCCTACCCCAAGCACTGGCCCACGTATACACCGGCCCAAAAGCAGGGTATCTACATGGAGTGGTATGCCTCGGCTCTGGAACTCAATGTCTGGCTCAAGTCAACGGTCGCCAAGGCCGAACAAGATAGTCAGGGCAACTGGACTGTTGTCATCAACAAAGGAGGAAAGGAGACCCGTACTCTCCATCCCAAGCAGGTAGTCATGGCCACTTCCTTGTGCGGCACACCTATGACGCCCGAAACTCCCGGTATGGCGGAGTTCAAGGGTGTCATCCGCCACTCCACAGCTCACGATAGCTCGCGCGACTTTGTTGGCAAAAAGGTCTGTGTGGTTGGTACGTCGTCGTCTGGATTCGATACAGCTTTTGACTGCTCCCGTCGCGGCATCGATGTCACCCTCCTCCAACGCTCCCCCACCTATATCATGTCTCTCACCCACTCCGTTCCCCGAGTCATCGGCAACTATGGTCCGGACGCCGACCTCAACCGGCCGGACCTCGAGGAGCAAGACCGCCTCTTCTTTGCTACTCCCGTCGGCCCGGGTGAGGAGCTCTCTAGACGCAACGCCAACGTGCTGGCAGGACTTGATAAGGAGCTGCTTGGCGGTCTTAACGCTCGTGGTCTTCGCACCTGGCTCGGTCAGCGAGGCACCGGTGGTTCCACTCTCGGCCAGACCCGTAACGGCGGCTTCTATTTCGATGCTGGCGCCTGTGAGCACATCATAAACGGAAAGATCAAGGTTGAGCCTGGATATATCGAGCGGTTCACCGAGGACAAGGTGATTCTCAGCGGTGGCCGTGAGCGCGAGTTCGACCTGGTTGTATTTGCTACTGGATTCACTAACACTATCGATTCCATTCGCTCGGCTCTTGGGGACAAGATTGCTGATCAATGCGACCCCATCTGGGGAATCGATGAGGAGGGCGAGTTCAAAGGGGCATACAGAGAGTGTGGTGTGCCCAATCTCTGGATCTTTGTTGGGTACCTCCCGTATACCCGCTATCATTCCAAGCTGTTGGCTCTGCGTCTGAAAGCCTTGAAGGAAGGTGTGGGCTCTGCCCCTTACAAGATATAGATGTAGATACTACATGATAGACTGTACGCTACTTGAGCGACGTTAGAAATGAAATAAGATTGCTCTGTTATGTTCTAAATACCTTTGGATGCTGCGAGTAATATTCATTGTGTCGACATGTCGGATCTGACGTCTATTGTTGTTTTTGTCTCTATACTCAAATTCTCACCAGGACATTTTATGATCTACCTTACTTCCAGTGCCCTCAAGTATCGTTTGACAACAAGAAGGGGGAGAAGGAGAAGATAGGAAAAAGAAAGCAGGATGTGTCCCGTTTATTCTGCATTCGACTCAATTATGATTTTTAAGCTCATTTGTACTGATATAACTGCTAAGTGATAAACTAAGTAGATTTTCCAGTCCATAAATACCCCAATCCAGGCATGGGGCATAACAGTAACGGGTTCACATATTCCTTTTTTTATATCAAGGTTGGTATTTCAGAAATGTTCGACCAGTTATTGCGACTTGACAGGACCATACCAGTCATCAAACCCGAGGTCAAAGCCCCATTTAGGAGTGTTGATTCGCTTGGCCTTCCCACCAGCAGCCAAACCATCCAGTAGAGCTAAATCACTCTCTGAGAGGGTAATCACCTGTCTATTGGAGGAGATACGCTTCTCTGTCACAGACTTGGGCAGCACCACGACACCCTTATTAACGTGATAACTAATCAGAACAGTGGCAGCTGACACACCATTTTTGTCCGCGACCTGTTGGATTTCCGGGTCTGACATAATAGGGGCACCTAATTCAACATATTAGAATGGCCATATTCCGCATCATATGTTCCAGCGCGTGGGACCAAGGACTCACCTGTAGATCCAAGTGGAGAGTACGCTTCAAGCAGAATTCCTAGTTTCTCGCAATACTGCTTGAGCTCGTGCTGAGGAAGGAAGGGATGTAGCTCGACTTGATTGACGGCTGGTACGACCGTCCAAGTTTTCTCAAGTTCCTTCAGGTAGGAGATGGACCAATTTGCAAGCCCTATGGCCTTGACCTTGCCAGATTTGTAAACCTCCTCCATCTGTCGCCATGTTTCGCTCTGGTCCCATGACCGATCGACCGATCTAGTACCGTCGGGGTTGACTGGTAGAAGAGGGTGGGATTCGTTCTGCGGATATGTCAATGCCAACGCACGTAATTGCAGCGGCGAATGAGACTACTTACCGGAACTAGTCGAACAGGCCAGTGGATGAGCTGGTTGGTATTTTGTCAGCCTAGGTCTGGGTTAGAATGCTGCATCAAAAGGCTTCCTACGTAGAGGTCAAGATAGTCCACGCCCAGAGCTTCAAGACTCTTTTGGAGACCTTCCTTCACATTGGGCTGGTGCGTGTTCCAAAGTTTGCTAGTCAAGAAGATTTCTTCCCGGGGCACGCCACTGTCTTTGATTCCTTGGCCAACCTCATTCTCGTTTCCTGGGAGTATTCTTAGTACATCACTCGAGTGGGATTGGTGTCTCTCTTATTACCGTAGATTCTAACGAGAGTTAACGAGAGTTAGTAACACTATCAACGCTTCAATTGGTCACGGTGCATTACTCACAAAGCGGCATCAATGTGGCGGTAACCATCCTTGAGGGCATAGGCCACGGCCTTGCGGACCTCACCAGGCTGAGATTGCCATGTCCCTGTCCGTACAGTATTAGCGCGAGACTGTATTTTCGGGGGAAGACATTTCACACACCCAGGCCAATGGCTGGGATCTTGGCCCCTGTGTTGAGGGTGAAATGGGTTGGCAAGGTCATTGTGATTCAGCAATACCGGCTTTCCACATTCATTGATCAACATTAACGGTCAAGAGAGAGAAAAATTAACTTAAAAATATCTCAAGAAATGGGGTTTTTTTGGAAATGCCAAAGCAGTAGTCCATCATCTTAGAGCGTACTCATCTCTCAAATGTGGAACCTCGAGATTCGCCGATCGACCGGACATTTTGTTGGTTTTTGTCCGATCCGGTTGATCATGTCCGATGGCCCACATTTCATTTGTACCGCTTGATCCTGCTACCCTATACTAGAGCTAGGAACACAACAGAACGCGAGCAGATCCTGAGATGGCCCTCAAGTATCTGATTTTGGGTAAAGCACAGCTGCCTTGTAGTCGAATGCAACCGGAACGCTGTTACAAGATAGATATTTAATACCCTAAACGTTGTTTATGGGTAAAGCCTCGAGGTTATGAAACATTGCTTCCATAAGAAGGTAGGACAGGCAAGGATATAGCATGCGTCGGGCATATGGAGCAGTAGTTAAATCGTAAACAAGGATTAGCTCCTCTAGAATTAGACTTGACTTCGTTTCTTGCTAGTCTCAGTACGTGTACAGTGGCCGGAGTGATCCTGGCTGCTTTGGCAAGATCCAAGGGATTTACCTACAGCTCTTCCTCCTACGCTACGAGCTCAAACACAACATTCAAATTCAGCAGATTCAATGATTTGATTCCCTTACGATGAGCTACGTAATCCTACTTTCTGGAGACCGGGCCAACTTCACTACGGTCTCCTTTGACGTTGATCAAAAGAAGCTGGCCGTGACCGCAAATTACCCAAGCCCATTCAACGCGTCGTGGGTCGAGCCTTCGTCTTCGCTCGGAACCATTGACCGGCTGATCGGGCTATCGGAAGGTATTGAGTCTGGTGACTTGTATACATTCGAAATCGACCACCAGCAAAAGACTTGTAAAATCACGAGTCTGCAGACAACTCTAGGCGCGCCTGCCCACTGTAAGAGATTCTCTTGTATTTGCCAAAGTGTCGCGGATTAATCTTTCTGATAAATAGTCATCACCCTGCAGGACAGATCTGCAGTGGCCTTGGGGACTGTAAGTATATGACTAAACGAGCCGGTTGATCTCTCGCGCTCACCAGATACAGTACCTAGGAGGCTCTGTTGCTCTGTATCCCATTTCAATCACCGAAATGGCGGGTCTGCTACTGGCAGACCATCCGCGAACCGAAATCTTTCCAGAATTCCCCTACAAGGCCCTTGGTCATGGTCCAAACGAGGGGCGACAACGGCAATGCCACGTACACCAAGTTCTCGAGGATAAAAGAGGCTTCCTCTATGCTCCGGACCTAGGCGCAGATCGCGTATGGATTCTCAAGCGGAATCAGACGAAGCTCGACCTCTGTGGCTGGCTTCAGTGCCCTCCAGGAACCGGCGCTCGCCATGCCGTCTTCGGCTCTGAAGGTATGTGCATCCGATTCTCGACTTTGGTACCCAGAAGACTGACTGATCATCAACACAGAGAAAATAATGTACGTGATCGGAGAGTTGTCGCATACGGTCTTAGCCTTCGATCTATCCACGTCCCCCGAAGTGAACATTCAGCCTATTGATGGCTTTGTACATAACATCATCCCTCTCAATGTTCATCCTGACCATCATTTCATGATGGACTCTTCGGAGTTATGTGTGAATCCCAAAATTCCGAACATCTTGTACGCAAGCAACAGATGGGAGAGACATATAAAGGAACGTCAGCCTAACCTCAAAACTGTCCCCGAGGTTCCTGACGGGGATTCCATCGCCATCTTGTTGCTCTCGGCTGATGGCAAGAAATTGGAAGAAATGCAGCATGTCAGAACCAAGGTCGATACTATTCGTGGCATGAGGCTCAGCGACGATGGTAAGTATGTCGTGGTGCTAGGGCAGGAAGGTGGCGGCATCGAAGTGTATGCGATCACTGGAGAGAGAGGAGACATTTGGAATTTGGTGGCTGGCTTGGATGAAGGGTTAGAAGGCGGTATTAAGCATGCTGTCTGGCTGTAAAGACCAGTAGAAGAAGTAATCAGGGCTATCCGTCGGGGCTATTGTTACCATCTGCAGCTTGGGGTCGTTGCCTATTTCAACAATTTCTCTCTACATTAAATCCACTAGTCGCTTGTGGACTTGCTGTCAATCAATGCTCGCGCTGTAGAAATGGAAACGGATGGACCTTCATTTTTAAAGTCATGTTATCTTATTCATATTCTGTCCGTCTTCTCTTTTTGCGCCTGATCTGATAATCCATTGACTGTGTCGAGTTCACATGGTCACATGGTCATGAAATTATAAACCATTGAAAACCAATTTCACTCTAAATCAATGGAAAGTTTTGAAATTTAGTCCCAATTGTATATTAATCGAGATCTAGCTAGGTAGAATACACGAAACCTTCCTATTTCCTGTGCTGTCTTCGGTGGCCAAAACTCAGCACTCCTTCCGTCATGCCTTGAGAAAATACATGCTAATTAGGAACATCTCCGAGCTGCTCCAGTTGATATCCATAAGCTGCATGATGGCGATGGATTGACAAAGAGTATTGATTTGTCGGCAACTATCTAATACTCTACCTCATCACCAAAGACAGCCGCGATCTGCTCCAAGCTCTTGCCTGATGTCTCAGGCACGAAGAAGAAAGAAAACAGCGCGGCAGCAAAACAAAAGAAACCAAAGAACAGGTAGGTTCCCCAGCCAAGCTTGAGTTGCATCTCGGGCACAATCACACCAATGATGAAGTTGGCAAGCCAGCCCATGGCCACCGAAGCACCGACACCCTTTGCGCGCTTGGAGCTCGGGAACACCTCAGCGGGCAAAGTCCATCCCAAGGGTCCATACGAGGCGGCATAAGCGAGGACGTAGATGTCTGAACAATTAGCAATGATCAATCGTAAGTGTGGGAAAGGGCCAGCTTACAGATTAGAGCCACGCCGAACCAGCCCATACCGGGGTTCTCGACCCATTTGTTGTTGTACTTGCTTACGATTCCGGCCATAATCATGTGTGGGATTCCCATTGCGATGCCACCGAAGATTGACATCTTGCGGCGTCCCACCTTGTCGAGGAACAGGAACGTTGGTATTCCGGCTACAAACTGGCAAATATTGATCATGCCACTCAGAATGAGAGACATTTCATAGTCTTGGCCAAGAGCAGAGAAAAATATTGGCGCGTAGTACACGAAAGCGTTGATACCTTCAGTTTGGTTAGCACTGCTAAAGAGGGGCAAGCAGGCAGTTGAACTCACCGGAAAATTGCTGGAAGAACGGGATTGCCAGACCAACAGCGGTGCGACGCAAGGTCTTTCTCTTGAAGAGATCACCCCACTGCTTGAGGTCAAGGATGAATGCGTTCGAATCAGTTCCGTGCTCTCGTGCAGTAGCTTGCTCCTGGAACGCAACTTCACTGCGAATAGCCTGCCACTCCTGCTGGACGCGGCTGTCCGTGCCAGGAAGACGCCGTAGTTTCTCGAGTGACTTCAGACTATCATCATCGCGGTGGCGCATAGCAAGCCATCTCGGAGAGAATGGGAAGAACTGGATGCCAATACCGACTGCCAGCGCCGGAGCCATTTGCAGAAGAAAAGGCAATCGGAAAGCCCAGTCGCCTGCCATGCTGCGAGTGCCATATGTAATCCAGTAGGCGATGATTGCCCCAATGACAATGGAGATGGCCTCTAAGACAAGAAGCGACCCTCTCAAGTTTGGAGGTGCGATCTCAGTGATGTACAAAGGGGCTCCCATTGCGAGAGTACCCACGCCAACACCACCAATGGTGCGACCAGCAACCAAAGTGCCGTAGTTTTGCGAGGCCGTCTGTATGATGGCACCAACGCAGAAGAATGCCGTGGCTACGGCTAGGCCGTACTTTCGTGAGTAGGTATCGGCAAGGAGAGGGAACGTCAAGCAGCCGAGAAAGGCACCAAGTTCCAGCATGCCCGTCATGAAACCGGTGTTGAAGCCATAGCTGGGATGGCCAGGAGCCACCTCTGGGAAGGACTGCTGGAATTGCGGCATGGTAAGAATAAGCGATATCACGCCCTGGTCGTAGCCGAAGGAGAAGCCACCGAAGGAAGCCAAGAGGGCGGCACCAAACACGTACGGCGATCGGACGATGCCACCGAATCCGTTGGAGTCATAGCTGACTTCGGCTGTTTGGTCCTCTAGGTGAACAGCATTGTCTGATCCGGAAACTTTGTCGTTACCGTCTGCAATGGTGGAGCTCTCTTTGAGGTCCGCCATGATGAGAGGCGTCGAAGCGGTGGTTTAAAGTGAGAAGCACGTATTGAAGACTCGATGTTTCTCTGATGTTTGGAGATGATAGGGAGAAAGTCATGCCAAGGTGTGACTTGGTAACAGATATTTATGTTCCCTAGTGATGATTCAACTCAATATCCTCGGTTGCATTAGAACCTGAAGCTAATGCCCCATGGGGATGAGGTGGATTCACTCCTCATTCCACATGGAGTCGTTCCAGAACGTGTGAAAAACCTCACCAAACACGCCCGGACATGAGGAGCCTCCACAGGCCGGACATATTCTCACTATAGCGTGTCTAGTATACGTTGCGTCTTTTTCACTACCACAAAGTCCGAGCCCTAGGTGAAAACAGGACAAGCGTAGCATCGGACATAATGATCACGAACAGGCATCTCCACTTCCCCAGACCAGGAATCCATGTTGGCGATGTCATCGCAGTCATTCTTCACCTCGCCTCCGCAATCAGCCAGGTAGCATCCTAGCCCAATGCCACGGGCCGACCGGTTCCTTCAATCGGAGTTGGGGTAAATGTGAGTAATTGATTGAGGCATCGAGAATTGAGAGCTATTACTAAGATATGTAGACAAAATAACACTACCACACCTCACATACATCAACCTCCTTGGAGCTCCAAGAGCAGCTAGTAGGCCTGCGCAATGATTCGAGGAGAATTCTCCCAATAACGTCGATTTTCTTACTTGCTTTTGTCTAAAGAAAACCATCCTTTTGGTTCTATCATTTCTCTATTTAGAGCCCAGTGCTCTCCAGCTAAGGAAGCGGGTAATGCTGGAAAGACCTGTTGATCGTGCTTGGAGATGTCGTCTCCTGTACGAAGACAGGCCTTCATCCGTTGTTGTAGGATGTTTAGTATAGACAGCGAAGGTTATCCATAGAGCCTCCTAAATGCCCAGTTATCTAGAATCCTTGAACCGTCCAGATTTGTGATACCGTTCCCTCCCACCTCCAAGTGCTCATCGTACGTTCCCATCGCCATTCCAACTAAGAATTGCCCCAGCTGCTCTGTAGGACTATGGAGCGGCCGCAACACTGTCCGCATGAGGGGGCCCAGGACAATACCCATCGCGTTGTAGACCAACCCGGGATCCGGAATATACGGCTTGATCGCAGCGTGGTTTGAGGCGTCGACCCCAGCAGGCCTAACAGATTCGATGTGGAAACGTGGCGTGCGTAGTTTTGATAACGCGATCTCGGTGTCGCCTTTGACGCGACCGTAGAATGGAGTAAAAGCACCCGGCTCTATGGTTGCACCACCGCCGGAGACGTAGATGAAGCGGAAAGGCTCATGTTCTGGAGAAAGAGCAGAAAAGGCTTTTGCCGCGGCGAGAGGAAAATCTTTAGTAATTGTGATGTAATCTCTACATGAATGGTTAGTCTAGGTGATCACGTTGGTAAGCTTGCTAAACATACTCTTTCGTGACCTTGAGCTGGCTGATACCTAGGGCCCAGATCACTCCATTGGCGCCCTGCAGCTTGTCAAGAACCTCCGGTTCATATGAATTGAAGTCGTTATGAATGATAGTGTTGACCCTTGGGTCTTCTCCCGCCATAGGCACAGGTCTTCGGCTCAAGATGGATATTTTGGTGACCTTGCTTGACTTAAGCATGGCATCCAGGACACTGGAGCCCACCAGGCCGGTAGCGCCTGTAAGGATAAGATGCATGGCAAATAATCTGTCCGTTGGATGCTCGAGGCCGGCGGAGAGAAAAACAGAGTCAACAGTCAGATGGGGTAATATAGACAAAAAGGAATGCCGGACGACAAACTCACTACGTTATATATGCTCGCCTAACCTTCATTGCTCGGATGCTAATGAGGGCCTTCAATGTTAGCAAGGGTGTAAGTAAGCGTGGAAGCAGGGTCCGATAGTGTAACCCTACTTGACCCTCTCAACGCCCCTATAAAGGAAAGGTTGCGTTTACCTCTTGCAGGGGCGTAAGCAACTAGCGCGGCCGGAGGGAGGAGAAGCTACTGGGCCGCCGCGGAATGATCTGTCGAAGCTGGAGGACTCAAGAAGGATGAGTTTAGGTTGGGAAACTAGTCACATGTCGAACACTCTCTCTGTACTGGGAGCCAGTGGTGTGAACTTCTCTTACATGAGCCCAGTAATAGTGGATTTCAACTCGAGATGTCGCCGGAGTATGATTTCCTCTTCTAGGATGGATTAATGCACCTTGCTTACCCCCCTACCGAGCTCTCATGCCCACCGACAGGTCACACTCCGTCCTTTATATGTCCTCCCTCTCCCCTTGAAGTAGCAGCAACACTCAGCCTGATTTTTGTATAAATCTTTGAGATAGAGATAGGCTTATATCATATGTTGAAGAGTTCTGGCCTCAGCAGAAGCCACCATGGTCGCCATCGAACAGATTCGCAATGAACTGGCTCAAGCCTCACCTTCTGGGCGCCAACTTGTCGCCGTCTTTGGTAAGCTAGACTTGCAAACACCTGCTTCAAACGATGTTGCCGCTCTGCATAGTGCAAAACATTGACCTACCTTGATTTCTTAAGTCGGCGGCACTAGCGGTATCGGTGAAAGCACCGCTCGGGAACTTGTTCGATATTCTACCAGTCCCCGGATCTACCTGATAGGAAGAAGCCAAGATCAGGCAGATCGTATTAAAACAGAGTTCGCATCGCTGAATCCAGCCAGCGATGTGTGTTTTGTCCAATCCGATGCCTCGCAACTCCGTAATGTGGACAACCTGTGCGATAAGATCAAAGCACAAGAGGAACGACTCGATGTTTTATTTCTCAGCGCCGGCATATTTCATCTTAGAGGGCGGGAAGGTGAGCGATATCTCCCCTCACTTAAAAGAGCATGCTCCTTAAATCTCACCCAGAAACACCCGATGGTCTCGATCGCAAGATGGCTCTTGACTTTTACTCCCGGTTGCGTTTCACCGAAAACCTATTGCCCCTGCTGAGGCGCGCCTCAAGCTTGAGCAGCTCCCAATCTACTAGAGAGCTATTGCCGGCGGGTGGTCGGGTCATATCAGTCCTTGGGGGAGGCAAAGAGACGTCTATCGATGAATCTGACTTGTCTCTAACGCGCAAGTATACTTTGAAAGCTTCGACTGATAATGCAGTGACCATGACTACGCTCTCATTCCAACGTCTCGCCGCAGAACCCGAGAATGCTAATGTGGCATTCTTCCATACCTCCCCCGGCATGGTCAAAACGAACGGGGATCGTGAACTGAACTTTGTTATCAGACTGTTGGTGTCCACAGTATCTTATGTTTTCAGACCGTGGGTCACATCGACAGAAGAGACTGGCAAGCGTCATCTTTGGGCGGCCGTTAGTGATAGCTTCAGAGGCGGACAAGTCTACTTGCTTGACCGAACAAGCGAGCGCGCGGAGAACTCCAAGGTTTTGAACAGACTTCATGAGGAAGGACTTTCCGACCGTGTGTGGGAACACACCCGGGAGGTTTTTAGCAGGATTCCTACTGGTGATAATCACAACGTTTAGGGGATCTTATTAGTAACAAGCAATCATTTAGGGTTGTTAGTAGACGAGAAAGAAGTTAATCGATTGACTAGTATTTGTCCAAATTTAGTTGTTCGTTATAAAGAGATAGAAGAGCGTAGAAGCCTGACAGAAAATCCCAATCTTATCCTACAAGCCAAATTCAGCAAGAGTTGTCTGACAAACATCGTAGTCTCGAAGAATGTCCTCCCTGCGTATATGATCGCGCAAAACGAAATTCACCTTGTACGGCTTCGGCCCCATCGTGAGTCCGGTGTGGAAACCCGTCTTGTAATCAAGGTTAAGAGGCCCGGCAGGTTCAATCTTGAATGACCACAATATCTTAGCAATAGCTATGAGGATGGCGTTTTGCGCAAATGCCTCCCCGGGGCATATTCTTCTACCAGCACCAAAGGTGTAGGTCGCACGTTTGTGGGTATCATCGGCACCTTGCTTGAGACCGAGGGGATGGTTGAGGTATCTCTCTGGAATAAATTCGTCAGGCTGATCATAGTCATCGGGATTACGCTGCATGCTCCACACGTTGGCAATAAGGGAAGTGCCTTTGGGGATCCTGTATCCATCCACGATGTCGTCTCTATCTAGAACGTGTGGCAATCCACTGGGGGTAGGAGGGCATAGACGAAAGATCTATAGGAAACAATAGTTGTCAGAGCTCACGTTTTGATGACTTTCACGTGGACATCATTAGGAATCATACCTCAGAAAGACAGGCCCCAATGTATGGCAGGTCACCAAGCTTGTCACCTCCTGGGCTTTGATCCGGACTGATCCGCGTAACTTCGTCATAAGCCTTCTGCTGTACATCAGGGTATGATGCCAAGTAAAGGACAAGACTCATTATGGATGCCCAAGTGGTGTCCACTGCTGCGTCAAGTAATCCGCCACCGAGATAGGCAAGCTGATCGGGAGAGAAACCCAGTTTATCAGTTTTTTCCCTTTCCTCTTCTAACCCATCTTCCAAGATTTTGGTCATTAAGCATCTGAATCTTGTAGGTTTGTTCTGACCAGGCGTGACCGTGTCGGTCTTGCTACTGAGCTTCTGGGCAGACTTTAGAAAGCTCGCATACTCCTCAAACATGTAGTCCCTCACATATCTCGCATCCGTCTTCCATGAAGCAAATCTTTCAGGGATCCATCGGAGCATAGGTACCATGTCAACAGGGGGTGCATTTCCAGGTTCAAGCAGCTCCAACCACAGCTTCTGTGCCCTGAAGAACCGATCAGAAAAAGCCTTTCCTCGTTCTTCAAGGTGTTGACCAGTAATAGCAAGAAGCGGTGTGGCTAATGCCCACTGCTTGAGGTAGTCAAGACTCTCGGAGGGGGTAGTACTGAGTAGTTGCTTGGCGAGGGTTGCAGCTGTGGCCTCCTGCATGGGAACGACCTGCTTCAGGCCACTTGTACCAACCAAATAAGCAGCAGCAGCACGCCATTTGCGAAGGTACGGTGTATTTTGGAGGTAAATGACGTGCTTGTCTGCATGTTGACAGAAAACATGCTCGTTGGGGATGTAGCTGTAGGGCCTGCCAGAGTAATGTGCCGCGCGCTTACTGAAAAGTTGATGAACAGTTTGAGGGTTATGGAGAACGACGAGATTTGACGGCCCAAGTTTAAGGCCAAGAATGTCACCATAGGTCTTAGACCACTTGCCGAATTGGGTGAATGGTTGTTTAAGCGGTATCTGGCTCAGATTTCCAAGTCCCAAGACAGTCGGCGGCCCTGGTGGATAGTCTTTGGGCCGCAGTGTGGCGAGACAGAAGCGAGTGAGCACCAACACAAGCGCAAGTGATACACAGGCTACTGAAGTAGCAATCAAATTTGGAGTGGAAAGCATGATGAGGAATATTGTACTACTAATCTGGTTCTACCCTCCATTTCAGAAGAAAGACCCCGCGTTTCCAGATGGGAGACTTTGTGTCTTATCTACTTAATCATGGAGGGCATCTGGTGACGAAGACATCGGTAAGACTATCCTACTTGAGCCGCACTTCATGTGCTGCAACCCCCACGTACAAGGTCAGGATCCTTATCATTGGCCCAGTTTCGAGCTAATGTGAGCTTCATGCAACGAAGAGTGTATTCAATCACTTGTTGGTCCTTCCGGCCGATAGCCAATGCCGACTTTTCGATTTCACATGCCCACCACAAAAGTTCTCTTCTCACTGAGGAGCTGCGCAGTCAAGTGCATTATAAATCGCGGGAGAAAACGAGGCTATTGGGGAAGCTTATGCTTTTTTGGACTTCCGCTGCATGAGAGATGCAAATTGACGTCTAGCGTGTGATGGAAATGGACAGGAGCATAAACGAGCTGTGAAGAGTTGCATTGGCACGCAATTTGAATCCGGTTTCCAGAGCGCTAGATGATGCCCCCTTAGCTATCTTGGTCTGGATCAGGTCACGACGGCGTCAGCCTTTCCAGGCAGAGTGACTTGGCTGAACATCATTTCCTCGTGCGCCATACTCCCCTGCACACCTATGTTGCATTCCCAATATCGTGGTGTAGTCTGGCCGTCGTTTATCGCTACGCCGTGTGTGTGACGCTGACCTGCGACTCTGCAATGCACCCTCCCCATTTAGATTCCTGTTGGTTGGCCAAGATTGAGATCTTTCGTCAGACGTTTATTCCCGCACCTGTTGACACAAAGCACCGCCCCGTCTACGAAATGTTGTAGCACCTCGCTCCCTTCGATACATCCGTTTTCTCTGTATTGATGACATGTCTAAGTGGCAGGAAGAAGATATTGGTAAATAGTGATAGCAGCCATTCTGGGAATATAACTATGGACGTTTCACAACGACTATATTTCCTCCATTATGATGCCTTAAATGAGATACATGGCCTTGTTCGCCCGATAGTAAATATACTTTGGCCCAATGTACCCTGTCCGTCATCATCATTTCAGTAGTTATGTAAAAGCCTCCCCTGCAGTGTCTGAGTTCTGAAGCCACATCCTCTTGAACAAATCTATCCATCGATTCACCTTGGTGATGTCTGCTCGTATGACCCAGCCGCCGATAGCTGTATAAATTACCGATTGCTCAATATTCCCATTCATTTCATTTCCACAGTGATCAAACCACCGTCATTAGGAACGTGGAGGAGAGCTCTCCACAGTTATGAGCGGGTAGAGGCGACTGAGATGATCACGCATCCTTGCTCTTGAATATTGAGTAATTCGAATGCGCTTACTTAGCGCCTGCCGTGGCCGCTTTCGAGGTTTTATCTTTATCCCGGGCACCAGACTGCTGCGTTTGTGACGAGGGATAGGCATCGCTACTCGATGGCGGGCTTTGAAACATATCAACAGCCCTCACGTTTGTGTTTCCGCCACCTTCTCCCGCCCCGATAGCGCCGGAAGACGGGAGTTCATGCCGAGAGGCGTCGGTATGGGGAACACCCTCATGCGCTCCCCCTGATGGGAAGTCGGAACCTGCCAGACCAGCGCCGCTGAGGCCTTCGGTAGAGCGCTGCTTGCGAAGCTCCTCGCCTTTCGGGGTTTTGTTGCTGGATGTGCGAGTGCGGTAGTAGAGAGCTGTGCCGATGGCGGCTGTAGCGACGACCGGAATCGCGAAGCGGATAGGGCCAGGTTTGGTGCTTCTCGGATTGATCATGATGTTTTATTGTTGTCGGAGCGTAGTGATATAGGCTCTTCGTCTAAGGTACTAAGAAAATGTTCAATATTAGGGGCATGATGTCCCAGTATTTATATTCTCAGAAAATAAACGGCCCGCTTCTCCTTCGATTCACAGTGATGACGACCTGCAAGTCAATGATGGTGATGACAGCTCGATCAAGCCACCAGGCTTAATTTTAACGCTTCCATAGTGCTCCCGAGACACTGGGAAAATTGAGTTATTATTAGATTGTAGGAATGCTCTGTTCTGTTATAAGCGCTGTGGGTCATCGAAATTCCATGATTTCATAGTTGATGGTATAAGAAAAGTCTATGATTCAATGACTTGCCCGGATACAGCCTTTACTAAATCCACACATGCCATCACCAATTAGTGTTTTTGGTGTCAATCGTAAATTTATCTGATAGCATAACTATCTAAGAATGGATCTCGCACCTAACATTGAAGCCTTTACAGTATTATGAAATCTTCTTGGTTGCAAACTGCCACCATCAGCCTCCACCTCGATTTACCAGTTTCTGCCCACAATTGGAGGGAATGCGTTGTCAGTTATTGACATTTATGTGGTCCACAATCGATCTTGTAAAAGTACTTCGGCTTCAGGCTTTTCGTGCGGCAGGAGTTTCTCAGCTACCTAGTTGTACTTGAGAATCCAAGGGTGTTGTTGAATTTCTTCCAGGGATAATCTTTTGCTAGGGTCCAAAACGAGGATCTGTCTTCTTGTCAGCCGCCACTCGCTATTGAAAAATCTAGAATGATGATTACCTTGTGAATCAAGTCAGTAGCCTCCGCACTGACAGATGAGGGAACTTCCATATCCAAGTTCTTGATCCTCTTTTGTGTCATAATCATATCATCTTCAAACGGAGCTTTTCCGACAAGTAATTCGAAAGTCAGAACTCCTAGACACCAGACATCTATCATGGTATCGTAGTCCTCACCGCCGTGTAGCATTTCGGGCGCGAGATAATCCAGCAACCCACACAATCCTGAGCAACGGCCATCGACCATGCGCTTGCTCCAGATGAAGCCTGAAACCTTCACCTCTCCATCAGGTCCGATGAGAATGTTTTCAGGGTTGATGTCCCGGTGAAGAACGTTCTTCCCGTGCATGTACTTGAGTGCCTTTGCTAACTGGGCAATCGCCTTGGCAGCCTCGGGTTCGGGAAGCCCGATAGTCTGTTTCATGTGATCATACAGGCTTCCCTTCTTGGATAGCTCCATGACAATATATATGTAGCTTTCATGCTCATATTCACCTTCAAATTGCCCAAAGACTCTGAGTATGTTTGGGTGGTCCATCTCGCTTTGGATCTTGAAGCTGCCGCGAGCTTGCTCTTCGACCCTACCAAGAATGAGATCGGTCTTTCTCATAGTCTTCAGGGCGTACTCAACCCCCGTCTCACGATCCGTAGCAAGGTAAATCCGAGAAAACTTCCCCTTGGCCAGCGTCCTGAACTGACTAACGTGAAACATATCCAAGCTCAGGTCCTTCTTGAATGGCTGGCTGGGTTCAGTGGTGGGGGGTAGGTTATGGCCGTTCATCTGGCTGGCCTCCTGCACCAAGACATTCTCGGGAGATGCCATTTTTCTGATGTTATTTTTTAATATAGTACCACGTTTGTCGTATTGGATCCTGAAGAAAATTGAATAACAACAAATGGTTTGTAGGAGCGAGAAAAAGGACACATGAGAGTGTCCGGGGGCCCTGTGCGGGGTGCATCAGATCACGTCTTAGCACCAACAACAAAGTTGGACGCGTGAACTACTTCATACAGGGCGCGTAAGACCGCAGGGAACGTGTCATCACGTTTCACATCTGTCCAATAGATGAGAGTTCAGGTGTAAAGTTAAAAACAGCAATAAAAGATGCCAGAGCGAACATGTCAACACAATGAATACGAAAGGCCAAGAAATAGGCTCTACTAGCTCAGCAGTTATTCCAACAATGACTTAGGAGACCTGTCCTAGCAAATGCTACTAAAAAAAGGCAGCCTGACCGTGTCCTTCTGTGCCAGAGCATCCAATTGCTTCACAACAGATTTGATGACTCCCCTCATCTGGGTATCAAAAGCCCAAGACTCTATTACATATTCACGGGTGAGAGACGAAGTGAAAAAATAGTAATGAAGATGCCAGACGCGACATCACGATGAATACGAAAGGTAAAAAGCAAGCCCTACTAGCTCAAGACTCCAACCATGCAGCAAGAAACTCTGTAGACATTCATACCCATGACAAACTTGTCGTCGGGACGACGACTTTAAATTCACTGAAGACGTCATTGTCAATCAAGAACTCAAGATGCGAAGCGAAGAAAGGTTTGAATTTTTTTTATTGATTTTCTGTTCTAAGCTGATCTACAGCCAACGAGCTGCTTCGAATGACAAAGGGGAAACAGCCTAGTAAAGACCAACAACGACGTCACCCTTGACACGGGCAGTCAAGTGAACCTCGGCCTCGAGGTCGAGCTTGATGCCGAGTAGGAGAGCGGCATCCTTGAGCTTGCCGTTGTCCTCGGCGCCCTTGACGATCTGGCCTGTAGTTGCAAGAACTGTTAGTGCCTACCCAATATACTGTCTCGGGGAGTCCGAAATGAGATGCCGGGCGAGAAAACCTACCAGCAGGAGCGTTGAGGCCGGTGGCGGTGGGCAGGGGAACCTGGAACTGAGCACTGTTCGGAGATCTGAGTTAGCAACCCCGAGGGCCTATCTAAGGCACTGGCGCCTAGGGGAAGAGGGAAATTCAACTCTTACGGGGCAGACATGTTGATGGATTTGTTTTAAAACCGGGGGGTTTTTAAGTGGTATTTGAAGTGGATTGTTGGAGTTGTGAGTGATGATGGGAGAGACGGGAAGAACTTGCACGGGATGGATGGTCCCTTTTATGGTCATTGATGATGCTATGAAGCTTTCAATTTCCATGATCGTGAATAATTTCACATGACTCATTCGCTAGCCAGCTCAATTCAATGCGAAGAGGTCAATTTCCCGACCGCATTGTCGTGCCCCTGCAGATGCTTAATTGTTTGTCCTGCTCAGCTCACCTCGCTTATTGGATTCTTTGCTGCTGTCCAATAAGAGCTCGCCAGCTCTCAATGAAATGTACGCGTACAGCTTCTAGCGCAGATGCATTTTCATGCTCGTGCAAGCAGATGCGTTAAAGGGTCCAGACTCCAGCCAAGTCACTAGCTACCAATAATCTGTGTCAATGCCAATGGCTCGGGACGGACCAGTAGAGGACGGCCCGGTCCGTTTGTCCCCAGTTCGGGGCAGAGAAGAGATTTCTTTGGAAGCATTTCCCTAGCACATCACGTATGTCTCATACATATGCATATACACGTGTAAACAGCCTCAAACTGGACATTCATGGAGGAGTAGAATATCAAGTCAATCACGCAATGGTGAGATCCAGACTCGCCATGCCTTGCTGGGGATGCTGGAAGACGAGTGGGGGCTCGGACCCTTGAGTTTGAAGCCATTCAAGCACTTACAAGAATAGCATGACGCTACAGTATGGAGCTGAAAGTCTATGAGGATCCAATTCAAACTTTCTTATTTAATACCGCATAATACCTACGGCAAGAGAGGCAGGATAGTGAGATGATATGGCCTCCAAGTAAAGTCAAGACATTACTGAGCACACGGTGCTGCCGCTGCTGTCGGTACCTGCAGATATCTTCTCTCCCAGTCAAGGAAATCATATACATCGTGGGGATTGTACCACTCTGGCCGTTGATCTTCATCCATGTACACATTGTCCACGTCAGCTTGGATAGCCGGGCCCATTTCTGGCTGCAGCCGTTTGAATCCTGCATATATTGCCTTCGGGATGTCGTAAAAGTTGGGGTTTTTAGGTGAGAGCTGCCCAGGACGAGTTTCAGCAAGACCCTCGCCGGGATTCTCGTCGGGCTGAAAAACTTCTTCCAAGTCGCTTATATCGGAAAGCTCATCCTCATTCCCATCATAGTCGATAGGGGTATCATCAAGGGGCACCGACTCACTTGTAGAGGCAGCGGTTGAGTGGTTTGATGGGCTTCGTTTTTGTCGACTCATCTCAGGTACAAGGCTTCCATGAGACTGGAACCCAAATGAATCAAACCAATCCATGAAGTCCTCTTTATTTTCCTCTCCATTGCGTTGGTGGTCATACAAATCATGATCTTCTGACCAAAGCATGGCTACTTCATAGGCCGTCCAGTCAAGAGTATCAACCATATTTAGTTGTCTATCGCTGAGTAGCGACTTGTTGAATGGAATATTGCCATGGCGGAACTTTGGTGCTGCAAAGGAGTAAGGCGTGCTAATTAGGTGACACATATCATCATCTGCAGCTGTAGGGTTGGTATGGACATTTTCGACTGGTTTCGGTGGTGATGACTTCTTCGGCGGAGGTGCTGGAAGGGGCTTTGTTGGTGATGGCCAGGGAGAAGGCGAGCAGAAAAGTCGTCCCTTAGATCTCTGTATTAAATGATTCGTCTTTGCGGCCATTGTTTTCCCTGCTGCGGTTAAGGGAACAGCTACATCCGAGTGATTTTGATAGTCCTCATTAATCCGATTAATCCGGGGTGCAACTTTCAAGCTCTCAGTCCGAGAAGATTTATCCTCGCTCCTAATTTCCGAACGGCCAAGAGTGCTTTCCCCTGGCCATGGAAATGACGATTTCATGTCGGTCAAAATATCCTCAGCAGTGATGAAAACTGCCAATGGCTCTCCTGCATAAGCAGCAACGACCATTCCATACCATGTATGATCTTTCACAACCCACGATCCGGACGTGCCCTGAGCTATTGAAAAATTAGCCAAAATGAACACCTAAGAATTAATTTTGAAGGAAAGAGTTTTTTTATACCTAAGGGCAGCCGGAGCTGCAGCTTTCTGACGGTTACTTGTCTCCCTTCTAGGTGTATCGTTCGAAAACCAGGTAGGAGCCATGCTTCCTCCACTTGACCAAGTCCTAGAATTATGCAAACACGGCCATCTTGCATTTCTGAGTTTGGACAATATGTGGTTATCGCCTTCGAACTGCCAGCTTCCTGTGCTATAGACTGGGTTGCGTAGATATTAGGAAGGTTCTGCAGCGTATGAGACCTTAAGAGGGCATAGTCGCTTCTACTGTTTGGAGTATCCCTCGGAGGTTGTTCATTGTGAACAATCTTTCCAAAGCAGTTGATGCCCCAGACCTCGTCAAATGGAATCCACCGCGAAACAAGCTCGGAAGGATCGAGTAGCCCCAAGCGCGGAGCAGGGCCAGGCAATTGCTCCATCATTGTGCTCTCCTCGCTGTCATAGCCATCTTCAGAATCAGATCCCGAATCGCTTGAGAAAAAGTCACTGTATGAAGAGTACGCTTCATCCAGATCATCCTCCTCTTCGTCTAGCAGTCCATGTGCCACCGTCAAGATGGTACCAAGGTGGTGTTTCTGGCACTCGTCCAGAATTTCAGACGTCAGAATTCCTCCGATCCTAGATAGGCGCTGACTTCGCACAACATTATCTTTGAAATAAGTAGCGCAGCATAGCCAGCCACAGGCTGATAGGGAGGTAAAGCCGGGATGGGGCTCAGCAAGATGAAAAAGAACATATCCCCCTCTATAGCGCAGGCTAGAACTTGATACCGCATTTTTTTGAAGTTGCTCCAACGGGATAACAGTCTCCAAGGCACACAGCTCGATTCCTCCAATGCAGAATTCGACTGGTCGATTAAGAAACCCTTCGATCCATGAGATGGACCTTAAGGCCTTCTCCACAACCTTCAAAGCCCACTCACTGCCACAAAATATCCAAACATGCGGTGAAAGGGTGATGGTATGCGGGTGAAGAGGATCCAGGACGCCGGACATGCGCAGCTCAGCGTTGAATTCGCGCTCCGACCGTCGGCATTTACGCTTCGACGCCTTTCGTGTCAGTTGGATCCGCGTTGGCTCCAAGTCCAGGTCCAGTCTCTCTTTGATGCCGCCAGTCTCGCTCCATTTCTTCTCGAGGATATCTGGTACTCTCACCTCCCACGGCTTTCCGAACCATGGCTTGGCCTTTTTTCGTCCCTGGTGTTGATAGATGTGTGGAGAGCACGCTGGGAACTGTTGGCTGGTTCTCGCAGCCTCTCTCAGGAGCTGTGCACTATCGGGTGCCGAGGTTTCATTAACAGGCAATGGTGCAATGTCCGGACCTTTGTCTCTTGGCTCAATTTCTGAAATGGGGATTGTGATTTCAGTATCGCCACTTTCCGCCGAATATACAGTGCCCGACGAGGAGTTTGTGTCCCTCCTGTTGATTGGCTTTTCGGGAGCGCCTGACCGGAAAATATTTCGCACCGAAAATACACTTCTCCGGCGTTCTACTTCCACAGGAGCTTGGGTCAGAACCGAACCATGCCTCGACATGGTTGTAGAATGAGGGCAGAAGAGCCCTGCGGTCAGTGGGTCTGGAAATATTACCACCATTAATCAGGCTTTCTGCATTTTGCCATTTCAGATGCCGGGCATAATGTCAAAGGCCTGTTTGAACAAGAGAAGTTGCTCGCGGCAGTATACATTACAGCAAGGTGATCGAGCGGGGTTCCAACTTGATGATGGGTGGCATCTTCGCCCAGTTGAATCATCGAGGCTTGGCACGCCACCGGATCTTCGCGGAATTGGCTGATGGCGAATTGCGTAAACTTCTAACCGCTTTGATCTATCCTTGCTGACTATCAATGTGATGATAGACACGTGTAGGGGCTTGTAAGGCGTCTTCAGCTGCGGTGAGGGGGCGGCGCAGGCAAACTCCCCGCAGGACCTCTGTCAGCCAACCGGAATGGCACCTCCAATATTCTATCTGCATGAGGACGGAATCGGAGAACGCGCTTTATATTTTACAGGTAGGTGACTGCTTCAGGGTGAAGTTGAATCTGCAAACCAAAATGCACCAGACAACAGTCAAGCACACAAAATCACTAACTATTAAATATGAGTACGGCAGGCATCAATCATCAAACAAGGAGGTGAATAGAGAGTTGATCCGCCAGGGCTTAGAAATTGGCTTGTGGCTGGACAGCTCACCCCTGTTTGCTCAGCCTCTATTGGCGATGTTCATCCCTGTACGAAAGCTGTCTGCTGCATATTGAGGGGCAAAAAACTTCAATTGCTTTCAAAAGAAAACCTCGTGATCTGGACACTGTCTTTATGATTGAAAGTATCCTATGGCAACATTCAAACAACTCATCACCTCAGCGGTGACAACATTTCACGGGAAGGCGTCAAAAGACTGGGAGACGACCGACGACATCCGGCTTTGCAACGAGATATGGCCTGCCTTGGTTGAAGCATACCCTCTACATCCTGATCAGTATTTCCACTTGGCGGCATTCGCTAAAGACCAAATCTCAAAGCTGCGAACCCTTCGACCACATCGGCCAGGAACTGAGACAGATATCGTCACCTTGGTGAAATATTTGCGCACCTTAATCAATCAACCCCGAAAAGATGTCATTCAAAGCTTTCAACGATTTTTACAACTTGATGAAGAATCAAGTGCCGACCGAAATTCTGTGACTAGAATTCTCGAAATTATAGCTTCGCTATGCCTCACAACCAACATTGCGATAGACAGGGACACTGAGAAAGCAGACCATACCACGATTAGGTGGGAGGAAAATACATGTTTGCAAGCCGCGATCGATTCCTACCTTGAAAAAGAAGATGTCACAAAATGGTCTATTTCGAAATCAACAATTGATCAAAGGTTGACGCTGCATAATTTGGTAGCGAATTATGGCTTCGAGGTGGACTGGACTAGCGACTTCAACGAACACCTAAGAATCGATGAATCAACTAGGGTTCTATCAGTATACGAACACAAGGTCTGGCTCTATGCACACCTACGACCTAATACACAATGCCCGCTCCCGAAAAACGCCATGGAAGAATGTCTCGATACCCTCAACATCCTTTTTCCACATCACGAACCAAGCACAGCCACCTTTCTCAAAAGCCGAGGACGCAGTTTTCATCTGCTCGGAAGCTGCGGTCGTAAATCGTCGAGGGATCTCAGGGACTACCCCCACTGGGGACGGAATCTCGACCAGCTCCTCAGGGTTTTGGAAGGTCCTCCATCAGGCATCAGGCAGCTTCTTCCCAAGCCGAAAGAGGGCAAGCTGCTAGACTTGGTCAACTTTTGGATAGCCGTGTCGGTGGCCTTTCTGACAGGAATCAGCTTCGTATTTGGGTTGATGGCCGTCATATTTGCCAAGATGTCGTATGACGTTTCCGTAGAGTCGCTACGACTGACCCGCGAGCAGTATCTTCTATCTTTGGCTCAGGCGTGTTCCGACAGACAAGTCCCAGACGCTGTTCGTAAATTCTGTGATGCAAATTGAATCAAGTCATGGCATGAAAAGGACAATTCGATGGTTTGATCGCATACGAATAAACGAGCAAATAAATATACGGCATGGTCAATCCAGGTTGTTCTTCTCAATTGCTCCAAACAACGCGGAATCTCGAAATTCAAGACTTATAAATCCAAGCTCTCCTAGAGGATCATATATATAGCTATTGCTCGGAAGAGAAAGAGAACAAAGTTCGACAGCAATGAAGCTGCCACGGCCATGTTGAGCAAGGGATAGATTCCAGTTGCAAACACTGGAAGCCTAGAACGTACTAGCAGCGTCGATTTACGAGACAGGCGTGCATTTTGAGGTTCTCCGCCTGTAGGCGGCTATAAAGAGACAAACCAGGCCTATGTACATCCATCCATATCACTACAGATATCAGATACGAGAATTCACACTGACCGACAGATATCCTCTGCGGCCCAGTCGAAACTTGATATGGCTTGACATTTTTACGTATTGCACTCTCGAAACTTTTCATCTTTAAGGATCCAAACTTTGGCCAATGAGGTCATTCATGTCTTAGCCGCCAAGCCCCACTTTATCGCCCTCGACAACCGCCCACGCGAAAACGTCGCGTTTCAATTACGCTCATCGTCTCTTTCGACGCCCATCAAGCCTCCACGTCGCTCACTTTCGTCAAATCTTCAGTTTCTGTTTCCGATTTCGGGCATTTCTTCTTACAGTCAATCTCCCCCCCATGATGGTAGCCATCAACCCAGACCAGCATGCAGCCGTTCTACGCGTCACAGCGTATCATCGCCGAGACTTCGACCTCCTCGGCGTCCGCTCAGATCCACGAAAGCAATCGATGGTTCAACCATTTATCTCTGAACCTTTTACAAGCCCCTCAAGTGCGCCTCTGGGAAGTTTAAGACACCTCCCAAGCGAAGTCCTAGCGGAGATATGCTCCTACTTAGACATCTTGTCCACCTTCAGGCTCCGACAAGTCAACCGGATGGCCCGTCAAGTTGTGTCAGGAATACCGGCATACCGCGACCTGTCAACGCATGCCTTGGACAGCCTACGTACAGCTCTACGAATAAAAATTGCCAACCAGCTACTACTCTCTGACCTCTATTGCACCCTCTGCACAGCCGAGTGCTCGCAGTGTGGCTTGTTTGGGCCACTCCTGTTCTTACCAACAGTTGAGAGGTGCTGTTACACCTGTTTGGAAACAAACCCGAATTATCGGGTAGTATCACTCTCTGCACTATCTAAGGTATCCAGGGTTTCTCAAAGTCAACTTCGCCGACTGGTGCCAGTCGTGAACACTCTTCCTGGTAAATACGATATACTTGGACATCAGTATAAGAAAAGGCTAAACTTGGTTGCTGAGAGGACTGCCCTGCAGAGTATTGGCCTACAATCCAAGTCTCCTGATATCCAGCACCTCCTGACTACTATCCCAGAACCTCGGGGCAAAAGTGGAAGCATTGCCCCCCGCTGTATGATGGTGACAGCCTTCCCGTCCTTGGATAAAGCAAGCTCTGACGTCCAAGACGGGGTGAGCTGTAAAGGTTGTCAAGTTTCAATAGAAATAGGCAGCCGTGACATTTCTGATTACGAGCTCCGGGATCGATCATACTCACGAGAGGGATTCTTAGTTCATTTCCAGTCATGTGAAGAAGCGCAGAAACTCTGGCAAGAAAGCGATGGAGGAACCATTTCAGATATAGGACCCGCCTTGACAAAAAGCGATCGATCTATATCTCAGTCGCGAGCAGAGAAGTACTATAAATAAAGAATCTACTTTCGTATTCTTTCACACTTTCCATGGGTCTGTCCAGAAACCTCATAGCCACAATACCGGACAATTACAAGTATAAGAAAAAAAACGGCGCCCGTGAATACATGTATGATACTCTTATTGATGCGACTTGCCCACCCTCCCGTGCCGACTCTCGAGCGAACCAAGTCTCCACCACCGCCTAATTGGCATTTGGATCTTCCGAAAAGTATTTCTTAGGAGCAGTGGGGTATACCAAGTGCTGAGCGCAGTAATGAGTTGATTCCTTCGAACGTATATTCTTGACGGGTTTGCATTTCGTATTTGTCCCCTCGGCGATTCGTTCCTTGCATTGGTGAAATTCTCCTCTCTTCTCGCATTCACACGTGTATAAAATCGTGTCGTAGTAGCACATGTTGCTAACACTTCATTAGTTGCATTTCTGGATGCAAATGGATGAATACGTAAGAGGGAATAAAGTTCAAAAGCGATGGAAGCTGCCAGAGCCCAACAACTTAACACAATGAAGACAAATAACATAAATGGGTGGATATCAAGTTAAAGGCAGAGAAGTGTAAGAAGGGAACTCACTCAAAAATTGTTGGGGGTGGTTGCGGATTTTCGAAACTCGTGATGAGATCAGAATTGTGTATGACCAGGTAGTAATAGATTATGTCTTTTGTGATTTGCCTGTCTTCTCTTACTTTTGCAAATGAGCAGACAGTCTCTTTTTTATGCTGCAAATGGAGGCTCGTGGCCTCCTCCTCTTCGCCAACATTTCTATTTTAGGCATATCCCAAAACGACGCATCTTCACTGTTGGTAGTCTCATCAACACAGCTTCAGCACTAATGCATGATTAAGACTCTGTCACCATGAAATCCCTGTCTGTGAGCACATGATTGGATCTCAGACGACGGTGGTAAGTGAACATTGGCATGTAGGGCCTGTGTCCTTTACATCGCGCGCGCTTCAGTCTGGAGGGGCCACACAACTTCAGCCGCCCGCACCATGGCGATGTTGGTCCAAAAACAATGGAGAAGGCTCTTTTGTTGATAGATGAGTAACGAGTTGTCGAAGCTCACGCGTCATCCTTTCAGCCTAACCGCCCGAGACAAAAAAGGAATTCGCTGTTGGTTGGGGTTAGGACCTGCAGCCTGCTTGACCTAAATTAAAACCAACAGATTATTTGAATATGTACTGTATTTGCGTAGCGTTTCATTCCATCTCCCCTGATCCAATCAGCTTCTCCCAAAGCCCACTGCAGCCGCCGTCATAGCCGCCGAGGCTGTTAGCGTGGCTGTGCTTGCTTGTTTCATCATCTGAAGGGAAAGGCCGCATACCTGGACAGTGGACTTGTCGGTCACACTGAGCTCTCTTCCAACTTTTTCCACTTGGCTCACCATCTTCTTCCTGGCGCTCACTGCGGAAGAGACACAGATCCCGGATCAAGCTCTCCCTCTCTCCTTTGCTTACAGGCCTAACAATCATGGGTCTTCCCACGCCGCTCAAGATTATCTCCATGGAAGTCGGCAGTCCCAGATTCGAAAACTTCTTCCGCATCTTGGCTGGCACCCATGTCAAATATATCACCACAGGTCCCGGTTCTCTTGACAACGAGGCTTTGATGGACATGCCACTGGACTTTGCCAATATTCTACCGCCCCTGCCATACGGTCAAGCTACCTGGAACACTGCTCGTATATCTCGCAATACGACGACAGGAAAATTAGAGGCCGAGATCTCCATCCGCGAGATGGCCGGTATCAGCAATATTTGGCATCCAGCCCTGGTCGATTTCCTCCATTTACAAAAGATAAAATCCATGGGACTCTTTGTTCAGCTTTGCACGCTAACACCCGACTCGATATTTATCCACCAAAACAGCACTGGGAAAAGGGTGATCGCCAAGATGGCCCGGTTTGAGTGGGAAATTCAGTACCTCACCCGAGAGAACCAGGCGTACCAACTACTCCAAGGCACTGGTATTGGGCCCCGAGTATTGGGCCACATCCACGAGCAAGGTCGCGTTATTGGCATTCTTCTCGAAATAGTACAAGGCCGTGCCGCTGGGATCGACGATTTACCTCGGTGTCTGGCAGCGTTGAAGCGCTTGCACAGTATGCGCATTCTCCACGGAGACTGCAATAGGCACAACTTCATTGTTGGGTCTGGCGGGGAGGTTACGTTGATTGATTTCTCGGAGTTCAAGGAAAATGCTACAGATGAAGAGTTGGCTGCAGAGGAGGAATCTCTCGCGGGAAAACTAGAAGACGATAGCGGTTTAGGGGATTATGGGGCTCTTGGTGAAGATGATGATAACTGATGATATGGCTGAATCATAAGGCATTGATAAAAAAGAAGCATACAAGGCACTGTTCGTGTTTCGTTGACGATACACCTTCGCTGTTGTGATGAAAGTGACGTGGGTGGGATGATCTAGGCTCTGTCGTTGATTTTGTGCTACTGATCTCCTTGGAGGCTGATGTACTCTTAATTCTAGGGGTTTAATAGAAGACCGAACAGAATACAGTCATGCATATCAAGACTAGAATTCAATGTTCTCAAATCCAATAAAAGCAGCAAAGGCTAGATCAAGCTTGCCAAGCCGAGCTGAATGCAAGGCTTCTTGCCCTGTACCGCTGGACATGTAAGCGATCCTCTGCACCTGTGAACCGAAAGAGTAATGGATGGGTCGAGTGCTGCAGATTATGCACATTTGAGTGTATAAGCGAATTCCCGTTGGGTCGCAATACGTAGGGCACTGGACAGGGAGCCGTGGTTACTGCCCAATAGCTTATGAGTACTTGGCAGTAAGCATGGATGCGTCGGGCGATGGCCGCATAAAAGCCGGGTTCTCAAATGAAGGGTGTGTTGTATTGCAGGCTCTGACCAAGGCCATCCATAAGCACGAGTGATTCCTCGAGACGCGAACAGATGTGCGAAAGTCTTCCACACATCATTTCACTCCTCGAGGGCGGCCCATACATGAATCATCCTGAAATCAGATCTTCCTACTATCATAATGTGTTCATCCATGCCCCTCACTTTGGTCATCGTTGCCGTTGTTTTTGCGAGACATACACTCGCAGATCCTGGTGATGATTTTTCCAATAATCTCTTTTCCGATCTCGCGCCGTACGTCCCAATCTTATCCTCTTACCTCTGCGCTGGCTACTTACCATCTGTGGCAGGATCCTCGCGCTGTTCGGTGAACGGGTCACAATGCAGTTCATGAGCGAATCTCTGGGCATAGCAGACTGCATAATCCTAGCCATGGCTCCTGTCGGAATCATCACCATAATCGTCGGAGCCATTAGGGTTGGCGGGCCCCAGTGGCTGAAGGCAATTATTGGAAGAGCAAGGGAAAACCTTTCCGAGGCAGAAAAGGAGATCATGTCGTCAACCTCACAGGAAGTGTGCGAGCTTTACAACGGTAAAAGTATCATCAGGTGTCAGGGAGCACCTGTGGTCTGGGAATACATTTGTTTATTCACCCCCCGCGAAGGGCATCAGGATGATGTTCCCAATATCGAGGTCTTAACCTTCAAAGAAGCTGTTGAACGCAAACTACTCGTTGATGGAAAGGGTATTAGGCTCCTGCCCTTCTCTCACTAGGCAAAAGCTCTAACACACAAGGCCGCAGATAAGATGGGGTGGAGGGAGTTTTATCGTAGTTTGAAGGGTTCGTTAGCATGCAGTTATTGACGTCTGGCTGAGCGAGAACTGATTTCGGTCACAGAATTCGCTCATCGCTGGAGGCGCTTCTATCAGAACAGTATGTGCCAAGGATGTTCAGTTGCCACTGATTCGTAGGACTAATAGTTCATCTAGCAAAGACGAATGCGAGGCGGTTTCGGGATCGGGGTAGGTCTTGAAGTTTTCAAGTGATGACTCTACAACATCTGACCAGTTTTCTCGATAGTGTCTAGAAAGAACAAAGAAAAGTCTCCTGGGCAAGATTCACCTGATCTCGAAGCTCCTAATGAGGATGCGTTTACGCAGTCACAACCAACACCACCTCTACAGCCAAGCGAGCAACCAAAAGTAGGGTGGGACATCAAAGTCATACGAGATGTGACGCCGGACGCGCCAAACCTCTCCCTAAATCGCCACGATCAAATCAGCCGGGTCGGAGTTCACATCGTAGCCGCATTTGCTACCGCACTGCAGTCAGGCGTCTTAATCTTCTTCGGATTCATTACTTATTCGCCACGCCTTCAACCCAACTTCAGAAAAGGGGACCAAGCAGTGGCCGGTTACGCCTGTCCCATGGCCGCTGGTGGCACGGTCTTCCTCGTGCTTGGTTTATTCATCTGCGCCTGTATCGTCGAGAACAAAACGGAAGAGAAACATTGGAGGCCGAGTGACAACGCGACTATGCAGGTAACATGGCTGCAGCAAGCACAAACAGTCGGCGACCAAGTGTTCAAGGCGTTTGCGACATACCCCAAGACGCCGCGAATCGTTTTCAGTACATCTCGTAAATCAGTGTCATCGCAGCATGAGACGCTATCAACCTTTGGTGTCGGATTCGCTCTGGTCGGTTTCGTCTCACAGTTCATTGGATTACGGGGGATGAACTGGGCAGCCTCAGTCGCACAACTTGTTGCGGCTCTGATTATGGTTGCCGCCCGAGCATGGCTCAGACGCGGACTTGCTCAACCACTAGTCGCTAAAGAATTGACGTCTCAGTTCGAACTTGATTGGCTCGCCATGACCCTGGCCAATGTTGAGGATCACGCTGGTCCTTGGCGTCAGTTCCTAAAGCTCGGATCAGAAAGGGGCGAGCACATAAGATCAAACATGGAAGCAAGTGGAGGTGTTAAGAAGGGTAGAAATTTTCGTAACACATGGACTATTGAAACAGGGCTTTCGCCTAAATATCTGCCATTAAGTGCAGAGAGTTCAGCACGAACCCGCGCACAAACTGTCTTGGCTGCGAGGCGAGAACTTGGAGAGGTCGCTCGATTCCCCGGACCGGTCTCTGACGTTGCGCTCCGCCTAACCAAGACAATTGAAACAGTTGCAAATATCTTACTGCCATCTCAATTCAAAAAAGAACTAGCGCTGAACTGGACTGTTGAGGTCATGGATGTTCAGGAAAGGTCTGTGGAGGTATCATTGCATTTATCTCGTTTGACCAGGACTTCGCCTTGGAAAGCAAGCGTCGGCGAGATAGCATCAGTGATATCGCTCTGGGCATATTCCTCTGAAGGCTTGGGGAGATCAGAGAAGAATACAGACCACCATAAAAATGCTCGCCTGGATAAGAGGGACGACTCTTGGCTTCGGGGTGAAGGGCCGCAATCAACTTTAGGGCTAAGAATCTTGGCCCCTCGAAAGCAACATATACTTCAAGAACTCCGATGGTGGATGCCAGACAGCTTGGATGATCTCTTGGCGATTAAGCAACCAACTGAGGCTGCTAGAGGTGGCCAAGCCTCCCGAGAGCAGCCAGACCTTCACGAAGGCAACCGCACAAGAGATGGCCTTACTGAAACCGTAGGGATCACGGAGCAAACCGTTGAGAACAACGCCATCGAAACTATAGAAGTGGATAGGGGGAGGATCGTTGGCTACGGCTTGAGACGAGAGATTATCCATGATGATGAGAACTACCGCAAGGATACTCACTTCGAGAGCGAAAAAATGAAGACCAATGTTGATGTCTTGGATTTCTCTGCTGAGGATGAAAGACTTCGATTGAAAGAGTCCTATAGGGCTCCTTACGATAGCCGGTTCCGGTATACATGGCACTTGAACCAGGACGAGGAGGGCAAGGAAGAGGAATCTAAAATATTTCTTGCCATCAAGACCTTCGATGGCATCATTAAGCTATATGCCAAAGATCTTCTATACGCATTCATCAGTTCGGTTGCAAAATCGTTGGCGACTTCTATCCAAGGAAACACCGAGACCCGACCAATGGAGAAATATGCTATCAAGAACTGGAAGTCAATCATGCTCTGGAACCGAAACGTAGCGAGACTTGCTCAAGAAGTTCAAAACAACATATTTGGAACATCCTTCGAGGCCTATCTGAGCGTCCTTGCACCTTTAAGCATGGAAGGAAAGTTACCAGAGCCCGAAGCTGTGTTTGATATAGCGTTGGAAAAGGCGTCCCAAGATCGTCGCGACCGCGGATTGCTAAAAGCAGCAGATGCACACCTATGGTTATGGATGCAGGTCAAACGTTTTTCGTGCGCCGAAGGACAAGTTTTCACAAGAGGGTTGGCGTATTTGGTAGAGTATATAAATGATGTCCACGAGCAAGGCAGGTTGAGTAAGGAGGATAACAATTGGACCTTGCAGGACACATTATACAAATTGGAGGAGAAGATGATAAAAGAGATTGCAGCGACAACTGCTTCCCAAAAAGCGTTGGCTAGGCTCGCGAGGTTATACAAGGATCAAGGTCGCCCGTGGGCGGAGGATCTTACCAAGCGGATGAATCTGCCAGCCTCAAATCACAACTCGATCGAGGCACTCGGCGGGTTGGGCATGACTGAGACGCACCAAATGTTGCTCAATGGCGCAGACGATGAATGGCCGTATCTAGTTGCAGAAAAACCATCAATGAATCGGAAAGATGTCTCTGGTTGGACACCTCTCCATTATCTCATGGCAAAAGGAAAGAAGGATCTTCTCCGTTCTCTTTCTCCAGGTTGGAATCCTGACGCTTTGGATATCTTGGATATCAATGCGAAGGACTGGCGTGGATGGACGCCATTACACTACGCCTGCCTGCATGGTCACTTTAGCGCCATTTATTGGTTCGCCGATCTTCCCCAGGCCAACCTCAGCGCTCAAGGCACTGACGGTGTTACGCCGCTCCACTGCGCAGCGAAAAATGGCCATGTTTACGTGGCAGAAAAACTGATATGGACGCTAGACCGAAAACATCTCGTTGTCTTCGGTGGAGACGCAGACATGCATCCACGAACGTTGCGCGACTACGACAATGGCCGGGCTGCTATCCATTGGGCAGTAGTGGCAGGTCACGAGAAAATGACGCAACTACTCGAGGCTGATTCTAACCTCAAAGATCGCAAAGGATGGACGGCACTCCATCTAGCTATTGTGCACGGCAAGACAGACATTTGCAAACTGTTGATGCGAAGAGGGTCGTTAGAAGCTCTCGATGACAGAGGACGGACACCTCTTCTCCTGGCCACTGAGTACGAAAGATGGGAAATAGCCCAGGAGCTAGTCAAGCTCGAGGCAGATGTCAATGCCAGGGGCCCTTTTGGTTGGACTCCGCTCCATTGGGTGGCTCATGCTCGCACGGATGCAAATCTCGGGCTCGGGGAACTGCTTCTCAACAAGGGCGCTCGAGTCGACGTCGCCAATCGAGATGGCATGACGCCGTTTCACCTTGGATCCGAAAGTGGCAAGCTTAAATTTCTTGAGAGGTTACTTGATCGAGGACCCGAGAACATAATCCACGCCCATGATGACAAGAAAGATACCCCATTATACTTATCCCTGAGACGTAATGATCCAGAGGTAACGAAGCTCTTAATTGAGAAAGGTGCGCAGGTTACTGGGGTTAGCCCGAACGGGAAAAGTCCACTGCATGTGGCATTGACCGAGAGCGAAGGGGCCGTCAATCAGGAGACTATCAAGATGCTTATTGCTGCTGGGGCAGACTTGAATGCCAAAGATAAAGATGGCTTAACGCCCTTTCAAATAGCAGAAAAGAACAGTCTAACAAGTGAGATAGTGGAGATGTTGAAAGTAAAACGAACCTAGATGGTGGAATCACAACAAAAGACAACTAAATTCATGCTGTCCATAACGTGGTACATAGGTGCTAGGGCCGCTACAGCCAGAAAAGCTTCGGTCTCTAATATTCACTCGTATCTTGTCTTCCTGCAATGAGAGCATGTCTAGATCGTTTTGTGTTAAACTGATGGAGTTGAAGCGGCGGTGCAGGCAAGAGCACTTACACTAATACACTCAAAGCCTTCGCTGTTTCTCCCATCGATCAGTACACACACACGACATGCGAAATAACGACATCTTAGCGCCTTCTCTCGAGGCAAGAAGATCACCTTGTCACCCCTATTAAAGTCCATGGCCAGTACCAGCAATCCGAAGCTTGCTAGCTTTGCAAAGGCCATCTCGGTTTCTGATGATGCAATACTGGTCATGGACTTTGATAGCATTAGCCAGGTAACCTTACTGCCTTTCTTCGAAGGCGCTAAGGTCTCATTATTTCACATGATATGTGTGTGTATCCTGATCATCGGGATAAATAGCGGAGGCTTCGGATGTGCTAGTGTAATTGCTTGCTTAGATTAATTTATAGAAGTTAGCGCAAGACGAGAAGCCAGGGGAAAGAGGGTGGCTTAAATAGTCATTCGACGAGCAGCTTTTCCTGACGGCAAGCGAGTCATCGGTACTAAGTTTACGGCTTTTTCTTCCGCATTACTGCAGCCTTGGGCTAGCGAAGCTTTTCTTTTTCTTTTTGTTGTCTTAACTTTTCGCCTTCATTGTGTTGAGTTGTCGGGTCTGGCATCTTACATTACTGTCTAACTTTACACTCAAACTATCTTAGGCCACAGCAGAAGAGCTGGCTGCAGAAGAGGAATTCCTTGAGGAAAAACTAGATGACAGCGGTTTGGGGCATTATGGCGTTCTTGATGAAGGTTAAAGACCAGACTAGCAAGATGTGAAGAATCAGTCAAGTCAGAGACACCTTAAGCAGGGGCAATGACGTGAGACATAGATGGGTTAGAACGCACTAATAAAAGAAGCTCCATTCGTCTGTGGCTGATGATACAGCCTCGCTTGTTGTGATGATAGTGACGTGGGTGGGATGATCTCGCCTCCTTCCTTGGCTTGATTGTGTGCTAGAAATAAGTGAATGGACTATGACGTTTCAGCAGCCATCAAATGAAGCCATTGAGCCAACCAGACGATCGCTCTTAGCAGCCCCTGTCGGGTCCCCTTCCATTTCTGGCAAGATTTTCTCATGGTGATCGGCTTCGGCTCGCGCCACCATAATAAGCTCACTAGATAGTGGTGAAGAGGCATGATGCTATTCACAAATAAGACACGAATAGCATAAAAGGAACTGGTGCCGTTTCGTTCATCTTGGGATAATTACTTACAGCCTATTCAACTCATCAAACCCTTGGTCTTTCTATACCATAACGCCTCCAATTACTCTCATACATTTTCTTCCGTCCCTCAGGAAAAGAACCAAAACAAATCACAAATGGATTCCCAACATAGTACAAGTGATTTCGCTCCTCCTGCAGGGCCTCCGCCTGGCCACCTTTCTCAAGCTCCCAATGGAAAAAGTGTCACATTCAGACAACCATCGCCGCCATACCACGACGCCCCTCCATCTTACCAAGACAAGGCTTACAACGATGACCGTGATCAAGGACGATTGACTCCTCCAAAAGACCATGAAAAGCCACACCATATTCCCAGCCCATACCCTCAGCCCGGGATGTACGTCGTGCAGTACCCCGGCGCGATCCCCCAGTTCCCACCCCAGGTCAACATCAAGAGCAAGACCTCCTGGTCAGGCCGCGCCAACGTCGAAGCAGGCCCCCTAACAGCCACGCTGGGCATGAGCGGCCGGACCGAATTCCTCGTCGGCGGCGAGCAGGGCCACAAGGTCGCCGAGGCCACGGCGGAGAACATGCTGCAGCACAGTGCGGCGCTGCTGCTCAACGGCTTCAGCACGCAGATCACGTACAAGAGCAGCAACTACTTCTACAGCGCGCCCGTCAACGGCGCCATGCTGGATCTCGAGTGGCGCGTACTGGGCAAGCGCAGCAAGATGAAGCGCTTCTTTGGCGGTGTGCACGCTTTGGAGCTGGTGACGCCGGGAACGGCTGAGACTGAGGGGCCGTTTGCGACGTGGCATCCTACGGGGGGGCAACTCAAGCGAAATGGGGAGACTGGGCATTTGGAGTTTCATGGGCGGGCCCTGTCTGGGGAGATGGGGGAGGTGTTCAACCTGATGGCCGTCATGACGATCATTAAGGTGTACTTTATGATCCACGAGGCCAACATCAAGTGGAGTGTGTATGGCGCTGCAGCTGCAAGCTAGATGCTACTATTACTGTTTCCTTGAGGTTTTCTTTGTGTACTTATCTTCTCCTATATGAGCGACTGCAAGACTCTTTGAACGATGAACGAACGGTAATAACCTTCACAGTGATTAACAACAAGTCACGTAGGGAGTATGCTTTATCTCTGGCCAGTCAAGCCGGCGTTGGATATATTATTATATACATGGATTTGATTCTCTTTGGTTTCAAAGAGCCCACGAGCATCCGCCAGCGATAGCGTAGAAGCATTGTCGCCAAAAGAACGAATCCTCGGCTCGAACCCACCGTCCCGGCGATAGCGTAACAGCATTGTCGACGTCGAGAAAGATCTCGGATGACAGCGAATAAGAACTCTATGGGAGTGAAAAACAAACGCTTGATTATATACAGGTTGCCTCCGGCTAGCGGAGGATACAATGAGGGATATCATAAGTCATGTCTCCAGGTCCTGTTAGGAGAGTGGGTATATGTGGTCGTAAATGTGACACTTTTACGTCAGTGACTTGACGGGGGATCTCTCAAAGCTCTTCATGGGCTCGAGACCCCAACGGCCAAACATGGCCTTGTCCTCGTCCCAGCCGTTGCATTCGGTCGTCAACATCTTCTCGCCGGTGAAGATGGCATTGGCACCTGCCATAAAGCACAACGCCTGCTCTTCTTCTGACATGGTTGTTCGACCCGCAGCAATACGGATGATGGTACTGGGCATGATGATGCGGGCAGTGGCAATCGTTCGCAGGATGGTGGTGAACTTGACACGCTCGCGGTCGCCCAACGGTGTTCCCTTGATGGGCACGAGAGCATTGACGGGAAAGCTTTCAGGGTGTGCGGGAAGGGTCGAGACGGTGTGCAGAAGCCCAATGCGGTCCTTGGACATCTCACCAAGACCCAAGATACCGCCAGAGCAGACGTTCAGACCAGCTTCACGCACGTGCTCCAGGGTCTTCAAGCGCTCGTCGTACGACCGCGTGGAAATAATGGACGGATAGAACTCGCGGCTCGTGTCAACATTGTGGTTATACGCCGTCAGCCCAGCCTCCTTGAGCTCCAAGGCCTGCTTGTCGTCGATCATGCCGAGCGTCACGCAGGCCTCCATGCCCATGCCACGGACGCCCTCGATCATGGCCTTGATATTCTTTAGGCTGTTCTTCCGCCCGCGCATATCACGCCACGCGGCGCCCATGCAGAATCTGGTGCTGCCGTTTTGTTTGGCCTTCCGGGCGGCCTCGAGGACCGACTCGACCGACTCGACTCGCTTCGCTTCCAGGCCGGTGCCCTTTTGGTATCGGGTCGATTGCGCGCAGTAGGAGCAGTCTTCGGTGCATCCTCCGGTCTTGATGTTCATGAGGGTGCAGAGCTGGACCTCGGCCGGATCGTGGAAGCGACGGTGGACAGAGCCCTAGGATGGTCAATTGAGCTGCCGAGGTAGAGCAGAATGGAAGGCAGACTTACAGCTTGGAAAGAGAGCTCAAGCAGCGGCTGGTGGTAGATGCCGGAGATTTCCTCTCTTGTCCAGTTGTTCCTCGCGGTGGTAGCAGCAACGGCCTTGCGGAAGACGTGACGAGCGTCTTGGATCTCCTTCGACGGCGGGGGAGGGGCCTCGAAGTCGTTACTCACGCGCGTCTTGTCAGTCGCCAAGGTGGCCAGGCTGCGCGTGGATTGCGTCCATCGCGCTGCTTGACGGTAGGCGAGCCGAGCCGGGGCGGCGCTGAGAGAGCGTGTCAAAGGCATCAGATCCGGATGCCGAGGCGTGTCTCTGGTGAATCCGTTGTTTATGTCTCAAGAGCTCACCCCGGCCAGATTCTTTCCCCAGAAGCTCCTCATCCCCGGTCATAGTGTGAATTACAGTGTGCGTGATTCCGGATACTGTGTTTCCCCGCTTCTCACCAGTAATATTGCGGCCTTTTCCAAGCTTTCCCCTGATCAGACCAGACCTTTTCATTGGCTAACTCTTTGACCTACCCTATTCCTGCAGTCAGGCCCTTCACAATTCACCAAAGAATGGTCCTTCAAGGACAGAAGAGAATCATTTTCAAGATTGTATATAGGAATTGTTTTTGATATGTAGAAATTAATTTTTCTAACAGCTCATCATTTACGAATAGATGTGTGGTCCCAACGAACAAGTTGAAAGATTAGAACTTTTGCACAGAATAGGTAATATGGCTTCACATCAGCGGATTAGCACCACCAGCTCGACCACCACCAAGCGCATGTCCGAGTTTTTTCAAACCCTCCCCTCTTTTTTGTTTCAAACTCTTGACGAACAATCTTAATCTTATCCTCACGTGATTTGACGATAGAATTGTTTATTTTTAATTTCTCACCTTCACACCG